GGGGGGTCACCCATTTCACATACACAATGGACTGCTTCACGAGAGGGCAGTGAGAACGTTTCCAATCATGGTGTCACGACAAAAGAGCAGTGAGAATCGAGGCTTGAGACTATTTATTGTGTCGTTTTGCGTTTCCAATTTTATTTTGCAAGGGTCACGGTGCTCAGCTATTTTTTCGAGTGACTGTACACGCTACATTAACGACGTCTCCAGAGTAACTGAATGACGGTTCATATAGAAATCGCAGGTAAGCGTCTCATACAACAACGCCCCCTATAGTTCGTTGCGATCGCGAATAAATCCACCAGCAGCCCATTTCGATCGCCAATTCTAGTTAGTTAAAAAATTCACTTAATTGTGAAGAAAAAAAATTCTGCTAAAATCTCACCAATCAAGTATATCATTTTTCTCGCCACGATCGACAGTGTATACAGCGAGAATGGTCCTTTCAAACAAGTGAAATTTTTATTAATTTAGTAGTTGGCAACATCCTAAAGGGAGAAGACGAAAATAATATTCTGCTAAAAAGTTTGAACAGTTGAACAGGATCACACAGTCTATTCAGTTTTTGTTCATAAATTTAAATAAAATACGATCATTTATACATTATTGACATCTAGCAAGTTTTTTCAATTGTTTAATCTTTTAAAGTAAAATATTGTGTTTCGTAGGGTGTTGTGTCAATTGTAGTTTGTTTACGTTTTACTCAGAGAAGGTTTTACTTAAATGGACGAAAATGTAATTCATTCCTTTAAAACAAAGAATTAAAACTGTTTGTAATGACACTATAAAGTTTATTTCTATTGAAGTGCAGTAATTACATGGTTTGTACCATTCTACTGGTTTTGTTTTAATTGAATGTTTTCAATAAATACAGTGATGTTTTCTATTTTATTTTATTTTTTCATACAAAAAAATACACTTGTACTACAGGAAAAAAATTTATAAAATTTCGTCAGCTTTGCCTATAGATTATATCCCTATACTCATTGATAAAATACATAGATAAACTTTATGTATTTGTTCCCTATTAGATAGTTGTTTCTTCAGATTTTATTAGTTAAACAAGCAAAAAGTAAATTGTCATTTGTATATCTTTTTTCTCTGTATTTCAATGTAGGTGAAATTTCCGTATCGATACCCGCTCTTGCCAATTACTATCGCCAAAATGTCAAAGAGTTTCGAAATTCGCAAAATTAAAAAAAAAAAAAGAGTTGATCCTTTGAATTAGGTTCTTTATTTGTTATTTATAAATGTTACTGCCCAGAAGATTATTTAGGAGCAGTCATTAATAAGAAAATTTTCATATATTTTTCAGTATTTCAATATATTAAAATCTAAAATTATTAATTTCAGTATCATTATGTATTCTGAATGGATATCAGTTCCAGTCACACGAAATGCAGAAGATAATAAGTGGAGTGTTTTGCATACTTTGCCTGGAAATGCAGGAAGGGATGTTGTCATTGCTGTAGTTAAACCTTTAGCCAGTAATCTTGGTATTAGTACTCCAGCTTGTGATCCAAGCATACTTGTTTCTGATAAACAAGTTCATTGGTGTATGGAGGTATGAAATTATTTAGTTGTTCACAATTCTCTTCATTTATTCATTTAAAATTACCTCACTAGTGTTCGTAAATAGTTTTCACATGTACTACTTTATCATCTTACACCGATTGTCTTGTTTTACTGCTTAATTGATTTAGTACTTATACTTTTATCTAATCATAATAGTCTTATATCATTGTAAATTCTTGTATATTATGTAATATGTCTTTGAGGAGAACTCCTCCAGACTGAAAGTCTGGGGCTGTCTGCTGCTATGGTGACAAGCAAGAGCACATTTCTAATGGGGAGGTGGAGAAAAGGTGTCAATTGGCTTACTCATGATGATCTACGCTGAGATTAAAACAAAACTATTCACCCTTATTTGAAGTGACCTTTCCTCGTAACCATAGTACCCACCACGACGTGAGATGGGTGTTTGGAAGAGTTCTCCTGAAAGCCGCACTATATTATGCCTGTTTTGTTTTTCAATCTTTTTTAATTATTATATAGTTTTATTTCCTTAAATTTTCTATGTGCTTTTATGCAAATGTCATAACTGGCCAGGACAACAAATTTCATCCTATTTATTGAAAACTTTCGTGTAGTTCACTAAAATCATTTTGATTATTTTTCCTTTCATTCTGTTAAAATAATTGCAAAACATTATTGAATCTCAAATTTTCTGTTACCATATATCTCAGTTACCATATTTCCCACCCAGTTTTTGAAATTTTCATTGTAAATTGATTACTACTCTACTAAACTCAGTAGCTCAGTAGCCTAAAATGGGCTGAGGTTTACTGTGTCCTTTCACTGTCCTTGATCTTTGGTTCTGGAGTGTAATAGGATCAGATGTTCCTGTTAAATGGTCAGCCCAATCCAGAACCTCTAGTATTTAGTATTCTCCAAGCATGCTTGGTACTCATTTTATGAAACAACTGAGAGGATGAAGGGCTCAGTCAACCTTGCTTTGTTTTAGGATAGAACCTCAGACCTGTGGCGTGGGAGCAACTACCGCTCAACTACTGGCATCACAACTTATCCATACTGGAAATAATAGCATAGCTGCAATTTGCAGATTTCAAGCATGTAGTGGAGAGTCGGGTAGTCCCACCCATTTAAGGATTATTGCTTATATTTCTGTATAATATTGAGTAATAATCAATATTTTTGTATGTTTCTATTATTTTATCATTTAATTAAATAATGCCAAAAGAATAAACCAAAAAAAGAATGGTTTAACTTAAAAAAATAGAAATTTAAAAAAACCATGTTTTCCAGCTGTTTTCAAAATGTGTCGGGTAGCCCCGCCCAGTTACAAAAATTATGTTTTTTGACTGTTTTTTCAGGTGTAAATGATAATGACCAATGTATTGACTATAGATAAACCTCATTTATCATTTTTATCACAAAATTATTTTATTTATTACATATTTATATACTTTTAGTGAATTCTATCATTTAATAACAACAAATGTCATACTTTTTATTATTATTAATGTATATTAATAGGTTGTTGTTAAAAATGAATATAACATTAAAATTTGAGGCTATAAAATAATAATCTTTGCAACCGTGCATTTAACGACGAAATAAAATTGGGCGGTGATACCCGACATTCATGTGAGCGGGGCTACCCAAAATCCAATTTTTTTGTAAATTTGAAATTACTCGAACAATTTTTCACTTACAAACTTCTTTCTTTGTGCAAATTAAACTTAAGACTACATACTTTAATGCTGTATGTATAGAAAAAATTATTTTTTTAGTATTAAAATGAAGTTTAATCGAAACATTCAACCAATTTTTCTTATTTTCATGACTACTGTATTCAACATATTTTCAAAACTATTGTTTACCATGTTACCAGCTGCATAAATACTTGAAACTTTGAAAATAATCATTTTTTAATATAGCAATTAATGTCCGATAGCCCATTGACTTGAAAAAATATTCTATACATATGAAATTGACAGTGGGCAAGGGTACCCGACACTCCCCTAGTTAGAATATGAAAAGCAGAATTTGAAAAATCATTTTGTTTAAATCTAAGTCTTTCTCTTTATTATTTGTTACTTAATAAACTTTTAAGAGCTAGTCTTACCTATAATGAGGCCTGTGTAAACCTTTATTGCAAGACCCTTCCATATTTATTTTACCTTGCTCTTTAATATAATTTATTGAAAATTTTCCTATTATCCATTACAAGGTTTTATTTTTACACACAATATATTTTACACAATATATTAATCACAACATATTTTAATTTAAAGAAATAATTTATTAAGCTTAATGTTGTAGATTTAATAAAAACTTGGAACAATAGTAATCAATATTTCACATAATTAAAAACAGTATAAAAGATCTTAATAAATTTGTGATAATTTTTAAACAATAACTACCTCTTGTTTAATTGTCTTGTATCGTATGAGAAAATTTTGTTTCTCGTGCGTCCTTTCTGAGTGGACAGCTGAATATTTTTGTGTGAATTTTAGGTTTGGGGGCTAAAATCACCTTTTGTTTCTGCTGTTCAAGTGTTGAGATCCTCTATTATGAATGAACACAAAATTGTTTGCTATGGCAATCTTTTCATCTTGAAAATTTTTAAGCATATATTTTTCTATTAGTATATGAAGTTCTAAGTTATAATCATGAAGGTAAAAAATAAAAATATCCCCAAGTACAATGGATTGTATTGCTTCTTTATTTACATATATGTAATAGTTAAAATTTATCATTTATATTTAAAGTATTGTGCCTGTTTAAATAAAATTGTAAAAAAATTAGTTTTCAAGAGTTTGCAGTACAAGGGAGAAATCTATTCTTTATGATAGTAAAATATATGCATTAGATTACTGTACTCTTTCATTTCAAATCTCAAGTTTTTTGTACAATAAAATTGTTTCATTCATAATTAAAAAAATTTAGATGTATATGTAATACTAAAATGTAAATGTAATAATGTAAGATTATTGATTGTAAAAATATCCAATATTCAAATCGAAGGAGCAGGAGAAGGATAATTAGGCTGGTAAACAAATTCACAATTTTCTTTTAACTTTATTCAAAATTGTTAACAAAGGAGATTGGCTAGTTACAACCGCTCTCATCAAAATCCTTGAAGCATCTGACTATACTGCTACACTGTTACGTTTAAAGAGAGAGAGAGAGAGGATGACACAACAACTAATCTGTGGCGTACTGTGAGTTTTTTGTCATCTTAATAAGAGCTAAATTAAATATAAGCTATATCCTTTGAGTGTTTTTGTTTCATCACAATAATTTTCATTTTCTCATCGAATATTTTGAAAAAGCTCAATATTACTAATTGTGCTCTTTAATATATTATTAAAATTTTTAATGTCTTTATTTTTACTCATTTTTTACTTCTTGCAGGTTATATGCTATGGCCTTGGTTTGCCTCTGTCTGAACATGAAGCTATACGAGACTGTGTGAATGTTTACTGTGAATGGATGCTTGCTCTAACAAAACCTAAAGTCTGTGTTCCTAAGTGCATATGTGAAGATCCTAACATCTACACTAGAAATATGTTGAACCATTTGTACAATTTATTTTTACCCAGAAATGATAATAGTAAGAACTGCATTTAATTTTGATAAACAGAATCGTACTTTGTAAACAATAGCATATACAAAGGCATATACATGATGAACAATATCTGCTACACTAAATATCAGATAGCTATTGTTCATCTTGTATATGCTCTTCTTAATAAATAACACATGAAAGGAAATGATTATATTGCCTTTGCTTATTTAAGCAATTCTCGTTTTTTTCATACAAAGAGATTATAGACAACATATCATTTTCGAATACTTTTTACCAATGAGACATTTTTACATCAAATTGTTCACTAGAAATGTTTCCAAATAAGTAATCTGAAAATTTCCAGAATTTTCACTAGAGTTCAGTACAATGCACTGGGGCATATTATTGCCTTCGTGAAATTTGGAGTATTTTTTTAAAATCAAAATTGCTCTTTAAAAAACCAACTTATAATTATGTTGTCCCAAATCTTTTACATATATATACTAGCTGAATACCCATTCAATTTGGTCTTCTCATTTAGTTCAAATATTACTGTCAACAAGATGGTTGGATATATCTCATTCACTTTTTATTTACTTAACTCAAGATTATTATTTACCTAAACTCAGATAAATTAATTTAATTTATTACATTCATTTATGTTATTTCTTTTAATAATATAGTAATTAAGAGTGAAGATATTTGTACTCAGTATTGGAGAAAAATACTAATCACCTTAACTTATTTTTTATCTTTAAGAGGTTTGAATAATGATATTCTATGATTTATTTACCCATTTTAGTCGAAGTTTTATATTTAGTATTTCTTACTATTTGTTTAAATTTTGTAGTTATTCTTTTTCTTGCATAAATTTGAAAAAGATATAAATGAATTAATACAAATTCATGATATTTTGTTTCAAATTATTTTAAAAATAATCCTATTGCTAAATTCCATGCTTGTTTATTTCATAGGTGCTGATATCATAAACAGACAAGCAGTATTGTGTCATAGAGTTTTAAGAACTATTGAAACTGTTGCACAAGAATCAACTGTAATAGATAGGGAAACATGGGATGCACTTCTATTATTCCTACTGTCTATTAATGATACTCTTCTAGCTCCTCCATCTGTTCCTGGTATGCATATCTACTTTAATATGCTTTGTATATATGTAATAGATAAAATACATTATATCAATTAATTACAGATTGCAGCCATAATTTTTTTTGTTAATGATTCACTATCAATGAGCAATTTTATTGTGATGAAGACTTTTTTTATTTTTTTGTTAAGTATTGGAAAACTTTCACATTAAAACTTTCACATTTCTTATTGAAAAAAATTTAACTTTTCTTTTAAATATGGCAGATTTTGAAAATAACAGTTTTAAAATTATGTTTGATACTAAGGTATGTCTAAATTCTTTGATTTGTTTCATTCATTCATTATAGATTCTATGATAATTCATTTATTTCAAACCCTAAGTAGATTTGTATGCATCTTATTTTATACAAAAAAAAGTAATATTTTTCTAAAATGAGGTTAATTTTTCAAGCTAATGATTGTATAAATATCACATGTTAAAATCACAGATTTATTTTTAATTTTAAACTTTTATTATTAAATGAAATACATTCTCATATGAAACACTTTATAACATATTGTAAAAAGATAAATTTAGAGTTTGTCGGTCATCCATAAATTCTATTTTAAATTATCTATATTAATAAAGAATGAAAAAAAATATTTTCTACTAATTGTTTTAGATGTAATCATGAATGTTTTACTATTTTAACTTGTTATGACCATATTTATATATTTTTAACAATAATTTGCCAATAGGATATCACTTTAGGGATATAGATCCATGTAATATACCACACTCTTTACATCATGATTTTACTGTATACATTAGAATGCAATTAATGATAATTTTCTTATTATAAAATCCTTATAATTTTCTTTAAAATAAATAAATTGGTTACAGCTTTTTTTTTAAAACCTGACTTATTGAATATAAATTTTTACTACTGATTAAATGTATAAAAAAATAATGAAGCCAAATATATTGCATTTCAAAAGGTTTTTTTATTTTATTTAATTAATGTCACCCCTTTATAATTTTGTGTTGTTCATTCTAAAATTTGTTTAAAGATGACATAGGAAGCCATCTTTGTGAAAGAATTCTTGGTGTTTTGATGGAAGTCTGGCTTTTGGCATGTCATCGTTCATTTCCATCTCCATCATTGTGGAAAACATTCCGTGAGTTATCCTGCAGCTGGAGGCATCGGATAGCTTTAGTAGATCAGTGGAATCGTGTCAATCTAGCTCTTACGTCACGTTCTTTGCAATTTATGTTTGCAAATTATCCGGCAACAAAACTAAGTGAGTGTTATTTTATTATTCAAGCACAGAAAAAAAATAGTGAACTTATTCAGAATTAAGAATAAAAAATAGTTTAGAAGTATTAGGGCACTCTCTAACTAGTTTGAAATTTAATTCCAAAATTTTTCAATCAATTGATATTAAAATGGTGTGATTTCAAAACTTATTATTTCACTGCAATTAGTTTCTCCTGTGTATGGTAAAAAATTTATGAAACAGTACTATATGATAAAAAATTTAATAACTCCAGAATTAATTTTTAAAAAGAAGCACAAGCCTGCAAACGCATGAGTACACAGTTGCAAGAAGTCATAATTCTACTTATAATAATTTTTGCTAAACTGAAATATGCACCTAAAAAAACACCTGCAATTTCGAGGGAAAAAACTTGAAAATATTTTTGCATCAATGAAATTTGCATATTAGAATTTTCCTTAAATCCTTTTCTGAAAATGTGCAAAGTTTATTACTTTCTCGTCCAATAGAGAGTACATTATGAGAGTGAAATGGGCTCTTAAAGAAAAAGTTTTAGTGATGATGATGGAAGTAATTTTTTTTTTAAATGTGAAAGGATTGTAACTTACTTTATTAAAGATTGCATATATTTAAAAATTTATTTTAGATATTAAGATGTTATAATGTAATGTCTCAAACTAATTAATTTTTAACTTTTCTAGCTATTTAAATGTAATTTAATTTGCAGATTGAAGGCCTTTAAATAATATCTCTACAGGGTTTAAGAAATGGGTTTCTTGGGCTACAACAATTTGTGTTTCATTAAAAAATGAATAATGATAAAATATTCCATGCAATAACGCCAAAATAATAAAGTTTTGCTGTTGTTTAAGAAGGGAATCTCTTATTTTAACATCATTTGGTTTCAAACCTAGCATGGTATAGCATAATATGTAATCTAAAATTTTGCAAGAAAATGACATTAAAAATGTTTTATTATTATTATTCTGGTGTTTGAATTTAAGTAATTTCACTAAAGATCTTGAAACAACCAAAGTTCAATTTTCTCTTTAAATAGTCGTCATCAGCATAAAAGTTCTACATCCAAATTTAAATCATGCTAATTTTGATACGAACAAGATAATTTTTGTTAATTTTTATTGAAAATTAAATCCTAATTTGGCTTACATTTTTGTTGTGTTCTTTAATACTTCAACAAAAAAAACGTTTTTTTTTTTTTTAAATTATCTAGTCTTTACTATTTTAATTTTAAAAAAATAAAATTGGAAAAGAAAGCTATTTATGATTAGAATATTTGCAAAAAAGAAAAGAAAAATATAGAACTTGTAAAAAAAAATTAGAAAAGAAATTAGTTTGAAGAAGAAAAAACTAACTAAGTTAGTTTTGAAACTATTTTACTTTCAAAATGTTCTTGGGATAATCAAAACTCACAGACTGAAAAGATTTCAAACCTAGCAGAAACTAAACTAAAAAGCCCTCACTTAACAGTTTCTTTCAGGACAATTTTTTTTCCATCCAAGGAGCTCTTTTTTTCTGGGCTCTTAATCATTTACAAGTTTTGGAAATTTTTAATAAGCATCAATCTCAGATTGATGATGATCCCACTAATTCTTTCTGGCATCCTACTTTGTGCTTCAGTGGTTGTTTCAAGATTAGTTACATTCAACCTGTACTTTTTATTGCTAATTTTATAATTTTAGTCTTTTGTTCTTTTCTTGAGAGTTACTAAATATATTTGTTCTTTGTGACTCATTCTTCATAATTCTCTTAACCAATGGTTATCAAACTTGTGAAACTTCTGAGTTACTTTACTGTTTTTAGATCCTACTGTGAGCTGCCAATCAAAAAAACTACTAACCTTTTTAAAAAATATTCTCATATTTAGTATATTGCCTATAAACTTATGTTTCTAGTTAGTATGAAATCAATTTAACGAGATATACTGAAGATGTCACCACAAACAACTAGTAGACAGTTTAGGAAATCACTGCTCTAAACCAGTGTTCCCCAATAAAGGGTTTGTAATGTATCATTGTCTCCGATTACCCCCAAATGGAGCCGTCTCATTGCAAAGAAGCAAGCTCAGGGTTCTCATTGATTAAATGTTCTAGTAAATTAAAATGTAAAATCACTATATATTTATTTTTTGGTGTAGTTGTATTTTATTTTGAAGACATGTTTAAATGCAATTAAATTAAAATTAATAAATCAGAATAATCTAAAATATAAGCAATCAATGTCCTCCCCCCCTCAGCGGGCCGCGGTAAAATTATCAAACGTTGACAAGTCCGCTGTTATAAAAAGATTGCGGAACACTGCTCTAAACCATTGTTGCATAAACAAACTTGCACACCTCACTCTAATAGGTACACATTTAAATTCACATTATGTAATATAAATTTATGTTTTTTCCATGTAGGTGATGATGATTCTCATCTAGTTCCTGCTGATATGAGCAATGACTGTATCGCTCAAGCATGGTATAGAATGTTACACACTTTGGGTAATCCAGTTGATCTCTGTAGACCAGAGGTCATCAGTCAAACTCCAAAGTTCTACCATTTTGCTCTGAGCAGCGAAATGGTAATTGATCCTTGCCAACATCCTTGCCTTGCTGTTCTTCCTCAAATATTTTATAAGGCTATGAAAGGAATATCCAACCTTGTGGATGTATTTTTAGGTAAATTTCTAAAAATCAAATTTTTTGAACAGGCACTTTATTATTATGTACGAAGTTAATTTCTAATTGAAGAAAGTTTATGACTTTTATTTTAGCTCTTAAGTACACTAGCTTTTATTTTTAATGAATAACATTTGAAATCAACCAAAAAATGGATTTAGTTAGTGGAAAAAATTAAAAAAATTAATTAAAAAAAACATGTTTTTTTTTTGTAATTTTCAAAAACAAAAGAAAATTTATGTATTTCTATATCACATCATGAACAATAACTGTTTGAGTTTTTCAAATCTACTCCCTACAAAAGTAGTATTATATTAAAATAATATTTTTTAGATATAAATTTTTTTGTAAGTAATCATTTTTAAACAGAATTACTTTTTACATAAATAATCGTAATTCATAACACCTACCAAAATGAAATTGTACTTCGATAATATGCCAACAATGAAAATTGGCACAGACGAAAAAGACTGTTTTCATAAAATTTAAAAAATAAATAAATAAACAATTTGCAAAGGTTTTTACATTAATTAAATTACTAAATGTAATTTAATTAATTTTGTTTTCTTAGCTAGCAGATCCCCATTTTTAATTATGACATTTTTAAAATAAATAGAATTAAGTTATATGCATATCTGCAACCTCTACTAAATCTTCTAGTAGACCATTGGATTTTTCAAATTATTTTGGTTTGTCAAAAATTCTTCTATTATGTATTGAAAAAAATTCATTACATTTATTAAAGGGATACAGTAATAGTTATTTTTAATGTAGATTTTCCAGATATATAAGAAAATTCCTAAAAATCTATTGAAAAGGATATTTTGCTCAGTTTATTAAAATTTAAATAAAATATGCAATAAATTATGTTGTGAGTCTGAAATGTTTTATAAATTTTTAAAAAAATGTTTTATAATTTTAAAAAAAATTTTTTTTTCTTAATATTAATTAGTTTGAACGGTTACTTATGGTTGTTATATGCTTTTCTTGTTTTTGTAAGCACTATTAAGTACTGCTCCCTTAGTGTCAGACATTAATAATGTTTATGTAATTTTATCATCTAGTCTGTAATATTATTAAAATTCATTAGAACTATTTTTTGTTTTAATATAATTAAATATCCTTGTATTTTTTTTTCTTAATTGCATCCATAGTGTAAAATATCTTTTCAGGAATCGCTCAGCTTGATGTTGAAGAAACTAGTCACATTCCCAGAACTTATTCTCATTCTTCTCATACAGTTTCATCCACTTCAAGCACTCCACCCCATAACCGGAGGGGATTTTCTAAAAATGCCCCAAAGGATTCTGCAACTAAAAGTAATATTTTTTCTTAAAATGTAAAATGCATCTTTTTTTAAAAAAAATCATACTCACCTATTATATCTTGTCAATAGAATATTTCTTATGCTACCTAAAAATAAATGAACAAAAAAAAATCTTATCACTTAAAACCCACAGCTTCTTTATTTAGTTGCTATTATTTAAGAAAATCTTCAGTTGCTATTACTTGGCACTATCTACATTTTTTTTTTCACTATTTTTTTCCTTTGAAAACAGAGTTGATGTGATAGCTTTTTGAGTTCTACTCAATTATTTGTTACTGCACTAAACAAAGATGCACAGATTTTAATTAAGTTCTACTCTGTGAAAGTTATTTAATTTTTTCACAATGATTAATTTTCATCAGCTTCTGAGAAACATTTAAAATTGTCAGGTGTTGATTATTGCCTTATTTTTTTTCCTTTTAGAAATAGAGTAAATGTGATAGTTTTTCAGTTCTTTTTTTTATTATTTGTTGCGGCGCTGAACAAAGACGTGCAGTTTTGAATTATTTCTGCACTGTAAAAGTGATTTAATTTTTACACAATAATTAATTTTCATTAGCTTCTAAGAAGTATTTTAAATTGTTATATGTTGGTCAATTATCTTTTTAAAATATTTTAGTAACTATTCATTAATTTCCAATTATTACTGCTTTAATTTTTATTTCAATTTTTAGTTCTAGCTTCTTAAAAATAAGAACAGCTTATTTATATTAATGAATTTTTTTCAAAGTTTATCATATATTTTGTAGACATGTGATATCAAAATATATGTAGACATTAGGGCCTTATATATAGTTTTCTAAAATTTTTATGTTTGAAAAGCTCGTAAAATTATTATATTTAGTTGCCATGTTTATTTTTAATGTGTGTAGCTTTTTATACAAAAAGGAAATAGTATAAAATATTTTCCAAAATTTTTTTTTAGTTTTCTTCAATTAACCTTTTAACTGTTAATAAACATCTTTTCGAAATATGCTAGCTAATTAAATCTCTGTTATTTTTAGTATAGTAATTTTTATTGTTTTCCAAAACATGTTTGAGTTGTTTTCAAAAATCAATTATATTTGAGAATTAAAAACAAATATTTTTTTGTTGTTGTTTGAGACTATTTATATTTTAAAAATGATTAAATACATGCAGTTCATCACAAATTTTTTAATGAATATAATACTTTGTAAAATATTTCTATGCTATTTAAATTTTTTACATAGAGTTCCATTCTTTTAATTTTTTTTAAGTTTATAATCTTTTGGCCAGATACTATGAAGATTCTCACATCTATTTCGAAATTCTCTACAATTTTTACATATTCTAGTCAAAGATGCTTCCTATATATTTTAATATTATTCATAGTATGGTGATTAAATTTTTTTAAAAGTAAAACCATGTAAATCATGTCATGTCTTTGTCTTGCCAGATAAGGTAATAAACCTGACATTTTAAAAATCAAAAATTCAAGTAGCTAAATAATTGTAATAAAAGTCGTTAAAATTCTTTTTTATTTTGACTAAAAAATCTAATATTGAGTGCTAAGTACTCAAAATTAGATTTTAGCCAGTCAGCGGCACAGTGAGTGCATTGCACTCAATATTACTGCTGATTGGTGTCTTGCTGCTATTATTAATATTGTTGAGTGATTCGAATCCTTGTACCAGAAATAGCTCTCCAAATGTAAAAATAATGTACCTACTGGTGTTATAATGTACTTACTTTATATTTTAGAATATTTTTTTACATTCTGATAAAGTTCATAATGTTACTTAAAAACAGGAATTTCTATAAAGGAATTATTTCCAATATTTTTAGAACTTTTTTCATTATTTCAAAAAAAAATTTTTAATTGTTAATTTGTTTTTCTATTTCATTGTTTCATTTAAATTCCAAACATTGGATGTTTTTATTTTACTTTTAGGTGCTCAAAAAACGAGCCTCATCTCAAATTTAACATCGGTAAAATCTACATCTGGCAGTCAATCATCTTTTATATCACAATCTCAGCAACAGCTATTGTCACAGACTCCGCAGCAATCTCCGCTATCCACACCAACAACAACTGCAGCTCCACCTTTACGACCTCCCCTCTCTCCGTCCAGGCCTAAATGTAATTCAGTTCTTCATCTCTATGGATCTTGGTTATTTGAAGCTGCCTTAGTTGGTTCAGATATGTCCGCGTTCACCACCAGCTCTGATCGTAAGTGTTTTCTTCTTCATTATCTATTTAAATAAATATTTTGGAATTTACATCAGTAATATACAAACATGCTTTTTATTGTTTCGATAGAGCCCCAGACTGAGTAGCAGAAATTCTTTAATTAAACTAACAGTAAATTACTTTGCAATATAAGATAATCAAGAGAAAATATTTCACTGTCATACTAAAATTTTCACAATGTGCATTTGAATTCATTTGGTTTAAAAGAATGCATTCTTTGTAAACATCTTTTGAAAGAATATAATAAATGTATGAATCATACTTTTTTTCCTTGAAAAATTTTATTCTTTATCTATATTAAATGTTTGCTCCTTGAACAGTTTATTTTTGAAGAACATTTGATTTTCTAGATTTTGTTTTAAACTGTGCAGTTCTCGAGACTTGTGTTATTTTATGAAAATGGTCAATTGAATGGTTAGTTTAATAAAAAAGTTATGTTTCTTATGCTTCATTATGATCAGTTAATTTTTCTAATTCTTTTTTAAGTGTAGCATTATAATCAAAATTAGTTCAGCATTTATTAGTTATATGTTAATATTTATATAATTTTTGCTCATTAGCACTCTAATGACCTCATGCTGTATACATTATTGCTAGAACAAGAGAAATTATAATGATAAATGTTGAATGTATAACATGCGTATGTATAAAGAACATTTTACTCAATACACTCTCATTTTTGCTTTTCCAGAAAGTGATGCTAGCTTACGTAGACCAAGTTCTCTTGTTCTTGATAGCAGGCAAAGCACTGCACCCATGTTAGAGTCTTTTGAAATACCGCCTAATCTTACTTTGGAAAATTTTGAATCTGGGCAAGCAGAGGCTGTTGGTTCATTGTGTAGAATATTTTGTGCTAAAAGAACTGGTGAGGAAATTTTGCCTGTGTACTTAGCCAGATTTTATTCTGCCTTGCAGTATGGCTTATCCGGTGGCTTGGTAATTATAAAATGTTTTTTTTCTTGTTAATTTATTTTATGAAATTATGTAATCCAAATGAGTATCTCATTAAAGTTGAACTTTAAAACAATATATCAGTTCTAAAGTAACAGGACATAAAAATATTTATCACTCAATAAATATTTTAAATTTATTGTCCCACAATGACTGTAGTATCTGTTGGTCAATTGCTATAGACTTTTTCCCAAAACTCTGAAATGAAACTAGACAACTTTTTATTTAAAAAAGAAAATAATGGCATAAACAAACAGTCTCGTGCCAAACAGCATTAATTGTTGCCGTTCAAAACAGAACTGACTCCTTTCAGGAAGAATATAATTCCCAAACGAACAATGACTGCATTGCCATCTCTGAATTAATAACAAATAATAAACAAAGTGATAAATTCTGATATCACAATGACTAATAAATAAATATGACTAATAAGAAATTTTTTTTTATTTATCTTTAAAGAAAATATGTTTTGATGTATTTTTATCGATGGATACATGTATTCTATAAATGCTAATTTCTTTTATTAATCTTAAAATTGGAACAAAATAATATTATATTTTATCACTCTTCTGTGCAGTTACCATTAATAAGAGCTAAGTTATGCCTGCTTAACTTTGGCAGCATTCTGCTGGTTTATGTAATAAACAGATTTTGAGTTGGCTTTCAGATAAAATAACTCTACTTTTAATTCAATCTTTATAAGTCCTTTTTTACCTTTAAGATGTATGTTATATTGTAGAAATTTAGACATCTAATTATATGTCATTGGACTATAATATCTAATTATATTTTTTTATTAAGTCTTAGTATTGTAAAATGTTGACCATTATTTATGTTACTGAATTATTTATGTCACTGAATTATTTATGTCACTGAATTATTTTTGATTTCCAACCTGTCTATCTGCTCATCAATACAAAAACTGATGTATCAAATTTATTTTAAGCAGGTGTTAATGGTTTTGTTGCTTAAAAGTTTATTATAATCGAAACAATTAACTGTAGAGTATACAAAATAAAAATGTAAACACTCTAAATAACTTTTGATCTTATTAACAGTTTTTCTTATACTAAGACTCAATTTTAATGGTTTGAATACCTAACTTTATTAATTAATGAGTGCAGACAATATTTTAAAATACGTAATAAAACACAAAAAGTACTTTCTAACAATAAACTTATCTTTTTTGTTGGATATGGATTTCTAACACTCAAAACATGGTGTTTATCTGCAATCTGATTAATATGGTCCCAGTTGTTTAGGTAGGAGGGTGATCGAAAGTTTGAAGCCTGTAATGTTAAGTTTACTTTTGTGTATTTGGCTATATCTCGAGAAATTTTTAAGCAAATCAAGAAATTTTTGCAAGCGGTTATAAAATTTATTTATTCAAAGATATTTCCACGCAAAGCCTCATAATGTCATGTGTTCCCAGGAATCTACCTAGGGCTATGGGTTTTGTGCTTCAGGCTATTGAATGGATAAGGGTTTCTGTTATAATTTATTTTTTTATTTTATTCAATAATAGTCGAAAAAATTTTAAATTTTAAGGAATTCGAATTTTTGCGTCATTTTTAAATATAAAATTTTTAGCGTCAAAATACAAAATTTGGACCAAAGCAGTCAAATAGTTTCTTAAAAAGTTATATTTTTAAAAATGTGAAAATTTTTTGTATGCTATTGAAAAAGCCAATTGTTTATCTATGTAAAGAACTCCCCTCGCCACAAAGTATAAGACCGCTTAATGACATAGAAACAAGAACTTGCAGATTTTCTTCTCCCTCCCCTAACCCTTTCACTAGCCAAGCCGATCCAAAACCTGTCTTAAATATTGACGTAACACCCCTACTGGAAATAATTAAACCTCGTAATCATAGTCACCACTACTGCTTCAGACAAATGGTGAGGTGAGTTCTTTACATAGACTGTACATCCACAGGAAAGCAATTGTCAACAAAGGTTTACTTTAAGCTTTTTTAACTATTTTGTTCTCTTTATAGTCTAGGGGACAAATGTTATCTAGCATTCTAATGAATTCCAGTGATTTGCTCAGAAAAGATTTAGATGGAGTTATGATACTTCTTCCTGATTTTCTTCAGGCTTTGGAGCTAGTATTACCTGGGGAAATAAAAATGAGGTTGTGCATTTTTTTTATTATTATCATTCTTTTTTTTATAGATTGTGTTTTATTACCAAGAAAAATTAATTTTAAATTAAAGCTTTTGCATAACTACATTTGATTTGTTTTTTCAAGTTACTATTTACTTAGTTTTTTTTTTACTTAGTATAGAGTTTTTTAGCATACTGCACTGTACTTTTTTAGTTTAGTACAGTATATTCAAAAAGGCACCTGCTTTTATTTTGCTCTGTTTTATTGACGTAAATATGTATGTTACTCAAATTATTTTTGTTTAATGCTTGCTTAATACCAACTGTAAATCATTTTTATAATTGTAATTATCACTCTTTCTTTCTGGTGGCTTCGTTATCTATCATTGACATTGTCCTGTAAAGAAATGGGACACTTCAGCCAATCAAAAAGTTTCTAAAATCAGTCTAACTGCATGTCGGTAAATTAAGAATATTTCAATTTAGTGAGTTTTTTTTTTTTTTTAAATTTGATATTCCAAAAAATAAAAGTTAAAAATTTAAACTGTGGGCATTTTATTTTAAAGAGAAAAAATTTATATTTCAAACTAGATTTAGAATCTATTTATGTTCAAAAATCAAATCAAATTATTTTGTTCTTAAAAACTGTCATATGCTGTGGAATGTCAAGGGAAAAGGTTTAGGTATAAAAGGTATGAAAACATTTAAGATGAACAGTTTTTTTTTCGATGCCAAAAATCATTTATCCTTGTAATAGTTACACAATTTTATTCAGATTTTTTTAGAAAATCCCATATGAATTTGTCTAGGTGCAAACCTTGATAATTTTGCCTTTGAAAAACAAACCTGCTTTATTCAGAAAAGTTGCTACATAAATGGCATATAATTTTAGATGAATCACTCTTAAATATTCAAATTTTGCAAGATTTTATAATAAGTTTACTTAATATAATAATAATTTTGATCATGAAGCATCTAAAAAATTTTCCTGTTACAATCAGTCATGTTGTTTACTTTTTGTTATATTATATCTTTACTATAAATGTTCTTAAATTTTTCAGACCTGGGCCATTAGTTGCTCATGCTGAGTTGCGTCATTCAGCGATTCATTTACTGCTTTCTATGCTTCCTTTGCCTTTACATTTTTTCAACTTGCCTATAAAGAGTAAGCAATTATTTAAAAGACATTTATTTAAATATTTGATTTATGAATAATTTCAACTTAATTGCCTTTTTCTGTGTTACATTTTATAGCTCTTACATCTACGGAGAAGTCTAATCTAACATTCCAATCTTTGAAGATTCGTCTTGTGAATCTTTTGATAAATGCTTTACAGGTTGAAACTGAATCACTGAATACACATATGCTTCTAGGTAAATAATCTTTATTCTAAATAATCTTAATCTTGGTTAATAATCTTTAATCTATAACAGTGTGACCACAGAAAACAGAGTAGGAAAAAATCAGGGAATTTTATTAATCTGAAAAAAATCAGGGATATGTCAGGAAATTTAATTTAAAATTCCCTTAAATTCAGAAGAAATTAATTAAATTTGTGTCACTTGAAAGTTAGATTTTTTTTAAAAATTTATTTCGTAATTATTATTTTTAAAGAAAATTTAATGTACAACTCTATTAGCAACGATAAGTGTTTTTTTATATATATATTTTTTATGTATAAGAATAAGGCATAACTGAAAAATTAAATTTAAAATACTTAAAATGAAGAAAAGAATTAATTTAAGGTACTGAAAAGTCCAATATTTTCTTCCAAAACAATTGCTTTTCAGTATAAAAAATTTTTAAAAATTTTTTATTTTCAACTCTAATAGCAAATGTAAGTGTTTTGTAACATATTTTCTGAGTGAGATTAAAATATAACTGAAAAATTAAATATAAAATTTATGCCATGTGTTACAAAACTAAGGGGAGTTCAATAAAAATCGATCTGGAAAAATTAGGAGATTTTTATTCCGCGTCTTAGCGGCCACCCTGTATAAACACTTTCTGTTATACTATTTAATGAGATAACACCAGTATAGTGAATCCAGAGCTGGATTCACCCAAGGACCCGCAGCCGATAAGCAGAGACCATTAACAGCACAGTCAAAAAAGTTGGGGAGACAGAAGTTTTTTTTCCTTGATTAATTCATATAGTTTTTCACTTGCTGTTGGTGATATATGGAGGAGCTCTAGCCACAGGGTGGCATTTTGGAGTTTCTCTCCCAGGAGGAACATCGACGAATTCAGATATTTATTTTTATTAGATCTGATATTTCCTTTTCCCCATAAATTTACACTGCTAGTGCCTATTCGTAATTTATATTATGTTTAAATTATATATGTTTTGAATTTTGAATAATTACCTCATGCAAAAAAAAGCGTTTACTAATTTGAGTGAACTTTATAACTAAGAAACTTTTTTGTCAATTAATAAAATTAATAACTGTAATTATGTTGACCATTATTTTAGTCTGAATTAACTTTGCTAATTAATTTTTTATAATATTGATCTTTTTTTTTTTTGTAGGTTAAATATTTTAGTTTTTCACTGAGTAGCTTAAATCAATCTTTACCTATCTCTTCTTTGCCTTATGTTGTATCCTAAGTTTAAATCTATATGATCGTGATGTTTATCTATATAATAGATTCAACAAAATCATTTACAATACATACATAGTTATTTATTTTATGATTGTCCCAATCCTATCTTTTTGATGATAATCTAGGTCAAGGCTCATTGATTCTTTGATCAAAAATCATTTACTTTAGCAGCAATGAGTCTTGATCCAAATTTGGATCTATAGCCATACAAAATATGTAACCAAACTTACTCAGAAATGTAATGTTCTGTGAAAATATTTTTATAGAAATATATATTTAGTATAAAATATTTTTATGTTTTAACAATTGGATGTAAAAAATGTATTTTGAATAATGTTTGTATTGAATAAATATTAAAAAAATGTATCTAGTCTGTATCCAGACCTAGCGGTTTTGCCTATTTTTAACTATTCACTCGGTCGCATTAGTCTAAAACTTTAGTCTTTTTATTTTCTAGTTTATATGTCTGATGAAAAAGTTATTAATTATATTTTATCGTTATGCAAAAAATTATACTCAGAACATCTTTTTTTTGCAGGAGGTCTTATGTTTTTCATTCAAGATTCGGCAGCTTGTGAAGATAATGAACAAATAACTCAACCGCCTTCAAATGACAATGCTAGTGTTGATTCTGTTAATAGTTTACTGTCATCTGGTATGTAATGCTGTTCAATTATAATCAATGTCAATCTCATGTGAAAAAATTATTTTTTGAATGCCTAATTATTTTATGGAAAATGTTTAGCCTTGATGTCACTAAATATTTTAAGGAAACATGTTACCATGGCGTTCAGTGTGAAACATTATTGATATTCACAGAAAATATCTTATTAATAAATGGACAATTGAATAAATTTATTTAATTTTTTAAATTGAAGTGTTTCGAGTAATATAACTTTAAACTGCACTTTTTGTTATTTTTATATTAAACTGTTACTAAATATTGCTTTCAGATAAGTACTTTAGAAGTTTCCACATTTCCCACTCGGTAACAGCACAATGACTGGAATTATCTTATTGCCTTCATAAATATCATTGTGTCTTTGTTTAAAAGCGATATCCAAAATAATTTACAAATATGACTTATCATCCCGATAGCAGAAATCCTCCAGCACGGCAGAAAGTTCTGCAGATTATTTTCATCTCAGATTTTTTTTTTTTTTTTGAAAAAAAGAAAAAAACATTACAGTATCGGAAGAAAATTTTTTTTCTTATATTTATTAAGTAAGCCTAAAATATTATTGAGAGGAGAAACAGAAATATCATTTTCAACTCCTAAATCTAGAAAAAATTTAGAGACAAGGAAAAATTAATAAACAAATTTTTACACCCAGTTGCTTATTAACGTATATAATCGTTATAAACTTGATGGGGATTCGTCCCAATTTTTAAATTTCAATTATTTCATTATTCCATTCATTTAAAATGTGCAAAAAATTTTATTAAAATAGCAACTTCTGAATAACATTTTTTATAATGTTGTTGGACACATGTTAGATTAAGCCTAATTTTTACAATGATTCTGGCTGTAGTCGTAAACCCATGAAATTGGGTCGGCTGTTCAACGATGGTTATAAAATAATAGAAAATAAAAAAATAAAATAAATGATTCTGGCTGTATTAGACAAATTTGAATTCATGAAGATTGTGCTGCACATTGACTTTGTAAATTCTGCTATGGAATTATATTGTCCAAGTATTCAACTAATGATCTGTTTTTAAAGTGAAGTAAGAGAAATCTGAAATTATTAATTGTAAAGAAATACATTTTGTCAATCATCAGCATGAAAAGCTAAGTGTAGGACATATATTAACACAGGGGAATTGTATGAGAACACTTGTTACAAATTAAACTTTATTAAAACAAATAAAAATGAGTTCAAAAATTAACATTAAGAAGTGATTTACCTTATCAGGACTGTAGTGTTGGTGAAATTTGGGAAAATGGAAGTTTTGTTACATTTATTTTTATAAGAGCTTTGTTTTCTTTTGCAGTTGTTATATAAATCATAGCTTTTTAATATAAATAACCATTTATCTCATCGATCAGTTTTACTATTAGACTGCCTTGGAAGTGTTGCAATATAATTGACATCAGAGTGTATATATATATTTTTTGCCACATAAATATTTTGTTAATGGACTAAGATTTTAAATAATGCATTTTTTTTTACCAATATGAGTAAATATCTTTTTACATGAAATTTCATTTATGTTTTTAATTATAAAGAATGAAATGTTACTCCACTTAATATTTAAGAAAAAATTATTTTCATGGCAAACTTATAAAAATTCTTATACTTAATGTTTAGTTTTACAATAATTTAAAATCTATCATCAACAGTAAACATTTTATTAACAGTTTTTTTTTTTTTGTTAATCTTTAGATGAAAGAATTATTATCTTAAATCCTTTTAATAAAACAACTTGAAAGGCTTAAACCTTTAAAATTTTTGTGTAATTAAATAGTTTTAGTTTTTTTTTTTTTAGTTGCCTCACAAAAATTTTTTTAAATTTCCCTTATCAATTAGCAAATTGAAAATTAATATTAACCAAGTGAACTCGCAAATGTCCTTGGTGCTCATAATTCGATTATATATTGTATTCTTGGTAAAATAAATTTAGCCTATAATATTTCCAAATGATGGATTTTCTAATGGTTCCTCCAGAACTACAGACAGAAGTAGCTGAAAGTTGCGATTCTCTAAGCTCATCTGAGTGTAGCAGTTTGGGTCCTGACCTTGACAACCTATTAAGAGCTGATTTCCCTCTTCTTATTGATGGTAAAATAAAAACATAAATGTGTATGAAAAGAAATATCTTTTGGGTACATTTGTTTCTTTTTGTGCTTATTTTTTTCCTGTGGTGGTGGTACCCTTGGTGGTGGATCCATTCATTTTTAACTATCATTTCTTTTTAGTTTCTCTTCTTGGGAATGTATTGCTTTGCTGTAGTTTTTGTTTATATTTTAATTTTCTCTGTGTGTCTTAACATGCCTGTTTCTGTGTTTTCAATTATTCTTTGTTAATACAATAAATAAAATATATGTTTATTTTTGAAAAATAGTGTATTGGTTTACATGATAATATTGTCGATTTTTATTGATTTAAATTTTTTTTTATTATTTAAACTATTCTATCAAGCGTGGATGCTGGGGTTTTTCTTTAAAAATTGAACAAAATATTGACACATTTACCTTTATAAAAAAGCTGTAAAAAAGTTTACTTTTATAAAAAAATTATGATCATGTTTATTGGAATAAACTCAGAATATTTCCAGAAAAAGGGCACAGTTTTTTATCTTTGATATGAGAGATAGTATCAGAAAAATTCCATAATTTTAATATTATTCATAAGTACAAAGTTGATACTAAATTGTTTTCATGGAGGTTCTTTATCCTCATAACCATTTGGAAAAAAAGATGAAAAGTATTATGTAAAAATTAAATGCATTGTAATATTTTTTTTTTCTAAATACTAGCAGGATTTAAGTTTAGAATTTCTTCTATTATTTAAAGCGCTTTTTTTCAACTCACATTTATTATTTTTATTTATTGTTAATGGCGCTTCAATTTTCAGTATCAGTGTTGCGAGTCATTTTAATTGGTAGCTGATTAAGTACAAATACAAGGTAATTAGATTAATCTCATTTCATTTATAGTCTTTGTCACAAATAATTAGAGAGTGTAAATAAAGAAATTTCCTTTCATATTATAGCGGAATTTAGGCGAAAGCTGCCTTATTTAGAAAAAATACTAAATCAGTCAAGATTAGTATAATAAGTGATAGAAGTTTTTATAAATTTTAGATGAAGTAAAGGTGTGAATTAAGGATTCCCTAATTCAAATACAGAATCCTTAATTCACACCTTTACATTAATTGTCTTATTTAAACTTACATTAATAATTATAAAACTAAATGTTTTGTTTTTGCATGTTTTTAACTGTATACTAATAAAACTAATATGAAGCTTGCTCTCAATGTTATGTAGTGTAATAAATTAAAGTTTTCATGTTCCTCTTACTATAACTTGCATCAAATGACACATTTAGTTTACTCAAAATCATTACATTTATTTTTTACGCACTGAAAAGCATATTGATTCGATTATATATTTTACTTTAAATTTTTAATATTTGTTTTTACTCTTGGGTTAAAAGAAAGAACTACATTATTTATTAAAACTGCTGAAATGAACCTTATTTATTTTATACCTTTTGATAATCTAAAAGGAATGTTTAGCATAATTACATTAAGTCTCAAATTGATATAGACAATTTTTTATACATAAGAAATATTAAAATAAATATTTTATTGAAAAAAATTATCCTGTATAAAAATTAATTTTTAATTATTGAGGTTCTGTAATTTCTTTTTCCTGTTTTTTCTTTCTTAGAAATTATTTTAAAGTGATGATTTGTACTCATGTTTGACATTTTGTGCCTTTCTTTTATCCCAGATTCTACTCATGCTCTTTTCCTTCGTGCGACCTACCTCATCTGCCACAGATTGATATCTTCTTGGAAGACTGATCTCAATGTTTCTCTTGCTGCTCTTGAAGTTTTATCTGGATTGGCTAGAATTCACCTCCCTCAAGCAGGTATATTTTGTGCTATAAACACATTGTATATATTATTTGTTGTGCTAAAGGTCTTTAGTACATTTTTTTCTTACTCTTAATGGTTTCAAAGGTTTGACAAGGGGCTGTAGAGGATGCACTTGCAAGAAAGTAAAGCATTTATGCAACAGTCGTATGTAGGCTAAAAGGATGATGGAGTTAAGGCATCATAATTCCATAACCAATAGCATGATGGTGGCAATGTGGTCAGCATTGCTCATCAATCATCCTGAAAGGCTGGTACCAATCAATTTGAAGTTGGGTGGACACTGAAGATCGAATCTGTCACAATGACTGATCAGTACCTTTCCCCACTTAGCCATTGGGGCTCTTAAATGCGATGTAACGTATCATAAGCTATATCAAGAACTATTCAGTTTTTTTTTATTATAAAAAACTTTTATTAACAAACAACACAAACAGTAACAAATATACAGTACCCGTAACGGGATAGTGAAAAGATCATAAACAACTAGAAAACCCCGTAACGGGATATACGGAAACTCAAATTCCACAATAAAACTAATCTTAAAAATAATCAACAACTTTCTTTTTGTGTTCTAATTTTATCGTCTGTTTTTTATTTTTTTAAATTTATCTCTTTATGTGTTTATTTATTTAATTTATGCTTTTGCAAACCAATTATCTTTTTAATATTTTTAGACTTTACAGCGCTTACATCTCCTAGAAATATAAAATGTGTAATTAAGTTTTAAAGGATTGTTAGAAAAAATTGCCAGTATTAAACCACTTCAGACCATGACATTTATGATAAAATATAATTATTGAACATTAGTTTTCAATGTATCTATTTTATTGAAATGTATTAGCACAAATGTCTAAATATTTCAACTTTTAAACAGTTTATATCATTCAGTGGAGGTTTTTTTCGGCTTCATTTTAATTATTAAATATATTATTAATTACATTAATTTTTATTTATTCAATATATTATTAATTATATTGATTTACATTATTAATTAAAGTTGATTTTAATTTTAAAAATTTTCATTCAAGTCAGAAAATTTTTCACTATTATATTTAACATGCACTTTGAAAACGTACATATAGAATGACTTTTTTTTACATAATTCTTGATACAGTGTCTTTTTTGTAGGAAAAATTGTCAGAGGATTAAAAACAAATCTATACAAACAGCATTAAAATGCACTCTTGTTTTCTTGAAATTTTTTTTTTTTGAAAATCTTTACAGTAAGACAAAGTCAATTTATTCTTCAGGAGATCAATTAACTAAATGTCACAAGAAATTATTTGGAAAAATTTAAAAAGAAGAGCAGAAAGTGCTTGAAAAGCATGGCTTGCTGTGTTCTGCTTAGAATATCGTAAAATATATTTCCACCAAATTTCAAAATTAATTAAAAAGTTTGACAACAGAGACCACTGTTCACCATAAAACAATTTTTAGTTTTATATCAAACTATTCCAACGGAAATATTTGCATAGAGATTCCTGTTAATTTTATGCTCTGAACGCTCTACATTGTTACTGTAAATGGTGGTTCTAGAATTGAAGTTCTGTTGTACTTGCTGCTAGTTTTAAATTGTTTTTATTCCCATTGTCCCTTCCCTAATCTAGTAATAACCTGTACATATTTTTTATTTTTATTAATAAAATTATAAATAATAGAATATAATAAGTTTTATAAAACTATCATTTATGGTGAAAAGTAAATACTAATTATTTGTTTGTTATTTATGCAACCGTACATAGTGAAAATTGCTACGGGTAAGTACATGAAAAAATAAAATATCAACAATATTTTAACTAGTAGTTTCTTGTGATTTAGATGAATAGAATACTTATTTTTTTATTTTAACTAATCTAACTTTCTCAAATAATTTTTCTATATTTTTCTTAGATTCTCTGGAGGGAAAACGAGCAGTGAAATGGATTTGTGATTACATTGTATTCCAGTGTTCCAGGCCACCCCCTGCTCATTCCAAGGATTTACATTCCACAATTGTTGCTGCTTATCACTGTGTCACAACATGGCTTGTTGAGCACCCTAATTTATTAAATGATAAGGAAACAGTTCACACTGTTCTGGAGGTTGTAGAACTTGGAATATCAGGATCAAAGTCACAGGTAGAAAAAATTAATTAATTGTAAATTGTAGGTTAGCATACTATTAATTAAAAATTAATTAGTTGTATGCTAAATTTTTATGTGTTCGTTAGAAAGATTTTAAATCTTAAATATGTCTGAAACATTTTTTAATTAAAGACTGTATGTTATGTTGAAAATTTGTTAGTCCTACTCATAGATATGTATTTCATTACTACAACTATTGTATAAAACAAGTTAACGGAAGTTAATTCGAGCACACTGAACAGGCTAAACTGTAAACACTTGAGATAATTTCAACAGTCTTATTTTATGCTGCTGTATTTCAATATATGATATAATCAAGAATTGAAAAACAGTATGAAAGCTAAGAAAAAATCTTTCGATTGATATTTATCATTTACTTGAGCTATAACATTTATTCAAAAATAAAGTGTAGCCTTTTAGAAAGAGAACAGAAAAACACACAAACAGGGTTCCGTAATGACTGTAATCCATTGTTGGGATGTTATGAATTGATATTATATTTGATTTGTGAATTTTTTTTTAATCCTATTGTTTCTTATATTACAAAAAGAAAGATAATAAAAGCCTTTGTATGTGCAAGATTACATTACACGACTCATATTGCTGATCAAAATCCAAAATTAAATATATAAAGTTTTATTAATATTGTATTTTTGTCAAAATAAAGTTCTGAAATAAGGTTTCTTAAATAATTGTTTCTTTAAAAAAAATTTGAAATATTGTGTGTGTTAAAGGGTAATGTTGCCATAATATTTTTTCTTTATTTTCTTGCTCATTGACTTTATTGTAATCTTCATAAATCCTTTTCATTTAATCTCGTTTTAATCATTGTTGAAATTAAAAAAATAGTTACCAACTGTCCTATTCAATCCTAAAATCGGGTTGTGTGAACAAGGTCAGATATTGGTAATAATTTTTCCTTAACTTTTCTAACTAATAATGGTTAACTTTATTTTAATAATGGTTTTTACATCGTATTTAATTTTTAAAATTAAATACTCGTTTTTTAAACTTTTTACAGTTCCTTTCATTGTTTAAGTTTCAATTAAAATCAAAAGATTGGACAATTTACTGTTTTACTACATTAATTTTAGATGTTAAATCAAACAATTCAGTGGTGATAAATAAAATAAAGAAAAATGCTATTACCCTTTTTTTGTGAAAAAAAAAGCCTTTTTTAGTAAGCAAGTTTTTCTTTGATGGGGTGAATTGTGTTGAAATTAAATCATCTTCAACAATGGATTTATACAGCTTTTCTATAGAGTTTTTCAAAGGTATTTACTGCTGCTGTTTTCAGACTTCATTTTAATTGCTTCATACGATTTTATTTTTGAGATGCGTGTTTTTAACTCACTTTGGTTCTAATTGAAGATATGTTCAAAAGTAAAAGCTGATATGTTGTTTTTTTATTCAGATCTAAATGCACTTGGTCATACTAATTTACAGGAATCTTAAATAGCTTACATTTCTATCAAAGAATCAGTGGATATATTGTGATTAGAAATTCTATACCACCTTCAGGGTTCTTCTTTGTGTCTTACTAATTTAATGCTTGTTAATTATTTATTTTTTAGTGCAACTTACTATTTTTTTTTAGTGCAACTCACCATTTTTACTTTTACCTAATGGTTAAGTGAGACAAAAGAAATTCTATAGGTTTTACGGATTTTTAGAAGCATTGCTAACTCACATGTTTGTTGGCGCCACTTTTGACCAAATGCCATCATTTTTTGATCATCAATTATTTACTGTAATACACAAATGACATATTTTTGTCATGTTTGCAAATTTGTTTTAAGTTCGTTGAATATGTTAATTAACAAAATTTCAAGTTTAATTAAAATATTGTTTCTTTTGAAAGTATTATATTAGATTTTGAATTTATTTTATGTATTGTGGTGATGTTCAGTTCATCACCACACACATTAAGATAAGAATAAAAATGAATAACAATTAAAAATAATATACTCTTAAGTAAGAGAACAGGATCATTAGAATGATCACTAATTGCAAGGTGTTAAAACTATTTATTTAATATAGATCATTTAAGACATTTAGAGTTACAAATTTTGTTCCAGGAAGGCATTCACTCCAATTAATAATAGGTACATAAAAATTTAACATGAAATTATACATTATGAAGCTGCACTGCTAATTAATAAATAAATAAAAAAATAATTATGGGGTGATAGAAAATTTTATAATATAACTTAGCTGTTGAGGATCCTCATATTTTTGTATCTTAACCTCAGCTCTCCAAAAACCATGTGTGTCATTGCCTTTTCTCTCACCTCCTCTAACCCAGCCCCCAAAGCATACTCAACTCTTATTGGCTGTTACCACCATCACAAAATAAGTAGGGCTATACTTGCTATTTCTTTTTTACATTTATTTTTGGCTAAATTATTTAAGGGCAGAAAAGGGCAGGTGAAAACTTATGAAAGAGAAACTAAAACTTTAAAGTAATTATAGCAGTGCAGCAAAGATAAAAGTAACAAAACATCATAAAAGCAATACCACATAAATATAAAAGTAACAAAACATCATAAAAGCAATACCACATAAATATAAAAGTAACAAAACATCATAAAAGCAATACCACAGTATTTTTGGAGTGTTTTTTTTATTCATACATGTCCTAAGAATCTTAATTGTTCTGATGCATTTTTTAAAAAAATATTTTCTAGTTTCTAATCAAATTGTCTTTCCATATTTTAATTTATTTAGCCAAAAAGAAGTGATCCTCCTAAACTCAAAGGTGACAAAGAACTGAAACCAGCATCGATGCGTGTAAAAGATGCTGCTGAAGCTGTATTGGCACACATGCTTGATTATGTTGTGAGTAAATTTAGTCTGATTTTTTTTAAATTTATGATACACTTCTCAATTTAGTTTATGAACCACTCTCAGTTGCACCAAAGCCCACATTTTTGCACAATTGCTAAAATTCATTCGATTTATGTACCAAAATTGATATTTTAATTTTAGCTGCATAATAACCACTCAAAAAGTTTTTTTTTTTTTTTTTTTTTTTTTTTTTTTTTTTTTTGCAAAAGTTATAAATTGTATGACTAATTGTTTAAATTTGTATCATTGATTGGCTATGTGTGCTCACTGTAAAGAAGCTTGATTTAGAATAACAATTCCATATGTAAGACATCACTGTTGTTTATGTATTTGCTACTGTTGTTTTTTAGTTATTTTTCCTTAAAATTATTTAAAATGTGTTTACATTGTTGTCTTTTAACTATATTCCATTCAAAAATGAATTAGTATGTTGAAATATTAACAAAATACTTTACTTTGTATTTGAATCAAAATTTTTATACATACAATTTTTATACATTTTATACATAAAAAAAATTTCTCTCTTCAATATCTTAGTACTACATATGAGCTTTTCAAGCCCAAATAAATTTCTGCTGAAATTTATTCTCGACTTGGATGAGTTGATTTCTTGCTTGGATGAGTTGATTCAGAACTTGTGTTCTTTATGAGATAAATAGAAACTAAAAACGTTCTGTAATTATCAGAGTAATTAAGAGTTAATTAGCCTAATTGGCAGTAATGCTAAATAATAACACATTTTTGCCAAGATATAAGTGTCAAATTTGAACCATGTCTTCCTTATCAGGTATGACGAAAGACTAAATTAGTTTCTTTTCAATATTGTTTAGTTATCAGGATAGTTCGAAAGTACTTACACTAACTGGAACAAAATAAAAGTCTGCCAGAAAGATAGAATTCCCAAATTTTGTCCACGTGTTCCTAACATATAATGGGGATTCTTTCATATATAGAATTCTATTGCTATGTGTTATCCCTGGAATCCATAAGGAGAATAGTTCTCAAAACAGGAACATAGAAATGTAAGTTACACAAAAATTGCAACTTTCTTCATAACAGAAATCAAAAGATAAATATCTTAAATTCATTATTAGGTAACAATCGCCTAATTTTATGGTAAAAATTATTAATTTTAACATCACAATAAAATTTTGGATATAAAGGAGGCTCTGTCATATTCAGTAAGGAGACTACTGTATTTAATTAGTGAATTTATAGACAAATTATGTACTTGTGCAATTATTACTTCCAATAATATTTCCAGAAAATATTTTTCATCGAATTTGAATTTGGGGAATCATTGCTTATAGTGGATTTATTGTTGTGTCTGCTGTTGGTTTACTATTGTCGGTTTGACTGTTGTACTGTTTCACTACTTTATTTCTGCTAACCAGCAATGATTTCCAACTTTATTAATAATTATTTTATATTTCATTTTTATCCCAGGGATATTTTCCACCTCCCTGTGGATCGCAGAATTTATCATCTCTGTTAGATGAGAAATCTTTGTTGCAACAGTGCAAAAACTTGAATGATGACCAACTGACCAAAGAAGAAGTTGTTAAACACTTCCGATACTTTGCTGTGGACAGTTCAATTATTCTAGCTCTTTTGGAACAGCACCTGGGAAATGAACAAGGTAAATATTTTGCATTTTCCTAAATGTATTACCATTTGAGAGATTTATTTCATTAAGAATTCATCATCCTGGATTGCCTTTTTATTTTATTTTCCAACTGATTAAACAAAAGTGATCTTAATTTATTTAGATTAAACAATTAAATTCTGTGCAGTAAAAGCATACTATAATGTTTTCTTGAGGCTGAGTGTTTAATATCTTTAACAACATTTGGTGCGATTTTATTACTAAATTTACGATTTTATTACTACGATTTTATTACTTGTTGTTGGAGCTCGGCAAAAATTATTAGGCAGGCAGGAAATTCGATTCCAGTTAACTTTTAAGCATTTTTATGCTGTATAAATATTTTATTATTTGAGTTTAGTGGATTTTGTTTCATGTCAATATGGTGAAAAACGTATGTAAAATATACACATATATAACATACCCTTCAGGATGCAAAAATTTTAAAATTATCTTTTGTGTAATAATTAAAAAAAAACAAAAAAAAGTAATTGTGTTTAATTAATTGATTTAAGCAAGAATTATTTTGTTATTTTTATGAGTTTACTTTCTTTTCAACTACAAACTTCTTAAAACTCACTTAAAACTCACTGCTATTATTTAAAGTTTGCATTTCAGGAGAATGTAGTTAAGTTCCATACCAAGTCCCTTATCAATTAAATTTAGCTAGATTAGTGCCTTACAAAGCGGAATTTGAAATACTCAAATTAATGTAAGAAATAATGAATTAGCCTAACCTAAAAATAAATGAATTAACTTAGAATTAGCTTAGCCTAAAAATAATTTACTATAGTTATGATTATCCGAATTATCTGGTTTCTGCTACTGCAATATTTTTTTAAATTATAAAAGAGCATTTTTTCTAAGAAACTTCTGTAAAGGGGGAAGCAGAGTGGGCCACCCTTCTAAAACACTTAGGGAGAACACTGACCCAGACAACTTAGCAAGAATTAAATGCGAGAATTGAAATTTGGAATGTATGCAATCTTTTCAATTGTAGTGCTTTATTCTTTAAAAAAAAATATGGGCATCATTAAATGGAGACACCTAGTTTCTGATGGAGCAAACTTAAGACAAATTATTAGAACAACTCTGACTAGTACTAGACTATCATGTTGAGAAAGAAAAAAAAGAAGATGGAACTGGTTGTGAAGGTTCTTAATCTTACCTCAATGCCGTATGACCATTTGAATTTTTTTCAACCTTAAATTATAGAGATAGTCATAATATGGAAAACATAGCCATAATTTAAGGAAGCAGTAAAAATTTTGATTTTATATTGTTACTTTTTTTTATACTTCTAAGTCTAATTGGGTGAATGATCATTGAGTTCTGAAGTTATTGGAAATGTTATTTTTTTTCATATTTTGCATTAAAATAATTATTTTTCCATGTTTTCTTAAATATCTTAAGCGTTTTAAATGCTTGTTAAATAGAAATGGTTCATTGATTGATTAATATTAATTGGTAATTATTAATTCTACTTACAATGTTAGTTTCTAATTATTTTTTATTTTGTAGATCCACAGCCAACGTTAACAGCTTTAATAAGAGGTCCCTTTGGTCGTTATGCATGGTGTGTGCAGTTGCGTCATTTACCATATAGCAAGGTGAGTTAGAAATTACTTGTGTCTTCATTTTGCTTTTAAATTTCAATTATGTGCAATTTTATGTATTTTTTCTCTTATGTAGTCTGGCAACAAACCTTATTCTATAAACCCAGGCAGACCTTTGCCATTAAATGATGTTGGGACAGTGTACAATATTAAACAACGATATTTTCCAGAATCAGTGGACAAAATAACAACTTGTCAAGCGTGAGTGCAATCTATATGCTCTAAACTTTTAGTGCTTGTAATTATTGCAAATTGTTTTGAATTTGTTGCGAAAGTGGATAAATCAATGATTTTAATTAATTTGGTATGATTTATAAATTGTTCATGCAGAATTGTCAAAAGATGAAATAAAATTATGACTCTAAAAATTTTAATTTTAGGTTGCTCTAAAGTCAATAAAAATTATTATATCCTTACTATTTTTTTTTATTTTCAATCAAATTTTTTTCAGTGCTTTCTAAAAATGTTAGATTTTGTAAGCCATTATCTTCATAAACTACGAAATTTTTGTCACAATAAAAAAAAGTACTTTATGTGTAAAATACATCACTTATCTAAGAAAAATAAAAAAAAATTTATAGATCGTCTTGTTATACTTGTTTAAATTATCAATCAATTAATTAATATGAAATGTTATTATTAACACTTCTTCACAAATTACATTCTAATATAATCAATAAACTGTTTATTTTACATCTGAAATTAATTGTATGATTTAGACAATAATTTCAAATATGTAACAAAAAAATATTAAACTCGAATTTTAATAGTTTCAATTTGATTTAATTCATCAATCCAAATAAAATAAAATCTGCTTTTATTATAAAAAATTTTAGCTTTCTTTTTAATTTGTAAAAACAAATACTATATCTTATTATTCTACGTCTTATGTATTAGAGGGAGTCATGAATTTCTTAAGATACTTTCTATAGCTCACTATCCTGCTTTTTTAAAGAATAAATCTATATTAAATAATATATTATTTTTTTTACCAAAAATAATTATATTTTTTTTTAATCAAAAATTCATTTTAAATAATTTTTAATGTATTGAAACGATTTAAAATAATTCTATCCTTTTTCAAAACTTTATTTTGATAGGTTTTTTTTCGAAAATTCTATTTAAATAATCATATTATTACATAAAATAAATTGTAAAATTAAGTTAGCTTTCTTTAGAGAAGTTGTGGTGCAATTCTTTTTAAATGCTTTAACTATGCTCATTATTTTAGACTAAGGCTCAATATCTAACATTATTTAAGGCTCATAATCTAAATTTTTTTTTAAATTTTAAAGGACAGCAATCTTAACACCTACACTAAAGTAATTAATTGAATTGGGATTAATTGTTTCCATTTATCAATAAATGAAGGGTGACAAAAAATAGAAAAAGATAAGATTTTGTTAAAAACAGAAAAAAGGCGTGAATTTTCTGATACAATTGTTGTGATTATATCTGCTATTTTTAGAAGAACAAAGTTTATGGCATTTTTAAGCTTGCCCTCCCCCCCCCCAAAAAAAATTTAAATTTAGACAAATATGCAAGTGAATAATTAAAAGTATGATTGAAACCAATTTTTAGGATAATTATTGCCTGTTACATCATTTTTCCTAAACTCCACTAATAGTCATCAAACATTTGTTTTGATTAAAAAAAGTATTTTTAACTAAACTATTTTGCTAAATTGTTTTAACTCATAAATTTTTTGCTTTTTTATTAAATACAATTATTGTTTTCTCTTTGGAAATAAAAATAGGGATCATAGCATACCATCGCTTGATAACGTTTCTCAGGATGAAGTTAATGAGTATCAGAAAGTTTTGCAGCTTATTGACAACCAAATTAATTTTGAGACTTCTGTTAAGAAACAGGTTGAATTGGAAGACAAGGATTATCCAAATCCCGAAACTGAATGCAAGATACCAAGGTAAGCACATCTGTTTTGTACATTAATATATTTTTTGAACTAGTTAAAATAACTTTTTATTATAACAGTATTAAGCTAAAATATGACTTTTACAATAAGTGAAGTAGGACCAGACACTTCCATGATTGCAGAGACAGTTCCAAATCTCCAAGCTGCTCGTATTTCCAATTTTAATAGGCTTCCTTGAATTATCTTAAAACAATTTTATTATGTATATGCTAATTTTAGCCCTATTGTTACTTTTGCTTTGAATGTTCATTTTCTCAAATTTAGTCACTCTCAGTACATCAAGTATCAGATTGAAATCAAAAAGCAATATATTTTCAACAACTGGCAAGACAATTTGATTTAATTTTTTTATTGGAATAATTTCTTTATTACTTCGACAAAGATTGAAAATATTCAGATATTAAACTATTTATTACCATTAAAATTTTAACCATTAGTACTCCATAACTAGACAAAGTATATAAAAATAAATAATAATTTTACTAACAATAAAATTAAATCATTTATCACTCTGGAACTGGTTGTCCTTTTTGTGCATAATCTATTATTTGATTTCATTTTTTACCTTTCAAAGAACTCTATAAAAATAAGCAAATTTGTGATTTTTCAAATATTTCAAAAACTTAATCAGATTTGTTTTTTCCCTATGTCTTTATTGTTATTATTATACATTCGTAAATATATTTATTTTTTGCTCATGCTACAATTGTTGGTTTTTCAACTTTACAATAAGACAACACAAAGTAATTTTTAACTGGCAGATTGTGAATTATTTTTTATAAGTTGTCTGATATACCTTTATGTCTCTAAAGCATTTCCTTACAAAGAATTAAAAAAAATATAGTAATAATTTTTCATCACAGTTAACTCATTTTATTTTCTTAGAAAAAAATTTTAATTAATAAAGTGGGAAGGTTATCTGTAAAATAGCTTACATTGTGGAAGCAAAAAAACATGAATGAAAGAAAATAATTTATTATATATACAATGCATTTGTAAGCCACATTCTTAGATTATTTTTCTTCATAAATTTTGTACAAATTGAGACAATTTACATAACTGTGCACTAATTTAACTATTTTATGATCAATGCCTCCGTAACCATCACTTCATTACTTAGTACTCCGTCAGCCACTTTTCAATTCGTTGAGGACATTTTTTGACACTCTCATTCTATAAATCTCATTTTATTTCTCTCATTCTATAAATTTCACTTCATAAATTTGCATGGGAATCAAATTTTTTTGCTTTCTTTTTGCATGCAAAATCCTTATTATATTGACTGCATTGTAAAATGCAATCAAGTATAATTTCACTTAGGTACAAAATAAAAGGGGCAAGATTAAAAATTAATGCAAAAATATTAAAAATCCTCAGTTTGAAGACATCATGGTAAATCTAAAGAATGTTTGGCAATAAGATGGAAGCAGTAGCTAAGTCCTACAAAAACTTGTTACTTTTTTTGCATATACAATCCTTCTTTTTTTCCCAAAGTTCTTTTTTGTTGATTTTTCTAGTCTTAATATTTAATAATTAATTTAAAAATTAATAATAAAACCATTAGATAACCAGCATATTTAGGTTAATTTTGTTACATAATTATCTTTGAATCATCATAATTACTTATAAATCAGCAGCTTATGTCAAGAAGTCTTAAAATGGAAACTAACTTTCTTATTTATGCTTAATAAGTCTTTAAATGGCGACTAACTTCCAAATATTTAATTGAAAACTGCAATTGTAGCATCACTATTTTTATATTTTTTTAATGTCACTTAATCATTCATGTATTAATTTATTTCAATAATTACTTTTAAATCAACAGCTTATGTCAAGAATTTCAAACATCACGCTTGTTTCTTGCTCATCTTGGATTCCTACACTCAGATGCATTAAAGGTAATTGTGATCTTCATTTTATATGTTTTCACAAAACTTCTGTAGAAAAAAAAACCTCATAAAACTTTAGGGAGCAGTTTGATTTGAATAATTAAAAAAAAAATTTCTTCAAATTTCCACTTTATTTATTTCATACAAAACTTTTAATTGCACTCATTTATTTGAAAAAAATTTTTAATGTCCCTTATTTTATAATGAAAGTAACTTCTTGATATTATAAAATAACTTAAAATAACGAATAGAGGTCAACATAAAATATTAAATAATGACTTGAAAATCTACTGAAATTAATAGAGAAGTAATGGATATGACAATTAATAAACTTATTATGAGTATAAAAAATTCAATTTGAAAACCTGCATGTAAAGCAAAAAATATTAATGATGCAAAAAAATGCATTAAACATTTAGATTTTTAAAATATATAAAAAATTTGGTTTGAACACTTTTTATTTTCTCATCTTTTACTATAAATTTAAACATTTGTAACAGATTGCTGTTCATTTTCAGTAATTTTTTGTAACTTCTGAAAATTCCTAGTTATTTTTAAAGCTTTGAGGCTTTCTAAAAATGTTATCTATGGTTATGGTTCAGTTTTATCGTCCTCATTGGTATCACTTTTCACTTTAGCATTGGCAAAAAACTTCTTTGACTGACAACACCATAAGATTCAACATTTTCATCAATGGAAGCATGAACATCAAACGTGATATGTGACGCTTTTTTCCCAAACTGTGACAAACTTTACTTTTCTTTTTCACCTCTAGCATCAGGGAGTAACGTTTTTATCTCAAAACGAAATAACTTCAATAATTTTTTTTTACATTTTGGTTGAATTTCTGAACAAGACATGGTAATTTGTTGGTTTCAAAATGATCTAAACGGGTATTATTAACATTATGAGAAGCGACTGTGAGTCAGTAACTTTAAAATAAGATGATACATTTGAAAAACAAAATATGCAAGAAGTATGTTTAAAGGAAAATTCGAAGTATTTGCTGATGTACCTGCTTGACTGATATGTTCTTATAATTTTGCAGTGATGAAAATAATTTCATATACTAAAATTTCTTAGCAAGGCAAAATATCTATTCAGATAAAACTAACTGAAAGGTTCTGCTGTTTTAAAATAGTCTGAAATTTTTTTCTTTTTAGTGAAATATAATTTTTTTATAATTATTTTTAATTAGTGTATTCATCAGAATAGACTTCATTTATAAGAATTAGCTGTGTTTTCTCAAAATACAGTTATTCACAAGCATCCAAGAATTTACTTTAATTAATTGCAAAATACTTCAATTTCAAATTTCTCTATTAAACATTTAAGGATTGAATGATTAATTATATGTTATTGATTTACTAATAGGCAATTTTGTTTTTAAGTGGAAAATAATTTTTGCATTAAGTGCAATGTCAAATTAAAGTTTGCAATTAGCTAGTAATATTAATTATTTAAGTTCTACTGAGTTCATTTAAACTTAATCAAGCTATACACATTATATTGTTTTTTTCTGGATACGAAATGAAAGGTTTTTTTTTTATTTGAATAATGTTTCTGCACATTTAATTGCTTTATGATAACATTATGATTTTTTTTATCTTAAGGAATCCCTGACTCAACCACTACCATCTTTGGTGTCATTAGATAATGCTAAAGAAAATATGTATTCAAGATTAGAGGAAATTGACAACACTCCAAGTCGAACAGCTGATACTGTCTTTATATTTTATGTAAGAAGTGGGCAGTCTTCGGTTAATTCTTTTCTACAAAATGTGGTTCGTATTTTTTTTATATTATTTACAACTTATATTTGTATGAAAAGTGAATCTTATTTGAAAGTTTTCTAGACAATATTTTCTTGTGATTTCTCCAATATATATACATATTCATTCCGGATAACTGATTTTTCCGGTTTTCTGAATCGATACAAAAAGCCGTTTTTTTTATTGTTAAACTCAACTAAAAAAAAAAACAAAAATAGGTGGAAATAATCTTAAAAAGAAGAAAAAACGATGAATAGTACACTAATGATTATTTCCAAAATGGTGATAAGGTAAAACATCTTTCAAAAAAAGAAAAAAAAATCCTATGGGGAAAAAAAAACTTTTTTTTTTGTTTTTAAATGGCGGCAAAATGTATCGAATTTCGTTCCGGTTTTTTGTTTTTCTGATTTCCGGATAACGGGTTCCGTACTGTATATATCTTTCAATAAATGACTATATCTCAACTTGCAAGTTCTACATAACGTAATATTATACTGTTTTCAAATGCACATATAAAATGAATATATATATATATCTATGCACACACACATATATATACAGAAATATGTATACAGAGCGAGGGCAGGTGAAAACAAATGAATTTAATTCTTCCTAAAATAATGCTTTGTTTTGTTTCGAGTTAAAAATATTTTGGTTTCTATTTTTGTTCAATTTTTTTGATATTAATATTAAAGAAAACTATTTAAATTCCGTATTATCAATATATTTCAGCATAATTCTGTTTGTTACTGTTTACTTTAAACTAATATATATTTAATTAAACATAAGGATTGCTATATGTGTTCATTAACAATATGCTCGTTTTACCCATCTTATTTGAATTATTTTAAAAATAGAATGTATAATAAATAATGCTTAGCTGTCAATCAGAAAGTTATCTTAATGAAAGTATAAAATTATCCTTTTACTGCTACTAGATTAAGTGATTCAACAAGCAATAGGAGATCAGTTGTTTGAAACTGCTACAGATAGAAAATATATTTTCTTATACTTTGTTTTTAACTTTTTAAATCTTGAATAAAAACTAGCATGCTTTTCAATAGTTATTAAAATGTTATGGTTTTTAGTTATGACCATTTTATCCCCTATTCAGCCCAATTAAGGTTTTTTAATTTAAGATTTTAACCAAATTAAATTAATATTTGCTACTTGTTTTTTATTTTATTAGCAGCTTAAATTTCATGATTAGTTCATAAATTATCTTAATAAATGTAAAATAACAGTTTTTGTTACTAAGTTAAATATTTTCTTTTAAATAGGTGACCATTAACATACACCCTCACTTCCATGAGTTTTTAAGATCGTTAGGTTGGTCTGTGGATGCTAAAAAACATTCAGGATGGACTGGCCATATTTCAACTGCATGGAAGATTTTGCCCAATGAAGATCTTGGTAAGTTACCCATAATTCACTCTTTCATCATACCGGGATGTTTATTATAGTTTTCTGCCTTGTGATGTAAATATTGTATCTTTTTTTGTACAAGCTCTATTTTTAGTACATGCTTCAAAGCAAGCTAATTAGAATATAATATTTCAAATTTTTCAGGATCTTAATTTTATTCAAAATTTCTAGATGAAGCACTTTAATTTATAACAGGCGTGGAACAGCTGACCTATTTTGGGTGTAAGACTATCAATGTTCAACAATGTTGTAATTTTGATCCCAACTCAAGGGAACTCCTGGATCAAACATTGGAATAATAAACTAGTTCTCACAGAAGACTTGGTAGAACTGGCCTACAGTTTTGTTACATGAAGAAGAAAACCATAAAACTTACCATGGTTAGCCCAATGGCAAGAAAGCTCTAACCCATGATCCGTCTGCTATTGAGGATATTTCATGCTAACATTGTGGTCAATATTAACTATATTAATGGTAAAAATATGAGAAAAAGTTATATAATTGGAAGAAGCAATGTTTAATTAAAAGATTCCAAATTTCATTTTCCAACTATTGAAAAAATACTCAAAAAGTTCTAATTTTCAGTATATCTTCCCTACTTTATTTAAACTAGAAATTCTTTACAGAGTCTATCGAAGAAGATCACACAGTTAGTGCATTCAATGGGAAAAATAAAGTTCTGTACTGGTCTGATGTTAATTCTGAGTTGGCCTTTGTTGTACCGAGTTATTCTTCTCAGGATAAAGTAGCAAGAAGGGAAATGAAATCCGTTGACTTTGGTGATGAAGTGTTGCTTAGAAATAAAGGTAATTTGGTAATGGTAATATTGATAATGTTATTAAACAACTTAAGAAAGATAATCAAATAATGGAACCTCTTCCATATTATGATCAGAGTTAGATTTTTTATTCAATGTAATGTTGTTAAAAATACAAGAATTTACTTTAAAATTGAGATTTCCTAATTATATCTTAAGTTAAGTGTTATGTATTAAAAAGCATATTCAGTAATCAGAGCTTTTGATGTCACATATGTACTCTTTTATCGAATTTTTCAATTGCCGTTTTGCATATACAAGTATGAATTTGATTGACACAACACTCAATTTTATCCTCCAAATCAAAAATGGTCATAGGAACCTGGCATAAATCTTAAACCATGATCTAGGCGACAGGTTCTCATCTCCAAAACGGGAAATTCTACGACCAGGAAATGACATAATAACGCTCAAAATATTGCTCGATAATGAAAATGGGTCTTTTTTCAAATAGAACTTCCTTTTTTAATACTTTAAATTTTCAAATGCTGATTCCTTTTTTTCTGTTGGCAATATTTTATAGCATTAATTTAGCAAAAATAATAAAATGTAAATGCATTTAATTTAGCAAAATTTTCCATATACAAGTATGAATTTGATTGACACAACACTCAATTTTATCCTCCAAATCAAAAATGATCATACGAGCCTGGCATAAATCTTAAACCATGATCTAGGCGACAGGTTCTCATCTCCAAAACGGGAAATTCTACGACCAGGAAATGACATAATAACGCTCAAAATATTGCTCGATAATGAAAATGGGTCTTTTTTTTAAATAGAACTTCCTTTTTTAATACTTTAAATTTTCAAATGCTGATTCCTTTTTTTCTGTTGGCAATATTTTATAGCATTAATTTAGCAAAATTAATAAAATGTAAATGCATTTAATGTAGCAAAATTCAGATCTTGCATGAATTTTAGGACAACATTTATTAATATAATTTCAATTTAGAAAATATTTAATCAACAACCTTATGTATTTTATGAATCAAATTAGATCTAACCAACTCCCCCAGAGAAATAGAAAGGAGAACTATGCCAGCTGGATCTTTTTCTGAAGCACCGATGCCTAGGGCTATGTCTCTCAACTTAGACAACACAGATGACTTATCTCAAGGACAAGGTCGAAGTTCTGGCAGAAAATATGGTCGACAGCATAGCTGTGCTACAGTTTGTGATATGAAAGTTGTGGTTGTTTGGCTTGAAAACTTGGATGATCAGACTTCATTCCCTCTTGGTATGTTTCCCGAGAAATCTTGTGTTAATTATTTAATGATTTTTTTTTTTTCGAAAATATGTTGCTTTTGAATCCATAGTTTGTTTTAAATATAAATTTAGAATATAGAATATGTACTTTATTTTGAAATTGTTAATCATTTCAGTTAAAAATATTTATTCTTTAATGAATTTTCTCATGAGCTTGTCATTAGCTTTCATTCGTTTTAGTTTTATTAGATTTATTATTTTAATGATTCTGTCCTAGATACACTCACATTTTGCTTTAAATTCTAAAAAAAGAACTGGTATATTTGCTAATTGCACTTTTTTGGTAAAAAAAAAGAAACAAACAAATTCAAGTAACACCTTTTTATCTTAATATAACAAAGATTTTGTTTGTGTAATATTTAATGTAGTTATGCATCTTGCCATAATCCTGCTTATTTTTTTATTTCTGTTCTTTTATTAAATACTTGCCGTCTGAGGCTGCCAGCTCTCCGCCACACTAATGGTTTTCACAAATAAAGTTTTTTAAAACATAGCAGGAAATCTGAAGATTAGTGGACAATTAAAGTTTTCCTGTCCTGCAATTTTGTCTTCATATCCAGTTCTGATGCAGATGTGTTATAGCTCTTGAGGATGTTTGAAATTATAAAGCTACAACACTTAGGAAGAAGAAACTAAAATGCTAAATGCATGAAAAGAACACAATTTTGTCTTCATATCCAGTTCTGATGCAGATGTGTTATAGCTCTTGAGGATGTTTGAAATTATTAAGCTACAACGCTTAGGAAGAAGAAACTAAAATGCTAAATGCATGAAAATAACACGAAAACGAATAAATTTTTTATGGTATCAATTTCTATTTCTATATCGCTACAAAAATTATCGTGTTCGCTTAAGAAAAAAAATAGAGCGTGGAAAGAAGAAGAAAAACTTATTATAACAATTATAAACAGCGACAAATATATCAAAGCGAAACGTTCGATTTACGTATTGAATATGTTGCCGCATTTTTAATACTAAAGTTAAACTTTTCTCCACTTTAATAAATGTAAACTAATGCGAACCGATTCAAATTTNTACAAAATGACTGATAACTAAAAAACTAATCCAAATTTTTGAAAAAGAAAGAAAAACACTTCTTCATTATGTCAAAACACAATTATGTGCCGAGTTTCGTGCCTGAGCGAGGCTTCTGGGGCGATATATTGTGATTACAGACAGACAAACAGCCGCGTTTATTATTATGTACAGATATATTGTTTTGAAATAAAATATTTTTACTGAGTACTTATTTTCTTATAGCTGATATTATACCATTTATGAGTACAGGATTAGAGCCACCAAATTTTATAGCCCGAACATCAGAAAAGGATTTGTTTGTAATTTTTGTTCATCCATTACAAAATGGGCTCTATCAAATCAAACTACAAGGACCCGCTGGAAAGTATGCTTATTTATATTGTTTACATCTTTTATTTATTATGATTATCAAACTTCGGAATTTTTATAAACAAAGAAATTAGAAAGGAACACATTTCTGTCATTTGGTAACCATTTTCGCTTTCTTGAATAAGGATTCCAAACGCATTGCATTATTCCTTGTTTTCAAGCAATGCATCATATAAAAACGGAAGTGAAGTTATAAAGAAAAATTGGATGGGTTTCATTACATACAAAAGCATCATGCAGGATTTTAAAAAAAAATAATGAAACCATTTTCATTCTTAACTGTCTAATTTACTTTGTAATTCCAGATGCATGAATAACACCTCATATTTGTGTATTGTATTGCTACAATCCTTTTCACCATTATGCAATTTTTTTAAAGAGTTGATTAATGTTTAAAATCGATGAGAGTATTCTACTGTCAACGACATAACAGAGCTATACTCTCTCCGTTCTTATTAACCTAATTTCACTCTGTCTTAAATAAACAAACATACATCTGATATCCAATCAGAAACATTTGCATAATGAGGGTAAGAAAAATTTTAATAATAGAGAAATAAATAGGACAGAAGAAAAGAAAGAAAATACCTCTTTTATCCAATGTAAGAAACTTAAACTTTTACCTTCTGAATCTCTTTCGTTTTTCTCCCTCTATTAATGGTCTTTTGAACTCTTGATTTCTGACTCGCCTTCAGACTTGTAGTCTGGCAGCAAGCTTTGTAGCTGTACTAATAAGCTGCAAATTCTGCATTTTTAAAATAAAATGACCTAAATGACATCTAACATTAACTACTATAGATCACCTAGATCAGCTGTTGCCAAACGGTGGTTCTTGAAAGAAATATTAACGGACACAAATTTTTGCTTCTGTATCATGAGTCAAATTTCCCACTTTGAAGTCACATAGATTACATATTCTTATTTTTATTATAATTAAAATAAAAACTAAACTCAGCGGCGCGACAGCCCTTGAGGGCCAAGACATACTGTGCCCATCTCAGTTTTCTTGACCTTGGGCTCTGGGGTGCAGGAGCGATGTTCCGGTCAGGTGGTCAGCCGAACGCGGAACCCCCAGTGTTTAGTTCCCAAGCATGCTTGGTACTCATTTATCGACCCACTGGAGGGATGAAAGGCTGAGTCAACCTTACCCGGCCTGAAGAATTAAAATAAACTTTAATTAATTATTATCATCATTTCACTTTTTTTCTCATCCTTGGCTGTAGTGTTAAATAAAAATCTCATTGAAAATTAAACCATCTTAACTAACATTTAATAACTTGCTACCTTGAATAACTTCATAATTGGTACAATTTTTAAAAGTCTTTGAAGTACAATATTTTATTTTGGTGAAAGACACACCAATATATTTTGGTGAAAAACACACCAATCAGTTAAGAAACTTTCCCTGTCTTCCAAAAAAAAATCAGGTAGTGATCAAAGAGATTAAATATTTACTGCTTGATGGTCATGAGGATCTAAATATTGGCCTGTTTTTCACCACACATAAATTGCCTTGTATGGTGTGACTTCTATTTGAATAATATGAATAAATAACTGTATTTAATACTGCTTGACTACTTTCACTTAAATGTCTTTTACTTCATTCACTTGACTTTAAATGAATTTTTATTCTACAGAATGTCCCTTGCATTACCCTTGGTAGATGGAATGGTTGTAAGCAGAAGAACTCTGGGAGTTCTTGTAAGACAGACAGCGTTGAATATGCTGAAAAGAAGGCGGTTAGATGCAGATAGGTATAAAAGTTTTTTTTTTAATTAAACAACAGCATAAACCATATCTCAGTATTTTTGTAGTTTTCAAAAAGCTCCAAATGTGTGTCATTAGTATTTGTATTATTATTATTTACTTTTATCTTCCTTTTACAGTTTTAATCATTTAATAATTAAGTAATATTCTTTTTAGTAACTCATGTTCGTTTTGTTTTTATAAAACCTTTGCTTTTCACTTTTTATAATGCATTATTGAAATCCAGCCTGACAAAAAATTAATTACCTCACTGAGAAGATATTTCTTTTCTGCCATTTTTTTCTCTCGCTTTAAGCTATAAATTATGTTTTTATTTGAACTTTATTAACTTGTTCTGGTGAATTTCTTTCAGCTGCCAACCTCCACATGTAAGACGCAAGTTAAGAATACAAGATCTTATAAATAAGTTCCACAAGAAACTTTCAGAACCAGAATTCTTATCATCTTTGTTTCAACCCTGTTCTGGACATTAGCTGTAAATATTTTATGTTGTTACTTGTGTGAATACAATTTCTATTTTACATAGTTGTTATTTTTGTAAATTGAATAAATTATTATTAAATGTTTTTCCATTTTTTTCTGTCTTTGTCGTAAATTGTTACCTTACACAAATATCAAACTTTAAATAAAAGCTTTACACAGATTAAACCTAGCCATTACCAAGCACCTAGCTCCATTTTTTAGGGTCCTCTCTTTTAATGGCCATAGTAGGAATGCCTCGTAATTTTGACACTGGTCAGATGACATGGACAGCACCTGAGCTGGTACCCTTTCTCCAAACTTCCACATCACAATCAATGAAAGAAATTTCTGCCATGCAGATTTACCTATTTTTACACAAATTAATGTGCACCTTGCTGCATCTCTACACCAATTGTTTTGTTGGCCACCAGGATCAAATTCACTACCCCTAACTCTCCTGCCAGCAATGTGAGCAATGCCTTAACCAACTATGCTACTAGAGCCGCAGATTGAGGATTTTGTTAGTAGAATAAAAATATGCATGAAAAATTTACATCTATATACCCAATTTTAAATTTATGAAAAACTGTTTGATAAAATTTCCAGCATTCTGTGACTTAATTAGGGGTTTGTAAAGACCCCACACTCCTCTTTGGTTACACCACTAACCAGGAATCTATAATCTAAAAAATGTATAGCATTTTGTATTTCATAAATGTGTATTAAATACGTTAAATAAATCAAAAATTTAAGGTATTGAAATCGTGATTCCCAACTTTCATATTAAAAATTATCTGATAATTTAACCACGTTGAAGCATTTAATGTTTCTAAAAGTGACAGTTTATTTAATATTCAAGGGAGTGAGGCGGTTTTGAAATTTGAAACATTTTCCCGCCATTTTATTTTTTATTCCATTATGCGTTCTTTCACAAAAATGACGCATGATTTTATACATAGAAAACATTCCGCATGTTAAACTATAGTGAAAATGTTGTAAAAGGAGTTTAGAAAAATATATAATATAAATAAAGTAATTTTCCGGGATTTTTCCTGTTTTTAAGCATTAATTGAAATTTCCGAATAAAAAAAATTATTTTTCATACGTAGGATCCTTTAATATATCGAAAAAAAATTAAATATATGATATAATGTAACATAAACAAAAGAAAAATTAAAAATTGACCACAGCCGGGTTTCGAACCCGAGCTCCCTCGCTCCAAGCATAAGTCACTAGCACATGGTCTGAGCCGTTGGACCACGCTTATACGGGGATCGTTCTACTACATGGCTTCAAGTACCCTCTCCCGGTTAGCTAAACATAAGACTTAAGGGGCCTTAGCGGCCCTCCTAAATGGTCTATAACAATGTTTCCTTTGGAAGAATTTTTCGGCTCATAGATGCCTACTTTTGGTCCGAGTTTGAAAATTATGGCTTAATATTCAAGGGAGTGAGGAGGTTTTGAAATGTGAACCTTTTTCCCGCCATTTTATATTATTTTTTATTCCATTATGCCTTCTTTCACAAAAAAGACACATGATTTTAAACATAGAACACATTTCGCATGTTAAACTATCGTGAAAATATTGTAAAAGGAGTTTAAAAATATAATATAAATAAACTAATTTTTCCAGTTTTTAAGCATTATTTAAAATTTCCCGAATAAAAAAATTCTTTTTTTCTATATGGGATCCTTTAATATATCGAAAAACACATTAAATAAACAATATAATGTAAAATCAAAGAAGAAATTTAAAATTGATCACAACCGGGGATCGAACCCACGCCCCCTCGCTCCATGCGTAAGGCACTAGTACATGGTCTTTGCCGTTGGACCGCGCTTATACGATGATCGCGCTACAGCATAGCTTCAAGTACCCTCTCATGGTTTGCTAAACAAAAGACTTAAGGGGCCATTGCGGCCCCCCTAATTGATCTATAAAAATTTGCTTCACTAGAGGAGTTCGGCTCATAGAGGCCTAATTTCGGATCGAGTTTGAAAATTATAGCTTAATATTAAAGGGAGGTAGGAGGGCTTGAAATTTGAACCTTTTTCCCACCATTTTATTTTATTTTTTATTCCATTATGCGCTCTTTCACAAAAAAGACACTTGATTTTCAACATAGAACACATTTCGCATGTTAAACTATCGTAAAAATATTGTAAAAGGAGTTTAAAGAAATAATATAATATAAATAAACTAATTTTCCGGGAATTTTCCAGTTTTTAAGCATTATTTGAAATTACCCGAATAAAAAAATTATCTTTTATATATGGGATTCTTTAATATATCGAAGAACACATTAAATAAATAATAGAATGTTAAATAAACAAAAGATGAAAAAAGAAAAAAAATTTAAAAATTGACCACAACCGGGGATCGAACCCACGCCCCCTCGCTCCATGCGTAATTCACTAGCACATGGTCTTAGCCGTTGGACTACGCTTATACGATGATCGCGCTACAGCATAGCTTCAAGTACCCTCTCCCGGTTTGCTAAACAAAAGACTTAAAGGGCCATTGCGGCCCCCCTAATTGGTCTATAAAAATTTGCTTCACTAGAGGAGTTCGGCTCATAGAGGCCAAATTTCGGACCGAGTTTGAAAATTATAGCTTAATATTAAAGGGAGGTAGGCGTGCTTGAAATTTGAACCTTTTTCCCACCATTTTATTTTATTTTATTTTTTATTCCATTATGCGCTCTTTCACAAAAAAGACACTTGATTTTAAACATAGAACACATTTTGCATGTTAAACTATCGTAAGAATATTGTAAAAGGAGTTTAAAGAAATAATATATTATAAATAAACTAATTTTCCGGGAATTTCCCAGTTTTTAAGCATTATTTTAAATTTCTCGAATAAAAAAATTCTCTTTTATAGATGGGATTCTTTAATATATCGAAAAACACATTAAATAAATAATAGAATGTTAAATAAACAAAAGATGAAAAAAGAAAAAAAATTTAAAAATTGACCTCAACCGGTGATCGAACCTACGCCCCCTCGCTCCATGCGTAAGTCACTAGCACATGGTCTTAGCCGTTGGACCACGCTTATACGATGATCGCGCTACAGCATAGCTTCACGTACCCTCTCCCGGTTTGCTAAACAAAACACTTAAAGGGCCATTGTGGGCCCCCTAATTGATCTATTAAAATTTGCTTCACAGAGGAGTTCGGCTCATTGAGGCCTAATTTCGGACCGAGTTTGAAAATTATAGCTTAATATTAAAGGGAAGTAAGCGGGCTTGAAATTTGATCCTTTTTTCCACCGATTTATTTTATTTTATTTTTTATTCCATTATGCGCTCTTTCACACAAAAAAGACACTTGATTTTCAACATAGAACACATTTTGCATGTTAAACTATCGTAAAAATATTGTAAAAGGAGTTTAAAGAAATAATATAATATAAATAAACCAATTTTCCGGTATTTTTCCAGTTTTTAAGCATTATTTGAAATTTCCCGTATAAAAAAATTCTCTTTTATATATGGGATTCTTTAATATATCTCAAAACACATTAAATAAATAATATAATGTAAAATAAGAAAAAGAGAAAAAAATAAAAAAAATTTAAAATTGACCACAGCTGGCTTTCGAACCTACGCCCCCTCGCTCCATGCGTAAGTCAGTATCACACGGTCTTAGCCGTTGGACCACGCTTATACGAGTATCGCGCTACAACATAGCTTCAAATACCCTCTCCCGGTTTGCTAAACAACAGACTTAAGGGGCCATTGCGAGCCCCCTAATTAGTCTATAAAAATTTGCTTTGGTTAAAGGGTTGCTCATAGAGGCCAAATTTCGGACCGAGTTTGAAAATTATAGCTTAATATTAAAGGGAGGTAGGCGGGCTTGAAATTCGAACCTTTTTCCCACCATTTTATTTTATTTCACTTTTTTTCCATTATGTGTTCTTTCACAAAAATCACACATGATTTTATACATAAAACACATTTCGCCTGTTAAACTATCGTGAAAATATTGTAAAAGGAGTTTAAAATATAATATAATATAAATAAACTAATTTTCCAGAATTTTTCCATTTTTTAAGCGTTGGTTTAAATACTAAATAAAAATTAATTACAGCTTACAATAAAAAAATAATTCAGCTAATCAGCGACTTTTAGCAAAAATTACCGATTTCAATTGTTTGCGATCACCAAACTATTTTTATTTTGACCTACCATTGTTTTGCTGTTTTATATTTTGCTTTAATTTATAGACACGTAAACTTCATCTTAGAAAAATAATCTTCAATTGTCTGCCTTCAAAATTTTATAGAATGTTTATCTTGAATCGTGCAGTTCAATAGATTCTTTACTTTTGGTAGGACTAATTACTCAAAATATTATGAATTTAATTTATTAATTCAGGAAATTGAATCAAAATATTATGAATTCAGTAATTTAATTTCAAAATATTTTGTAAGGGACCTGGAGAATTTGGCGGACCTTTGGCCTGAATTTGTCTTGATCGGTCCCTGGTTCGAACCCGTGCCCCGTGCTTTGAAGTTTGAACCTTTTTCCCGCCATTTTGTTTTATTTTATTTTTTATTCCATTATGTGTTCTTTCACAAAAATCACACATGATTTTATACATAAAACACATTTCGCATGTTAAACTATCGTGAAAATATTGTGAAAGGAGTTTAAAAAAATAATATAATATAAATAAACTATTTTTAAGGGATTTTCCCAGTTTTTAGGCATTATTTAAATTTCCCGAATAAAAAATTTCTTTTTTGTACATAGGATCCTTTAATATATCGAAAAACACATTAAATAAATAATATAATTATATTATTGTAACGTAAAATGTAAAACATTAATGCAAAATAAACCTCGCGGCTCTATGTTATGCAATGGATGAGTGAAGTCTTCTATAATATGTCATGCTAATTTTATCTCAAGAGCTTCTTGAAACAGTAACCAATGTAAAATTTTAATTTCAGTTATTTTTCGTTCTTAAGCTTTTTTAATTATAGAGCACCATTCGACAGCATTTTACTTTTCCAAAAAGGCTGGAAATAAACACATCACTTCATTAAGCTACGAGAAATAGCGCTTAATAACTCAGAATTTCTGCTGATTTTTTCCCAGAGACGTTAAAACAATGAAACGTTTTATAATTTTAACTACCTAATTGTGTATAGTAGATACATTTTTCTACTTTGATTTTTAAAATCTACTTTAAACATTTAACTATCTGTTTAAACTAACTAAAATGAGAATGATAAGGAAAATTTCTTTGAACGTAAATTACTAAAGAGCAAAGATATCTATAAAAAAATCTAAAAGCAAGAATATTAACCTAGACTAAATTTTAAAAATTCGGACTGCAGAACTGTATTTATCTAATTTTTCTAGAAGAAATAGTAAATTTAAAATTCTGCGCTTTTTATTTCTAAAAGTACGTGTGGCTGTAACGGACTTCGAAAAATAATTCCGAACAAAGAACTAGTTTGTAGTACAAACACTAGTTTGTTTATTAAAACTAAATAAAAGAATGGACATCTATGTTTGACGTAATTGTTTAAAATGTTATTGAGACAAACTTAATAATTAGAAAATTCCTGTCAGTTTCAATCCATCGAAGGATGTCGGACATTTCGTATATTTATATTTATTTTGGGTCCTTAAACATTTCTGTCACTGATTTCAGATAATAGTGTGAGATTAAGCTATTTTCTTTAGAAAATAAGGCGAAATTTTAATTGATTTGATTTGTTCATTTACGTCGCACTAGAGCTGCACAATGAGCTATTGGCGACGGTCTGGGAAACATCCCTGAGGATGATCCGAAGACATCCGTCGCAATTTTGATCCTCCGCAGAGGGGATGGCACCCCCGCTTCGGTAGCCCGACTATCTGTACGAAAAGTCTAGCACTTTACGGTAGAACAGTTTAACGCGGACCAATACCGCGCACCCTCGGTCCCTACGCAGACTGATCCAAGTGGTCACCCACCCGCACACTGACCGCAACCAGTGATGCTTGACTTCGGCGATCTGCTGGGAGCCGTGTCTTAACGATCAGTCCACGGCGGGACTCGAAATTTCAAAAAACAGAAAATTTTTTTTAATTGCTCAGTTGAAAACTTTGTCATTTTAAGGAGCTAATTTTGTCCATTTGAGTAATTTTTAAGTCATTTTACATCATGTGATATTTTTATAACTGATTTCGTAAATATTCATGTGTTAATAATTAGGTTTATTAGCTAATTTTCTCAAATTTAAAAATGAAGAAAACTCTGTTTAACCATAACTTGAATGAAGCAAAAATAAAGAATCGGAATTTACTTAGGAAATTAACAATATGGCAACATAGTTGATGGTCAACACGACCTTCTGAGAAACTCAAAAAAATTTGCACTGCAAATTATTCACTGCGCTGTTTTGTTTTCAGCATGATTATAATTTGCTTTACTGCTAAATAAATAAATTATAACCTATTAATTTCATGTAACTTTGCATCATATAATCTTTTTAAGCTCTGCAATTTTGTTATGTTTTTAGAATGTGAATGAGCTGTATGTAAACAATTTTTTTCTTCAAAATTAGTTTATTATATTACATTTAGTCTAGATTTGAAATATTCTATTGTTTTCTTTTTAATATTTTAAAATGACAATAATCGTTTTGTTAAAACATTAATTTTTTATTTTTAGCTTATTATCATTTATTTCATCAGCTTGATTACCTCCTATATTTGTGTTGAAGGAATAAAAATGACTAATTAGAGACTATTTAAAGTTTAAATATTTATATTTGACGATTAAGTGTTTATTTAGTTATTAAGTATAAGTGTTATTAAGTTTTCATTTTCAATTGTTATGTAAACATTATCAAATTTCTAATTTATGTTATAGAACTAAATATTTTGTTACATATTGAATAATTATTTAACATTTCTATATTTTTTTAGCGTTTGGTAAAAAAATTTACTCTAAAATTTACTGGTTTTCGTACAAATTTTGTTAACATTTATACTTTATTTGCCTGTAAAGTTTTAATAAAAATTTATCAACTTAGGAGAGTGTTCTGTAGATAGTGTTTGTTTGAAATCATAGAGAAAACTTCCTCCATTAGGTAATTTTTCATTCTGAAAAATTTTGATAACTAGAAAGAATCAGCTTCAAAGTTGAGCTTTTTAACTAATCTCACTTATTTACAATTAGGTAATTTAATAATTGCTTACTTCTATCATTTTGTGGATAACATAAATATTTATAAACTCATAATTGGAATACAGTGCAAAATTTGATAAAAAAAAAAAGTTTATTATAAATTCCACAAGTGAAACTAGAAAATGAACCTTGCTTTTAAATAAAATAAAATTAATGGTCAATAATGTATAATGCTATAAATGTTAATAATTCAGCTTTTTATTAATGAATTTTGAACTTGAATCTAACCTCAGAATATCTGAATAATAATAATAAGTTAAAAGTTGTTAAATTTTTAAAAATAAAGGTTCAATTTCATGTTCTAATAACTGATTATAACATTAATTTATTACTATATTTATTTATATCTGTAAAACTCCTTTTGAATGGGTTAAATTAAGTAAATTATAAATTTTTATTGTAAAACTTTCAATCAATATTAATTAAAATCAACTGATTTAGAAAAATGACACCTATAATGAAATTAAATTTTTTTCTAGTAGAAAAAATTTAATAGTTAATATTATGCTAAAATTGCAAATTATTTGTATATTACAAAGAATATATAATTCTTTTCTATTTGTAGATGGTTTTGATGATTTTAAATTTTTACTTAATGATTATTTCCTGATGGTTTTTTACTGGAATAAACAGGCAAAGATTTTGTTGCCTCAAAACTTTTTACCTAGATATTATATTCTTACCATTGCTGAAATTTAAATCTTACTACTTTAGGTCAGCTTTTTAAATATAAATGAACTTGTATTATAATTTGTATAATTTTTAAAAATATTTATTCTTTTTATTTGGAGTTTTACAACTTGCTATAGGTTTATAAGTTTAGGTTTGCTTGAAAAAAATAGGATATAGACTTAATATACTTATCCATTTGCTAGGTACCGATCGACTTTCCTGGTGAACCTTTTAATTTTATTAAATTTGATTCACACATATTAAATGAATCATGTAGAAATTACCTGATCTCTTTACACAATCGTAGCAAATGAATAAAATACTGAAAATAAATTATTGACTGTGCAAATTAATTTGTAAATAAATTCTTTTACTTATATTTCTTGTAAATTGATTCACTTTTAGAATTCTTAGTTGTGGCTTCCCCACCCAGTGGAATGGCAGGCTATTTGAATAGGTCTTTATCATTGAGTCCAATTGAACCTGATCCTCCTAGCCTGCCTCTCGTGTCGAATGGAAACATGAAGCCCAATAACCCCACTTCACCTAGAATAGATCTTTCTGCTTCGCCACTCAAAATTTTTGGCTTGGCTAAAAAGAAGATAAATGATATATTTCAAGACATTGATGTTTATGTAGATGAAACTTCTAATTTTTTAAGAAGTAAGTAGATACATTTAAGAAAATGGCTTTTTTTATTTTTTTTTAATTAAAATTATTGTTCTTTTAAGAAGTTTCAAAGCTTATCATGTAATATTTTTCTCTCTTATGAAATGATATGATGGACTTTGTTAATACAGTAAACTCTCCTTACTACGATATCCGATACAACAATAACTCCCTCTATTTTGATAATATTTCATAGTCCTGATGAACTTCCATATGAATTAATGTTATCCTCCTCTCAATATTAAGATATTCTCCAAAGCTGTAAACCCCTGTAAAACGATTATTATTATTATTTTTTTTTTTTTTTCAAATTTTAACCTCATTTTTTCTCTATCTATTATTGGTTTTCAAATAATGTAAAAAATCTTATTTTATCATCTTTTGCCATTTTTCCATTTTTTTCTGACAAGAGAAGACTCACATCTGACCACTCCAAGAGCTTCCATTCTTAGAATTGCTTCCTTATCTCTTAAAAAGTTACAGATGTAACATTCTTATCTGATTTCATTTCATTCGTGTTAAAAGCTGATCATGAGTCACAAATGACCACACACATCACATTAACACCTGAAAGAGAATTTTTTCCGAAGAGGGTGGGTAGAACACCATTCACAAACGTAAATCATCTTCTTACTTTGAACTCAATGCAAATTTTGTTGGTTACTTAACAATCAAAAAAATGAATAAATAAGCAAAAGTATCTGATTATTTTCAATAAAAACAGTTTTCAGGTATGTTTGCTATCGTATTTTATTTCAATTGTTTTTAATATTTAACCATAATTAAGCTATCTGCAAATTAATTTTTTACATAGTAAATGTATATACATTTACAGTTAATACATATATAACATTAGAATGAAAAAAAAAAAATCTTATTGTGTCCTCAAAGTATGTAGGCCCTCGATATAACAATATATTTATTTGGTCCCAAAAATACTGTTATAGCGAGGTTTTACTGTATTATGCTTTTCTCCAAGTTTTATCTGTATTCTTGGTTTGCATCAATTAAAACATATATCGTATCAATGCCAAGTTCTTAATATGCGCACATATTTACATCATCAAATTTATAACTATTGTATTTGTTTGACTTTTTTTTTTTTGTGGAGTAATTTTGTTTCTACCTTGGCTTAATTTTATTTTTGCATCTATCTTCAAAATAGGTTTTGGTTTCTTACATTGTCTAATTTATATAACATTTACTAAGTTGTATGTTTTGCTGTCAATATACCTCTGCTACATTTATGCTGTGAGTATTTAATGAGATGAATATTAGATGTGTACTTTTATTACTTACATTTTCATTGCTTCTCTGAATAATGTGTTGTGGTAGTATGTCTCTTTTAAAAAATAGTTTTGTTCACATCATATTATTGCTAATTGTGATATAGAAATTTAATTACTAGCCTAAATTGACTTGATTAATTATAGTTAACAACAAGATGTTTTGAGTATTTTGAGTATCTATCTAAAATTTTAATTTCTTAACAATTTTTCAAAATATGAGATTCCATATGAATAACATGTATTGCTGTAATAAAACTACTATTATTTTTATTTATCTAATGATGATAGCAGTTTCTATACTGAAAGTTTACTTAAGATTGCAAAAATATTTTTAAAAAAATTTCCAAGAATTTATATGTAGTATATTTTGCTTTTTTTTTTTTTACTTTGTAGTAACTCCATACTACAAAATTGCTCTTTCATTTTTCATTTGCTATTTTTTTCTTTTTTCAGTTTTTTATAATTTTTTGTTTTAGGTTAGTTTTATTATTATTATTATATATATAATTTTTTTTTTGAGCCAGCAGGTGCCGAACTGACAAGGCACTTGTCTGCGACTCAAGTTCATTGTTGCCCTCGGCGTAACGTTAAATAAGCAACACTTCTGGTATCTTCCTTATTGAAGAACGTAATAGTTCAGTCCCAGTCATTAGGGGGGGGGGGGAANATTAGGGGGGGAAAAAGCTATGTTTAGTATATTTCATCATATAGGCTATTAAAAGAAACTATGCTATTCCTATAAAAACTATCCTATCCTATCCTATGCTATTAAAAGGAACAGTTCTGACACTTAAATTAAGAAACATTGCATTATCATAACTAGAATTTAAAAAAGAAATTTCCTTTATAAAAATTTATGTATTTTGGATTGCTTTACTTTTGCTTAAATATTAATTTTAAGACTTAAATCTTTATTGATCTAATAAGTAATATTTAACATAACAGTATTAACTCAAAATAATATAAATATAGTGTATGTTTTTTTTCCCTAGCAATTTGTTTGGATAGTGACATCATTACTAAGAAACAAGCTGATGAGGTCCATGAACTAAAAGAAAAAATAAATGGCATTCAGGAAGTATTGGCTAGAAAACATATGAAAGTAGTGTTTTTTGGAAGGTGTGTTATTTATCCTAATTTCTTTGACTTAGAATGTTATCCTAATTTGTGAAAATATTTAAATACTAGTTATATGGAATAATATATTAACTCTACTACTTTTGCTACTATTTTCTTTAAAAATGCAGTTCTTATTATATTCCTCTTGAATTTTTCAGATTTAATAATTCACTTTTTATTGTTGTTTAAACCAAAGGTTCTTAAAGTATGTGCTGAGGCATATCCAGGGTTAGAGGGGGGGGCATAATCATGAGGTGAGTCATGCCTCTAGATGCCATTACTCTAAGACTAATAATAGTCAGATATTAGTTTCATGGCAGAGTTAATAGAGTCGTAGAAATATAGTAGATTAATATTCTGTCCTAAGTTTATACATTGCTATTGCTAGTAATACATTAGTAAAACTTATTAAGTATGAGTTATATTAACTTTGTATATATTCTCACCACTTACTTCCATAGTTACTATTTCATAGTCTTACCTTGTTTACTAATAATAAATAATTTACCATCAGCAAATATTATATTACTGGGATACCATGAGAGTTTTCAATCTTGTGAGGGTGCCATTGCATATAGAACTTTATGAAGCCCTGGTTTAAAGTATAGTTATTAAAAGATAATTACAATTTTCGCTTGTTACTTAATTGATGCATATCACTGTAAATATATTATAGGACAAGTAATGGAAAGAGTTCTGTCGTTAATGCTATGCTTCAAGATAAAATTCTTCCAAGTGGAATTGGACACACTACTAACTGTTTTGTGCAGGTAGAAGCAGCTAATGGATCAGAAGCTTACATAAAAACTGAAGACTCAGAAGAACATCAAAATCTCCAGGTAATCACAATTCATTAATTAAATGAATTTTTGTTGTACATTTCTTTTGATGAAAAAAAATATTGTTTGTAAATATTGACGAAATACACCTAAAAAGTTGAATTATGTATGTATAGGGAAAAAAAGTTTCATTGTTATTGATCTATTATATTTATCACCTGGTACAAAAAAGATGTTGTCATGTGCTATGGATTGGCTAATTAATTTTAACTTAACCTGCCATAGCTGCTCATTATATTGCTCTAAACCATTTCTAATGTTAGTTAACTAGAGATTGAGAGATTTGTCTGAGAAGAATTTTAAGCATACTTCTAGAATGACCCAATAAAACTTAATCTCATGGCGGTGGCTCAAGGGATAGCACGCTCTCTTCCTGGTGAGGTGGCCAGGTTCTATTATCAACGATGGCTGATTGATACGAATTTGGCTTCCAGCTTGCACCCAACTCAGCGCTGATGTAAGATATACGGGATGGTTGGCCATCATTCTAATAATAATCCCCTTGCTGTCTTGCTAATCATGGAAGGTTTTTGTGTTTTTTCTCTCCATGTACTGCAAATACTGGTTGGTTCAAACAAAATGTCCTCCACAAGTATTCTAAACATTTTATGTGTTTTGTTCTAAAAATTTGATTAAAGTAAACATTAAAATGTGCCACAGAATCAAAGAAAGAACTTGCAGCAAGTTTTTTTTCTTCAAGATTTTGATTTCTTATCTCACATTTAGAATGTTGGTCCTGGTGTATAATTGGACACTCTATTTTTGATTATGTGATAGAAAATATCTGGTATGTCAAGTGCATAAGTTGACTCCTAAAAAAAAAAAAAATGTGCAATTTTCTATTTTATTGTGAAGTCTTTTAAGATGTGGGATTTCGAATTATTTGAATTAGGATGCCAAACCAGATACACCTGCCCAAACTCAATACTTCATGGTTTCTTATTGGTCTCTGTTACCTAAGCAGCATTGCCCTGAATCCAAGTTAATAGTATTTTGCAAATCAGAAAGATAAAAAATTTTCACCTCTCTCTATTTAGTGGCTCTCTAAAATAGTAAATAGACAGAGTGTGAAACTGGTATAGAAAAAATTGTGCATGAATTGGCTGCTTTGTGGATTCTTCAGTATTATAAAGTCAAGGTACAATTCGGTCAGCAGTTAGACCACCAATACAAGTGGGTGATCCAGTGAATTTCAGTTCTTGGGGTTATATGGCCAGCCTATTGCCTTTTTAAATGCTTAATTCGCTAAAATATATCCAGAACTTTTTATTATTTCACTTAAGGCATTTTCTTGTAATTTTGAGTAAACATTTTATATTTATGTATATACATGTGGATTACTAAAGCTGTTTTATTGGCATGAAATGAAAATTGATAAAAATTTAAAACAATTCTGTAAAAAAAATTTGTTAATTTTATGTTACATTGAAATTATTTTATTTGCAGTCAATATCTAATTTAGCCAATGCCCTGATGTCACCCAAATTTGGCGATAGCTCTTTAATAAGAGTGTATTGGCCGGCTGATCGTTGTCCTCTTTTAAGAAATGATGTTGTTTTAGTGGATAGGTAAATATTTTTGTTGTTAATTTCTTCTATTATTTTAAATGCTAAAAAGTCGCATTTTAAATGCTACTTTTTAAACTTCTAATATTTCCTGTGCTTTGGTTTATTTAGAAATAATAGGTTCTTAAAATGTGGGTTGGGTGACAATTTTTTTTTTACCAAACTATTGCTTTATACTCTACAAAGTGTACCAATAATATTTTTTCTAATATTGCTTAAGTGGGAGATCAAGGATGTTGCGATGATTTTAAATGATTTGTTAGAAGAAAAAGAGAGGAGAAAGGGCATAATTTAGTTCCTAGAGAGAAGAATAAATTAAGTGTTTGGTGCCTAAGTATTTAGTCCAATCTAATGTTTGTTTCAACATATAAAAGTTTTGTGATAAAATTCTAAAATTAAGTTTTTTGATATTTGAAAGCAGCACTTGTAATAAACAGTATGTGTTTAAGCATTTAGTTGAATTTAATATCTGCTTCTGTCTATCTTAAGTGTTTGTTGTGTAAACATATAAAAACCTTCTTCAATAATTGCTATAAGCAAATGTTAAAGTATAGTTTCTGTGCTCTTACTATGGCATTTACAAAATCTGGACCTCCTTATATGCTATTATTTGCCAAACCGGTTGCAGTGATTAAGAAACTGGAAGGAAAAAAATCTCTTTTTTTTTTTAAATCTAAATTTACAAAGAAATTAAAAATTCCATCCAGTAAGTTAGTTCACATACAGGATAATTCCATTTAGTATATTGTTTGATTTAACAAAAAAGAAGAAAAATAATGTAGCATTTTTTTTTTTTTTGATAAACTGAATGTGTTATATGTTTGATTGTGTAGATTTTCTTTATTTATCTCTTCTATTTTAGAAAATGTTGCTAATTCAAAATTTTAGAAAATTGGAAATTTTCTCTGGTCATTTTGACTTTGTATCGAACTTGTATGGGAATAACTTTCAATAAGAAAATAAATTTCTACTCTTTTTACAAAATTAAAAGAGTTTGTTGTCTAGTTTTTTTTTTTTTTTAAATATTTAAGTAAGTCCTGTTTCTCTGTATATACATATTTTTCTTGTTTTTAAAATTAAGTAGTAAGTGTATTTGAATTCTTTAAATTTCAGTCCTGGTATCGATATTGAACACCATATGGATGAATGGATTGATAAATATTGTGTAGATGCTGATGTATTTGTGCTTGTTGCAAATGCAGAGTCCACATTGATGGTTGCTGTAAGTTTAAAAATTTTATTTCATTTTTCGAATCTAAATTATAGGTCTTTGCTCATTTATAAATAACTTCTAACTGTCTGAAAATATGTTTTGGGAAAATTTTATTGGAAAACAATTTATTTTAACCTAATTTATGAAATTATGCAATTATTTTTTCTTTCTTTCTATAATTGTTTTCTGATATTTTTATTTGTTAAAAATCCCCTTTTATTTGAATGTTAACCTTTTTTTTAAAAAAAAAACGAAATATGGCTGACTTTTATTCAGTTTATTTAAACATGACTATGAGCTAGCAAGTAGAATTTTTTAAAAAATATCTATGCATTGAAACCTGCAGGAAAGACCACCTCTGTGTAGTGACTTCTATTTACAACCACTTTTAAGAGGCACGGAATTTTTTCCATTGACTTTGTCTTGAAGAAAACCTGTAGAAGAGACCATTAAAACTTTTCCCAAGTGGCTGGAAAAACCTTCACTCCAATTGCGGAAAATATCAAAAAAAGGAAACACGAGAAAATATCAAAACAAGAGATATTAACCAAACAAATTAGTTTATTCAAATGTATTCAAAATATTTGTGAGTGACTCTTATTTAGAGAGTTCTTTTTCACAAAATCTGAAAGAGATCGACAACCTCATGTTGCAGTTAGAGTGCACTAAAGGCTAGGCTGTCGATGATTCATATTTAAAATTGAAAGTTAAATTATATATATAAAAAAATTATTTTAGGTAAAAACTTAGTATCTCAAGAAAACAAACCTTTTCTTATTCTTTAAAGATAACTAATTTATGATATAAAACAAAATTCAAACTTAGACAAAAAAGATAATTGTTTATTTATTTAATTTATAAATTTGTTTTTACACATAATTATATCAGTCGGGGTAATTTTTATTGATGCTAAATTTGGTTCAGCTTTCGGGTTTTAACGACGCCAACACAAGTGGCATTTTCATACCAAGAAAATTATGCTAAGCAAAATCATTTGCAAAAAATCATGTACCTTCATTTACGACCCTTTTTCTGTGGAACAGGGAGTGATTGCTCCTTAGAGGTTTCACTGTACTATGTTATTTCCAATCATAATCACACGTGTTACATTTATGTTTAATAAGAATTTAAATTCTAATTATATTATTAGAATTTGAATTATTAAATTTGGATTTAATGATGTTTTAAATTCTATTTCTTATAATCTTTATAATTTATTTATTGTTTGCTATGCATATTTAAATTTTTCACTTAAAATTGAAGTTTTTTTCTTGCAACAATTCTTCTCATAAATCTACTTTGATTCCAGGAAAAACAATTTTTTCATAAAGTCAGTGAAAGATTATCGAAACCAAATATGTTTATTCTAAATAATCGATGGGATGCCTCTGCTTATGAGATAGAGTTCTTAGATAAAGTGAGTATTTTATTTATATATTTTTTTGTTTTGTAAATGTATTATGTTAAAAAATGAAACTTGGTGACAATATATCCTTATTTATTCAAGCAAAATATGTTGCATTAATAATGTTATTAGCTAGAATTTAGTTATTTTAAATTATGTATTTTTATTTTAAATGTAACTTTAATGTATCAAAATTCCTTAACTCAAAAATTTTATATTCTCCTGGAAATAGAGAAGAAACTTGCTAAAAGGTTTTTTTTGTTTTGTTGAAAATAATAATAATTCTTAAAATTTTGTAATGAATGAAGTATTAACTGTTCCTTTGTAAAATATTTTTATTATACTGACATAATTTTTTAAAAAAAATACTCTATGAACAGTAAGTATAAAATATAGTGTTCTGTATAATTAAAATGGTATGCATGACGTAAAGTAAGGTGTCGTCAATAACATTATTAACATTTTAATTGAAAATATTTGTCTTCTCTTTGGCTAGTGGTTTTCACATATTATTTACCAGTAAGTTAATCCAATTAATTCTAATAACATTCCTGTGTGTTACACAGTTTAACATATTGTTTATTATATTCAATTACAATGCATGGACTTCATAATAATTTTTTATGAATACTTACTGGATAGTTATCCACTAGTTTCGAATTGAGTGCTTGTTACATTTTTTCAATTTATGTCATTTTATACATTGGTCATTTTAAATTTGTCTTTGCATTTTTCTTTCTTTTTCTTGTGATAAATTCAAGGCAATTTATCATGCACAAGCAGTGAAACAAGTGTTTTTATTGAGTGTTTTTGTGTTACTTTTCGTTTTATTAGGTTCGTAAGCAACATATGGACCGCAGTGTTAATTTTCTTGTTGATGAACTCAAAGTAGCTAACCGCTCACAAGCAGAGAATCGAGTGTTTTTTGTATCTGCAAAAGAAGTATTGCTAGCAAGATTAAAGCAACAGAAAGGAGAACCATTACATGGTAATGATCACATTTATATTCACGATATTCTATAGATAAAATATAAATTCTCTATCCTCTCTGAACAATTTCCTTTCATATGCCATGTATGGTTTATTAAAAAAAGTAATTTCAGTATTTCTCACGTTTTCTTTTAGTTATGAATGGTTAATAAAGGGCATCACCTTTTAAGCTATGGTTATTATTGTTTTTTAATATTCTTAAACAACAGTTAAAAATTCAAAAATTAAATTTGGGAATTTGTATTTATTTGTTATTTACTGTTGTTTCTTCCCCCTCCCTAAGTTAATTGATGAGTTTAAGAAACATATTTATATTTAGGTTATAATGTTAATGGTTTAAGCTTTGAACATAATCCACACTTGATAGTAAATTACAGTAGTGAGGAGGGGGAATTACTAAATTTATTACAGATAAAATAGATCCGGTATCCAGAAAACCGTGAAAAATTTTGCTCGGTTTTTCCGCCATTTTAAACTAGAACAATTATGAAAAAAGGCGGAAATTTGACTCATCGTTGAAATTGAGTAGAGGAAAATTTGGGGGAAGGGGGGAATTTTTCTCCCTGTTTGCCCTGAGAAATGTCATTTTCTTCCGTGACCCTGAAAATCTTTTGATCGAGAGAACGGGCAGGAAAGGGATGTATGTTTTACTTTCTCCTATATGTCAGAAAGAATAGTTTTTCTGATAAGCTGCCGTCAATCAAACTCAAAGGAGTGGCATGCTGATTTTGTTTTCTCTTTCATTTACGAGGGGGTGGAGAAAATGCATTGCACACACATATCAGTGAACATAAGATGAAAGAGAAATAAAAAAGAAAAATATATTCCCATACTTTACTACGAAAAAGTAAAATGGAAATACAAAAACGATTAAAATACGGCTACTTTTTATTCAATAATAATAAAGTAGGAATAAAGTTAAACTGAATTTAATCATTTAAGAAATAATCAGAATTTTGCAATTATAATTTAGTAAATTATTAACATAGTAGGGGTAACCTAGTAGGTAACCTAGTAGGGGAAAAATGCAAAAGCTATCAATCTAGCTTTAAATGATTCCAAAAAGAGTTATAAAACATCTGTTAGAATCCAAATTTGAGAGGTTAATTTTTTTTAAACTCATTATTTAAAAAAGTGGATTAAATAAGAAGAAGAAAATTGCGAACATATAATTAAATACGTGACACTCCTTCTAAGAACATGTTTTAAAAAATAAAAGTTAAATAAAATAGTAAGTATGAATCTTTTTATAAACTTGATTCCTGTTAAATTTAGAATCTGGGATGAAAATTCGGAAATTGTGTTGAAAATAGGAGCCAACTTATTAAGTATCAGATATTGCAGACATCCATTATAAATGAATAATTCAATTCACACAAAACTGTACAGCTATGTTTATTGAAGAAGATAAAACTTTAAATATAAAGAAAGAAAACTACGCCCAACAAAACTAAACATAACTCTTACAAAGAAGAAACATAATCTATACAAAAACACCCACTTCCTTCTAGCCGAAACACAACAGGAAGCGACACAACTTCCCCTAGAAAGTGACACAGCAAAGAAGAAAACACTGCCCATCTATTTGTTTACATTTTCCAACAAATTTATCAATGATATCCTCCGAAAGTAAAATAACGGATTCGTAAGCCCTGGGAATAGTCAGGAAAAACAAGATTTGAAAAAAAAAAGTCAGTGAATTGTCAGGGGGGAAACGCAATTTCACCCCAAAACTGGGAATTGACATTGTCAGAGAATTCAACACTCAATCAAATTGGATTTGGCTCTTCCGTTTTTCGTAATATCGTTATTTGCGCTCGCGCATTAGGGGATTTAAAACAGTCCAATTTTTTTTCCCCAAACCAACCATCTTCAAGATTCTTCTATTATTCTTAACCGTTTCTAAGTGTTGTCATTTGGATGTCCGAGTTAAGGATCTTGAAACTTCTGCCTCAAGGGTATTATTTTAAATCCCCTTTAGTAACTCAGTTTTTGTTATCCTTGATTTATTATGACAAATTGTTTTATAATTTCGGATAGTACATTATTTATTACGAACAAAATGTTTTTTAATTACCTATTATATTTATCTATTTAACATCTATTAGCAAAACAGTTTTATTCTGTTGAATAAATTCTGATTCTTTAGAAGTGCGGTATCATTTGCAAGTTTTTCTTGATGTAGAATCACATCTGCTTTCTTCATTTATAATTAATAATTTTCCGCTATTATTAATATGATTTTAATGATATTTCAGCTGGTGCTATTGCTGAGGGCTTTCAAGCTCGGTATTTTGAATTTCAAGAATTTGAGCGTAAATTTGAAGTGAGTAAAATACACTTTTTTTTTTAGAAAGCAATCCTATTTGCTTGAATTACACTTGTATATAAGTATAGAGTGGGTTGCTAATATCTTGCGGTTTTACTTATTTATTTGTTTAACTATTATAATAGTTGATGATTATTGGTTTTAATAATTATTATATTAATTAATATGAATAATTTACCATACCATTTTTATTGTCTTAATAACAAACATTTAGGTAGTAAAGCCTCTTACTAGAAATGTCTTTCTTATGTGTAGAAACTTGTTATTTCTTTTTTATCATTAATTTCTATCCTTATATATTATACCTTGTTAAAAATTCTATCCTTCGAAACAATTTCATAGAAAATTTCAGATCTGTGAGAAACCATTGAAAAATTGCATACCAATTAGTGCCAGCTTTACTGTGGAAAATTTAATCTCGGCTCATGCCAAAAGGAAATGAAGCCTCTCTTACCATATTAATTAGATGATGCTATTTTTATTGTAACCTCCAGCAATATTAAATTTGAAATTTTTATCAAAATCTATGCAATGTTTCCTGGAATAAAAAGTCATTCAAACATTTTAATCCAATTTTTCCTCATACAATTATGTAATTTCTTAATGCATTTTTGATTTTCAATAAAGTTGTAAATTAATAAATAGTAAAAAATATCTCAATTGCTTTTTATATGTATATATATATATATAAATATTTACAATAATTGAATCTTTTGGGACAATGTCTCATGCATTACTATATGAGTAATTTAAGTTTAAAAAAAAATCCAAACTTTATGAATTTTTTATAGCTATTTTAAACTACTATGAATAATGTAAAAAACAATATGCAAAGCACAAATAAAATAATTACAACAATTTACACCCAATGACCTGTTTTTCATATATTGATTCTGTGTGTAAAGCACTTCTGAATTTTTACTAATTTATTGTACTTTTTACATTTGTGTGTTTTTTTCTACTCCAGTATAAAGGTAATCCATATTTCTTCGGATATTATCTTAATACATATTATGTATATATAATTTATATACATGTATTTAAGTCAGTTTATAACTTATCCATATGTTTTTTTTTAAAACATTACTTTTGTTTCAGGAATGTCTGTCAAAATCAGCTGTAAAAACAAAATTTGAACAGCATACTCAGAGAGGAAAAAATATTACATCTGACTTACGCAAGCTAATGGATAGTGTTTATGAACAAGCTACTCAACTTAGGTGAATAAGCAAATATTTTTTGTAAATGGGGTGATTTTGGTGTTATTTTAAACTTTTATATGAAACATCTTTCAGAAAAGTCTCAAACATCTTAACATTTTTAATTTTACAATCTCTATTAGCTGTAGTAAATGTTTAGTGCATTCTTGTTTATCCCCCCTTTCTCATTAGTTGGTAAAATAGATGATTATCCTGTGACTTGAGGTTTCTTAAAAAAAATGTAGAGATAGAGCTTTCAGATAAACATAATATGTTAGATGTTTCAAATTATCATGTAGTCTTATCACTCACTATTCAGTGTTTTGTTATGGAAATAGAAAATACAAAACCAAATTTTTTATTATTATTATTTTTTTTAGATATTAAAACTTTAAGTTGTAGATATATTTTTTCAGAATATTTTCATTTATTCTATTGTTTTAAGAATTAAAATGCTTATTACCATGATTTATTTTTCAGTAATTTTTTAACCTTTTTTTTTTAAAAAAAAAAAATTCATTTTAGCAAATTGTTTTAGACATGGCAACCTTATTTGCTATATCTTTTGAACATTGCAGAAAGTTTTATGTCAGTTGCTTGAAAGTTAAAAATGATTGTTCTACCTACTTAAAAATGTTTCTAAAAAGTCAACACATGTCAAACTATTGCTTATTTAAGTAATTTAAACTTTCGCTACTTGACTTTATAGACCTCCATTGCAACTATTTAATGAGCTTGTTAAGTTTTTTTTTTTACAACTTCAAACTCACTTAAAAAATGAATAAATAAATTTATTGGGATTATGCAGATATTGTGTGTGTTTTTTTTATTGATTTTTTTTTATTGATTTTTTTTTAATTAACAAACCTACATCATTGAATTATTCAAGGTACTAATAACTTCAAGGCAATGATGAAAAATTTTTTTGAACATTCATTGAAAGAGTTAAAGTAAATTTGATTATAATAATAGTGTTAAAATTAATTAGCGGTACTTTTAAAACTACAGGAAATTATAATAAATTACCCTGTGTTGAATTAAACATTTATTCAAAACATCTTCCCAGAGTAAAGTTTCCCTTGGATTTGAAGGAAGATTGTTTCTTGACTTTTATTTCAAGCCAGCTTGCTTGATCCATTTTTAAAATAATTTACAAAATTGGAAACACATTTCACATTAGAAATTCGCAGCATGTATAAAAAGAAATGAAATGAATAGTTGAGGATTATATTTAATTTTCTCGAACGAAATTCTACTTACAAAGTGTTCAGGTACTACTTTTCAGATTTAACTTAATTTTTTTAAATAAATATTTAAAGAACCACATATACCATGGTATAAGTAGACTTTTTACTTGTAATAAATTCGGACAGTCAATGATCTTAAAATATCGATGCATTATAAACAGTGAAAAAGATATGAACAGTTTGACTTGACAAATTATCCCTTTAAGAAACTATTAACATATTATCTGCAATTAATTTTGCATTTTCTCTCATTGTATCTTGTTTACATATAAAGGTTTTGTTTTGGAAACAATACTTTAAATTACAATACTTTAAAAAATCAAGAAGAAAAAATTAGTTAATTTGTTCAAGAGTGTTTCAGAAAAAAATATAATACATAAAAACTTTTAAACTTCAGGTATTTTTTATTTAAACTTAACATATCATCGAACTAAAAATTTAAATATTACAGAACATCATTTGCAACATTATTTAGTGTTAGCAGTGTTGTCATACAGATCCTACTCTGCAATGGATTTTACTTCATCCTTATCTATTAAAAATAGTCAAAAAGAAAATAGTCTTCACCCCCATCTAAAGAATTCGAAATTCCATATTTTTAAATTATTTTATAATGATATTTAAATTCACGTGTCTAGTATTATTTGACACATGATGTCTATTGCAATAATAATCGACTTATGCACCCAACTCGCTAAGTATTTACTATCTCGTAATCAAAAAATAAATAGTTTGTGCTAAGTTGTTTATCTCCCAAGAATGTTAAAGGACTTATAACTGAGGGAAAAAAACTAGTAGTTCAAACTAATTTTGTCGCTAAAAACTTTAATTATATATTTTTTTAAAATTTAGTTTATGTTATTGATTTATTTTACTTAACATCGCATAGCATATCTAATCCTTATCCTTAATATTTCTATCTCTTAATAGGACTCAGAAATTATCCCTGAGGAAGGAGCAATATGAACGTTTAGACTTCACCCAACAGCAGCTCAATATACTGACTCAAGAGGTGAAACATGAAATCTGCAACATATGCGAAGTAGTTGAGAAAAAAGTGGCTGCTGCTTTAAGTGAAGAAATCAGGAGGTTAAATGTTCATGTTGACGAGTTCGAGCGTCCTTTCCACTCCGACAGCCTTGTACTCAGCGTCTACAAAAAAGAGCTGAACAGTCACGTAGAACAAGGGTTGAGTAGTAACCTGAGGGGTAGACTCTCTAGTCAGATTCAAATGCTAGTCGAAAGCTCTCAAAAAGACATGATCGATCGAATGTCTTCACTGATACCTCCGGAACACCGGCCAAAAATGGTGAATGTCTTACCTCGACATAACTTTGAGGTTCTCTATCGAATCAACTGTGATAGCCTGTGCTCTGACTTCCAGGAAGACTTGGAATTTAGATTTTCATTTGGGTTAGTAAACATAATCAAATGTTTCCTCGGCCCACGTGAGTCTAAAAAGGTTCTTGGGAAGTCAGTGGAGTCCGTAAGTGTTTTTCCCTGTTATTATTTTTTTTTATGGGCTTGTTATTTTTTATAACTATTTAGATTTTTTAATAATAGTAATTCTTTACTGTCTGGTTAAGAAGATGCTACACCATGGAAGAAACTTTTTATTGCTAATTTTCTTTCACCTCCATAAGTAATTAAAAATTTAAAACTTTAGAGAAAGGAGTTCAGGCAAATCAAGAATAAGCCACGAACTTATAAGTATTAAAAAGAAATTTTCAAAAATGAAAGCAAAGTAGGAAAGGTTAACTTAGGATTATGCAATGAGGAAATTCTCTTCCAATAATTTGTTTGCATTTTAAATGTTTTTTTTTTTCAACAATTAAAGCTTCATGGCTTACTCTAGACAGACTAGGATAAAATGAAAAGCTTTCTGCAAACACAAAATCTCAACTTAGAAACTTTTTGCATGCATTGTTCAAATCTTGTAACTAGTTTCAACCCTTTTGTCACCACCTCATTTTGGTGAAATTTGTTTGAAAATCACAGTTTTTTTTTTTTTTTAATGTTTCATTTTTATAGAACTTTATATTGATTTATAAACATACGGATGAGTTTGGTAGAAAACCAAAAAAAGTTTAAAATAGAAATCAGAAAATGTCAAGGGCAATAAAACACTTTTTAAATACAGTCGGACCCCGATTTAACGAACCCCTATTTAACGAATTTCGCGATTTAACAAATTTTTTTTTCAACCCCAGCAAAAACAGAGTCAAAAACCCCTAATTAACGAATAATTAACCCCGAATTAACGAATTATTTCAGCATCCGGAAAAAATATTTTTCATTAATTTTGATCAGAAAAATACTGCATTTTTTTGTAATTGGCAGATTCTAAAGGGAAAAAATCTTTCTTGGGAGAAATAAAATAGAAAAAGTGCATATTCGTCTCAAACAAAAGAAAAGCCCGCAACAGGGAAAAACAAAATTCGTCATGGGTAGGTGGGCAGAGTCAATAAGACATTACACTTGCAATGTCATTTTCCGGGGGTTTGTCACGTGGACTATGAGTCAAACTGGAAATTCCTTTCTGATCTTAGATAGTCGTTTATAACTAGCAATTTTTAGCTATACATATGTACAAAAAAAAATATTTTTTGAACCCCGATTTTACGAATGACCCCGATTCAACGAATAAAATTTCCGGTTCCGATGAATTTGTTAAATCGGGGTCCGACTGTAATTGAAAAAATACTTGAAATTTGATGAAGAAATAGGAAGGCTAAAGACCGTTATACTCAGCCGCAGGCTAAGCATACATTTATAAAACTTATTAACGGAGGTATGTGCAATAAATTAAATATGTTCCTAAAAGAATTTTTCTACATCTATTTTAATATTTTAAATTCTTCTTAGTTTTTATATATTTGACTTAAGTCATCAAAATATTTTATATTCTAGGTACCATGGCCTGTTCCTAGCACCCCACAAACTCCAAGCAATGAGATGAGACACGTTACCCCATCTCCAGAATACCTTGCCCTACTCCAAAAGCTGGCTTTTGCTTCACCATCATCACAGACAACTGTTGGAGTTTTGGCTGTTGGCGGATTTGTAAGTAACCAAATGGGTTTTTTTTTCTTTCTCTTTCTTTCCCCTAGTAAATTCAAATTCAGTTTTATAAGTTAACCCCTTGTATGAGTATGTAGTTTCTACTTAACTTGGCATAGATATTTTTCCTTTTCGAACTCAAAAGTTAACAGCTCTTAGCTGTTTCTTGATGGTTGTTGACGTGGCAGAGATCTTAAATCTAGAAACAAAATTGCACTAATATGCTGTTGCTCTTTGATTTTTATCACTTGATATCATAGGTAGATAATTGTCTAAATATTTATTGCATCATACTGAAGAAACCTAATTTTACCAGCTATAAATTTTATGGTGTTGTAATTTTTTTTTCCTTTTTAGAAGAATAAGATGATAGTATATATCTTATACAATAAAATTATAATTATTATTATTTTTTACAGTAAACTCCCCATTTTTCTTGGGTGGATTATCCGCATCACAAATCATCCTTGCTTTATTGTTTTTTTTTTTAAATGATAAACAGCATAGCATTTAAAATTGAAAATAAATAAATGCATAAAGATATAACTATTTTAAGAGTTTTGAGAGCAAGATAGTAGCAAACATTCATGTTCGTAGCCCTGTTGTTCAAAATTATGACCAGTTCAACATTTAAACATTGCAGCTTCGAGTGCAATTCCTAAGTAAAAACGCATTGAAAGGATGAAAATGGTGAGGCATTCATAAAGTGCAAAAGGCAACGTGAGTCATGTTATAGCTGTCGAACTACAAATGCAGGATAAAGTTCANTTTATTGTTTTTTTTTTTTTTTTTTTTTTTTTTTTTTTTTTTTTTTAATGATAAACAGCATAGCATTTAAAATTGAAAATGTATAAATTCATAAAGATGTAACTATTTTAAGAGTTTTGAGAACAAGATAGTAGCAAACATTCATGTTCGTAGCCCTGTTGTTCACAATTATGACCAGGTCAACATTTAAACATTGCAGCTTCGAGTGCAATTCCTAAGTAAAAACGCATTGAAAGGATGAAAATGGTGAGGCATTCATAAAGTGCAAAAGGCAACGTGAGTCATGTTATAGCTGTCGAACTACAAATGCAGGATAAAGTTCAAATTTCAATAAATAGATTGTCACTGATCAAAGCAGTATCCGTATTGTTACTATTCAAAGCAATGATATTGATAGCAAGTAAAGAAACTTAGTTTTTTCCCTCTTGCTTTCATATGATGAATGGGAATGGATTATCTTCAGTCATTTATTTAATCAACATATAACACATTCTTGGAACACTTATCAGTTATATAACTGACAACTAACAAATGAATATGGTCCCCACACAACCCCTGATACTCTTATACACCTGATGGATTGAATTGAATTGAATGTAGGGTTTAGTGGCGCAAGGTCCAGATGAGGACATGCTGCGCCAATATACACCTGATGGAAAAAATGAATCAATGGTTTGAAATTTATGGTCCATTATCATGATTTCAGAATTGTTGTCAGTTGTTTATTTTTAGTTTTGTTACTGATAAGAGTTTCTAAAAATCATGTATGCATAGTAACTCTTTATAAGAAGTAATTGAGGTTTTTCAAACAGTTTTTTGCTTTCTTTTTCAATAGTGTATGAACTTCCAAGTTAAGTCTACTTGTGCCTGTTTTATTTCAGTCTCCTGTCTTTCCAACACCAAGAAACAAAAAGAGTTCATAGGCTTTTTCATGCAACAATAATGAAAAAATGTAGAAGAAAATGTGAAGAAAACTGCTGATAATAGATAATAAAAGATATTAAAATGTATAATTTGTATTAAAATAATTTATGTGTGCCCTTTATAACAGGGTTGCCACTCCACAGGGAAAACCTGGAAAATTCAGGGAATTTAAAAATCACCAAAATTAACAGGGAAAATGCAGGGAATTTCGATTTTTTCATTACAAACTGAGAAAATACAGGGAATTTTGTTTCTTATTTTTGTATTCTAAAAAATGGTGACCACTCAAAGCGTCATCTATGGGATACTTAACCATGATATTTCAGCTATACTAAACTATTTCATTTACTATAGCATTATTTAAGTATGTTCAGCTTTTTTTTCCAGCAATTAAAACTAATAAATATAGTTAGCCCAATATAGCTCACACAAGAACACAGTAATTGTTGTTTCCTCTTAATATATTGTGTATAATATGTACAGGGAATTTTTTTTCTAGATTTGAGTGGCAACCCTGTATAAGCGTTTTGCGAATTATTCACAAATTCGCTTATACACGCTAGGTGACCCACTCATTTTCGCAGATAATCGAGAGTTTACGGTATTTATATTTTATTTTTGAAGGAATTCTTGATCTATCTACAAAAAAAATATCTTTGAGTGTAGGAATTTTTCATGAAATATTTGAACATTTTGAATTGACATTTAGAACCGTATTTCAGAATTTATTGTTTTAATTAGCTTATTTTCCCAGAATTTATTGAAATAATTATAAATTCTAACTTTTTAGACATATCCTCTAATTTTCTGATCATATTTTGCAAAATGCAAAGGTAATTTTGAACTGCAGATAAAAGGTTGAACTCCCAATTTTTAATCCATATTTTAAAGGAATAACACTGAGAGAAATGGTATATTGACATTTTACCATGTTTAAATGCTGTAAAACATGCTTTGTGATTGCTGCATTTTGTAAGGAAATTATTTGACAATAAGTTTTAGTCTCCAAATGCATTTTTACAATTTCTTAGTAAAATCTAAGTTCTATTTTCTTTGAGTTGTAACAGATAGTTAAAATTAAATTTGTATTGTAGAATTTATTAGATATTGTAAAAGTTGTAATGTATTATTTCAATCCTTTTATGTAGTTGATAAAAACTGTTGGCTGGAGAGTTATCTTTGCTGGTTTTGGCATCTATGGGTTATTATATGCATATGAGAGATTATCATGGACTAATAAAGCTAGAGAAAGAACATTTAAAAAGCAATATGTTGGTCACACAACTAGGAAACTTAAGCTTATCTTAGACCTTACTTGTACCAACTGTAGCCACCAAGTTCAACAGTAAGTTATGTTAATTTTTCTGCATTGGTTATTTTTGTAATAAAATTAGATTTCTAATTAAGCATGCTTAGTTAGAAAATTGTATGTTACTGAATGATTTCTTATATTAACGGTCATAATAAAATTCATATGGAACACATTTAAATAGATTGGCTGTCACAGTTCTTCGGAAACTGTTGTTTTGGTTTTTCTTTGTAGATATGAAACTTACATTTCAGTTATGCTGATTTTAATGAAGTTGAAAATATTTTTAATTAATTATTTTGTTTGTGTTTTGAATTATATTTGTATTTTTAGATTTGAAATCCATTAAAAGATCGTTGGACTCATGCTACATGATATTTTAAATCACATAAAGACAAGCCTTTTAATTAATAATATAAGAATTAAATTGATAATGACATATAAGACATAACAATTATATTTCAAATAAATTCCTTAAAATAAATATATTTAGCAAAATATGAATTCCAATTTAATGTTTTTTTATTTTAGAATTTTATTCTTCTAAAAATTTGAAATTCAAGAAATCTAATATATAAATTTAGATCAGAAATACAATCAGATACTTTAGAGTATTTATTTTTCTAGTCTGTAGTCTTTGTAATTCAGTTATATAGGGTGACCAAAATAAAATCAAACCTGAAAATTTAAATTAAGTTAAATATAAATTATCCTTGATATTATGAATGCATTATATATCGCTTTTATTTTGGCCACTCAGGCACACAAATACAACTTGTGCCAGAATTTAGTTTGTCTTATACAATAAAAAAAATTACAAAATGTAACATTTATTCGAATCAACTTTATTTTTAAAACAAAGGCTCGCCATATTTGACCACTACAGTTTCTTCTTAAAATTGTTATCTATAATCCCTATGTGGCTTAAAAATTTTCTATTTTTTCTTTTAAATATATATTTGACTTGAAGTATGTTTCAAATTTTTATATTTATTTTAATTTCTATATTTATTTTAAACTCTATATTTATTTTATTCCATCCTTTATTTATTTTGAATTTGCTCTTAAACTTTGCACTTTTTATGCAATTTTATTTTTGCAGAGAACTGTCCAGCACTTTTGCTCGATTGTGTCATCTAGTTGATGAAGTTGTTAGTGATATGCAGAATGAAATAGGCTTACTTGATCAAGATACACAGAAATTAGATGAATCAAGTAGTGCTTCTAGGATTCTTAGGTAAGACAATTTTAAACTTCTTTCCTTTAATGCAGTGACTTCTTTGTTATTGAAATTCCGCCTATACATTTTTCAATTTCTGCTGCCTTTGGTGCTTTCAGACCTGATTTGCTGTAAGTAACATATTTCTTTCAAACTAAATCCTGGATTTAAAAATTTAATGTCTGTAGTTTCTTTTTATGATCTATACCAGAGGTTTTCAACCATGTGGATGAAGGGATTCAGCTTTTAGGAGAAAAGTTTGTTGGAGGAAAACCAATCAGCTTAACTATGCGTGTTGCAATCAAAAAGACGCAGTGAAAATATTAATTAGCTAATAAACTTGTTTGAGTTTATGTGTTCATTTTTATATTTTATCTTGCTTCTCGTGTCACTCCGTCGAAAAAAATCATAATTATGACCGAAATTGATTTAGAAAGTTGTAAGCTAATTTTAATGTGTTTTTATTTGTTTAAGCCTGATAAGATCTTGTACATTTCTGTTTTACTTTAGATAAGGTTTCTGTAAATGCAAAATATTATTGACTATTTATAAAATTTTAATTTATGAAATTGAACCAATCTTTGCAAGAATTTAAACAACTACGTACAGAGTCTCTCATAATGACTACCCTTAGTAAATATTATGTAAATTTTAAAAAGAAGTGCACACTAAGGATGATAATTTAATATTTAAGTGAAGTAGAAACACACAAAAATGCTGCTAAAATATGCTGATTAGAAAGAAAGAATGGAAACTTTGAAATTAGTTTGCTAATTGTTTCTTATGCTGAAATTGTTTCTTATTATAGTCTTTTAACTTTTCCTTGTTTTCTCTGACAAATCTAACTGGTGTTAGATGTTTTAAATCCAATCTTCCTTAGTAGCAAGTTGGCAATATTCAATATTTTATTAGTTTTTTTTTTTTTTTTTTTGTCTTTTTTTCACTTAAATACTAATTTGGGACCTTTAATGTCTGTACTTGTTTGATTTCATTTTTGACTAAAAATTCTAGAAAAGTATTTTTTAATAACAGTCATTTCATATGAAGTAGGAAAAAAAACTCATCAAAACTTACTGACAACGGTTATTTAAAAGAAATCTATATTTTCTCTGTTGAGTGTTAGCAAGCATAGTTATTAAAAAAATCAGTACAACATGAATTATTAAAGTTTATTCTTATAAAATGTAACTCTGCTTTTATTCAATGTATTTATTTACATTTTTCGCGGCTGAATTTAGGAAGCAGAGAATGTATTTTTCAAGTTTCAATGTGGAAGTTGAATCCCAGATAAAATGCTAAAAAGGGCTATATTGGGCCTAAATCAAATGAGATTACACACTCAAAATAAAAATATTTGCATTATATTTGCTATATGGAAAAGTTTGCTATATTAAATTTAAAAAAAGAAAGATAAAGATAATTTATGAAATTCATGTTTACTTGAAGTAAGCAAACTTCTTTTAGACTTTAGAAAAATTGTGGAATCATTTATTTGCAATGGTGTAGATGATAAAAATAAGTTGAGAACCACTGTTATAGATCATTGTTCAATATACAATCACATGTAATTTCACAAAATTGCAATAAATAATGTAAATAAATATATTTCAATCTGNTTATTTTAAATTCTATATTTATTTTAAATTCTATATTTATTTTAAATTCTATATTTATTTTAAATTCTACATTTATTTTAAATTCTATATTTATTTTATTCCATCCTGTATTTATTTTGAATTTGCTCTTAAACTTTGCACTTTTTTATGCAATTTTATTTTTGCAGAGAACTGTCCAGCACTTTTGCTCGATTGTGTCATCTAGTTGATGAAGTTGTTAGTGATATGCAGAATGAAATTGGCTTACTTGATCAAGATACACAGAAATTAGATGAATCAAGTAGTGCTTCTAGGATTCTTAGGTGAGACAATTTTAAACTTATTTCCTTTAATGCAGTGACTTCTTTGTTATTGAAATTTCGCCTATACATTTTTCAATTTCTGCTGCCTTTGGTGCTTTCAGACCTGATTTGCTGTAAGTAGCATATTTCTTTCAAACTAAATCCTGGATTTAAAAAATTTCATGTCTGTAGTTTTTTTTTATGTTCTATACCAGAGGTTCTCTACCATGTGGGGGAAGGGATTAACCTTTTGGGAGAAAAGTAATAGTTTCTTGGGAGGAAAACCAATTAGCTTAACTATACATGTTGCAATAAAAAAGAAACAGTGACAATAATAATTAGCTAATAAACTTGTTTCAGTTTGTGTGTTTATTTTTATATTTTATCTCTCTCCTCATGTCAGTCCGTCGAGAAAATTTATAATTATGACCCCCATTGTTTTAGAAAGTTGTAAACGAATTTTAAGGTGTTTTTATTTTATAAAGCCTGATAAGATCTTGTACATTTCTGATTTATTTTAGATAATATTTTTGTAACTGCAGAACACATTAGTTGAATATTTATGAAGCTTTAATTTATGAAATTAAAATAAGTAAATCATTCTTTGCAAGATTTTAAACAACTACATACAAAGTGATTTTTAATGACTGCCCTGAATAATTATTTGGGCAGTTGTAATAAGAATTTCTTAAATAATTTGATTTTTAGAATCTTTGATAAAAATGAAATTTTAAAAAAAAGTAGACTCTCTAGGGATGATAATTTAATATTTAAGTGAGGTAGAAACAAAAATGCTGCTAAAATATGCCGATGAGGAAGAAATAATGGAAACTTTGAAATTAATTTGCTTGTCAGATGAAACTTGAAATTGTTTCTGATAAGTATTTTAACTTTTCCTTGTTTCCTTTGGCAAGTCTAACTGGTTTTGGATGTTTTTAAATCGCATCTTTCCTTACTAGCAAGTTGGCAATATTCAATATTTTATTAGTTTTTTTGTTGTCTTTTTTCACTTAAATACTAATTTGGGACCTCTAATGTCTGTACTTGTTTGATTTCATTTTTGACTAAAAATACTAGAAAAATATTTTTTAATAACAGTCATTACATATGAAGCAGAAAAAAAAACTCATCAAAACTTACTGACAACGGTAATTTAAAAGAAATCTATATTTTCTCTGTTGAGTGTTAGCAAGCATAGTTATTAAAAAAAATCAGTACAACATTAAATATTAAAGTTTATTCTTATAAAATGTAACTCTGCTTTTATTCAAGTATTGGTATTTATTTACATTTTTCGAGGCTGAATTTAGGAAGCAGAGAATGTATTTTTCAAGTTTCAATGTGGAAAGTTGAATCCCAGATAAAATGCTAAAATGGGCTATATTGGGTCTAAATCAAATGAAATTCATGTTTACTAAGTAAGCAAACTTCTTTTAGACTTTAAAAAAATTGTGGAATCATTTATTTGCAACGGTTTAGATGGTATAAATAAGTCGAGAGCCACTGTTATAGATCATTGTTCAATAAACAATCACATGTAATTTAACAAAATTGCAATAAATAATGTAAATAAATATATTTCAATCTGAAAAATTTTTTAATTAATGTATTTGTTTAATCAAAAATTTGTAATTTGAAAGGGAGGGCGATAATTATTTTAATTTTTCCATTAAAAAGGACTTTTTAAAATAATTTTCTCCATTTAGTTTTATTTGAATTTTTGGCCGGTGCTTTATTGTATACTTATTTTTCTCATGTTTATTTCCAATCATTTGTAGTTTAACTCATTGTTGATAAGTTAAACGCATCTATAAATAATTATAATTTTTTTCATTCTTTTCTAACAGTATTTATGAAACTAAATAAAAATTAAAAATATGTGGTCTTACTTCTGTAAATGGAATTTCATATGATTTTTTTTATTATTATTTTTTTTTTAAATTTGAAGTTTTTTTATTGGGATAAAAGTTTTTCCCTTATAAAACCTGAAAACTTTTTGCAAACAGAATGAATTAAAATATCTTAAACCAACCTCTACATGAACAAAATATATGATCTATGAAAATAGCTATGCAACCTAACAAAAAAATTTTACCAAAATTAATTATTATAATTTTAAATTAAATATAAATTACAAAATATTTTGCACAAATAAGAGTTGTGACAAAATAAAGGGGAAAAAACCATTTATTAAAATTCACACAAAAGTATAAAAAATTAAGAACACAGAATCTTCAAAATATCATAATACAATTTGTATAACCAATTTTAGAATAATATTATATAACCTGTTAATGTTTAACTGCATTGTTTTTATTAGACTACGTTCTTGAACCCCTTCTAAATTTTGGGAAAAGCCCAATTTCTCTGATTTTGTTAGTTCCCCAAGAAAATTTTCACCTCTGATTTTTAAAACTTATCATAATGCTGTTCTAATCACAATTGAATATAGCAAATTTATCTAATTTTTTTTCCATCATTTTTATTTATTTATATTTTAAATTTATAACTCTTTTCGAAATTTAATCTTAATAAAGTGTCTTGAATATTTTGTCAGAATTTTGTCGATTGTTATATTGAAAATTTTCTGCAAATGATGCAAATAAAAAATACCTCCCTCTTAGTCTTTTGCATTAGTAAAATAAAATTTTTTTTTCACTTAATAAAAAAGTGCAATAAAAACTGTAAACGTACTAAAAATATCCCACTGTATTAGTGAAATTTTTAGTGAGATGAGTTGAAAATTATCCGGGCTCGATGATGATTCAATTGAATCCATGAGACTTAATTTAGCCATATATGAGTTGTATATGTTTCAATTACTTAAGAAGTTTTAACTTAATCGAAAATGTTCTCAAATAGGCATGGTGATGAATTGTGTAAAAATGAAAATTATATTTTAAAAGTTTCACTGATGTTGCCTCTTAAGAATGACGAACTCTAAATAATAACTATGACCATCATAATTTAATTGAAGGGCTTGAGACAAAATAATCATAGTTCACATCACCACAGTTTACAAAAGCATCACCACTTACTTCTATTATTTTAAATGGGTTTAGTGTCATTTTTCAGTAGTATCTCTAGTCTCTAATATGACTTAAACTATTAAAACAAAAATAATTTCTCATTTCAATAAGCAAAGAGTTTGCCTTCTAAATATTCTTTTCTTCTATTTTTAGGAACAAAGCTGATTATCTATACAGTGAATTGGAAACTTTTACAGCACAGTACCTGCAATATGACCAGTGATTAATGATCTAGTTGTAAAAACTTTATGATGATATTAGAAATATTATTTATGTAGAAACCAAGCATAACTATATTTGTTTAAAACTTAGTTACTTCCTAGTGATATGCACTTTATTTTTTAAAAATAAGAATTTCTTCATAGCTGGTTTTCTTCCTTTTTTTTTCTTCTTGTGAACTTTTAAGATGAAAAAACAGCATGGAACCTTTTACTATTGCAACATTTAATTGATATTTCTTTTTTGAAATCAGTTGTTTGAATATTTTTTATGTATACTAAGCAATCATTTCAAATGCTTGTTTTTGTTAAATAACTACATTCTACTAATAACTACAAACTGTTTACAATATTTGTGTTTAATAATTGTGTTGCCATAAACTTCTCATTCTCCTGTGTGAATATTTTAAATACGTAATGCATGTTTTTTAAAATGTTGATTTTATTTTTAGGTTCTTTTTCTACTTTTTTTTTAATTGCATGATTATTTAAACAAGAATCAAACATATGAAATACATATTTATATAACCTTCTGTTATATATAAATTTTGCCTGAATGTGTTTTTCTGTTTATTGTAATGTGTTATACTCTCAAAGAATTTATGAAACAGATTGCTTAAAAAACTTGCTGATTCTGATGTCATATACGTTTCAAATTTGAATTAAATAACTTATAATGAAGGTTGATCTTACTAATATTATTTAAAATGTAATTAATGAATATGCCATGCTATTGATATGGAAGTAATAAAACACTTATATTTATGTTTATTGCATAGTTGTTGTCATTCATTTTATTAACTGCAAATTCTATTAATTCGCAAATAATGTATTTATAATATTTATTCCCTTTTAACTGTTAAGTTCTTTAGCCAAATATCCTCATTTAATAATACAAAAAAAAGCATTCTCTGTTTTACAGAAATGTTAAAAGTCAATTTGAAGCAAAGTGGTTTAAAAGGCATATGAAGCAACGATTGATGACTGCTTTTAAGTAAAAAGGAACCTTTTTTAAACTTAGTGATCTGAGTTTGAGGGCCTTTTTGTTCTTAGTATTTATTCTATTCTAGAGCAATTAAGTTAGTTCTAAAGAGTTCACCCTTGTACTATTCAAGTCCAAAAAATTTGCAAGATTATTACTCAAAACTAAGCACATAACCCATGAAAACTTTTATGGTACTAATTTCATGGAGTTAACCATAAATAAGTGGATACTTATCCATTGCCTGGGTACCAGAAGAAACTTTCTGTACCTAAATGGTCGTCAAGTATTAAAAAAATTTCTTATGATTCCTTAAGAACTATCTTTTTTTAAAAAATAAATTTGATTTTAGAAATGTTGTTATTCAAGTGCTAAAATATAAATAAAATACCAAATAAATCACTTTAGTCAAATAAATATGACATACTGATGTTGAAGTGACACATTAATCATGAAGTTTGGTGATTTTAGCCAAGCTTTTTTTCTCTAACATAGGGGTGCACAACCTGCGGCCCGCGGGCCAAATGCGGCCCTTCAACTACTGAAGTGCGGCCCGCGAGAGCTTCTAAACACAATAATTTTTTTTTTTTAATGGCAATTTTTAATCGCACTTTTAAGTCATCACGTTTTGACACAATCAATTTTAACAGATTCTTTAGTAAATGTGCGTTTAACGCGCTTTCTTTAAGCTGATTTTATAGTAAATATAAAATTTAGATTTTTTTCATAACAGTTATTTCCGCTTTTCTACGTGATTTCGAAAATCCCGAATTTTTAATAACATAAGTATTTTGATAAAGATTAAGTATTTTTGTTATTGTATCAATATCTTCATTAACTTTTTCCTTACCTAGTTTAAAATAATAATTTTCAATAACTTATTTTTAATATCTTGTACTTAAAATCTTGTTCAGCTTATACATTTAGTTAAAAAATCATGCTAAGCTATTGAGCATATTATTCAACTATATTGTTTGGGATACAGCAAACTCTATATGGTATTGTAACAGATTTAACTTAAACTATTACTAATCTGATGCTAATTATCAATCGTTATAAGAATTTTTATTTAAATATTATAAATAAATGTTTAATGCAATAAACAAATGGATTTGGGTTGTAGAAAACTCTAGATTTGCTTTGTTTAGATATTTTTCTCTGATTTTCAAATAAAGCATTTTTTTTTTTTTTGTGCATAAAAAGATTTATTAATTTGTTTCTTGTGTTTCATACTATAATTTAAAAATTTAACTAAAAGTTCAAATAAAAAAAACATTGCCAGTTGATAAAGAAAAGTACACAAAATCTTCATTTTAATCAAAATTTTTAAAAGCATTTTTTAATTAATAAACAATAAATTATTTGCAGAATTAAAATTTTTAGAAAGCAATTTAAGTCAAGAAATTTAAATATCACAAATAATGCTCTGCAAAATTAAATGATCTAATATGAGCTTATATGTACTCTACATTCTATAATGTTTAAAATAATTTGATTCTTAAAATTATGGGATGCAAAGCTTAAATATATTCCTCATATTAGATCATTAAATTTATTAGAAGCAAGGTTTTTAGGGACTAAAATATCTATCCAATACGAATATCTCTCAAATAACCAGATATTATACACTATTGACATCTGACATAAGTATCTAGTTATTAATGTTATGTGTTGGATGCCTTTAATAAGTCTTATATATCTGTCAGAAGTCTCCTAAATATACAGCAGATGTCACAATATCCATATATCTGTTGGTCATCATAGAGCTGCAATCCCCGATGGACAGATATTTCATGGATATTCAGATATCTTAGAGATCTTTGTTGGATTTTGGAATATCCAAATTTTTTGTCTAAGACAAATCTCAAAGATTTTCTGGGAATATTTGTGGCATTGTGGGGCTAGCATGTTACAACTTACGTTCTTATCATAGATTGTATGGTGATTAGTGCTTGCCTAGTTGTGTTTCATGAAACTCCGAACGTATGTAGCCTGAGTTTTGGGACACCATATATAGCAGAGGTCAGTGTGCAGGTGGGTGACCACTTTGATCAGTCTGAAGGTGCGACCGAGGGAGTGCGGTATTGGTCCTTGTTAAACTGTTCTACCATAAAGTGCACGATTCAGCGATCAGATCGTTGAGCTACCAAAACGGGGGGAGCCATCTCTTCGACTAACAATCAAAATTGTGTTGACTGTTTTCGAATCATCCTCAGGGATGTTTCTCGGTCCGTCACCAATAGCCCATTGTGCAGCTCTAGTGAGACGTAAATAAAGTACTGCTACTACTTTTGCTCAACTGTAGTGAGAAAACACACCAAATGGAACGATATTTCTCTTAATAATTTAATGTTAATTCCACTTATAGCATATTTCTCTACCATTCGAGAACTTATTAAGGGAATTGAAAACTTTTTGTACAAAATCATGAAAACTCTTTTTAATCAAATATCATTTCAAGCAAAACTGCATTTTTTTATATTTATGGTCAAAATTTTGAATTTAAAGTAGGCAAATTTTTACATTAATTAAGGTTAAACAATTTTAAATAAAAATGTACCTAAATTAAAAGAAATAGGTTAAATAGCTCCAGTTGTAAACAACTCAAAAATACGATTTTTTTTAAAAATTTTGTAACTTCGAAACTCTTTTTTCATTATAACATAATTCAATGTAATATAGTAAATAAGCAATAATAAATATGCATTAAGAAATTATTTATTTTATAAAATTATCATTGGATAAAGGAATTTTAGAATTGTGTGCAAAAAATTTTCTATTTGCTTTACAATTCCCTGAGGTACGGTGAAATAGGCTAAATGAAAAATTAATATTAAAAAGGTGAAATATTTTTGAGGGTGAGATACTTAAAAATCCGTTCAATAAAACAAAGTTTTATTTGGGGTAGATCTGTTTAGAAAAAATAAACTGCCTACCTTCCTATATTTTGGAAGATATATTGTTTATTTATTTGCACACTGTACGTCTATTCTCTTTCAAGTTGCACCAAACATTGATTGATTTAAAGTTTTTCCAAGAAGCAGAATGTAAGGAATTTTATTAAGCGCCATCTATATTAAATTTTGTTCATGAATAATAATAATATTTATGTAACTTTCTGAAATTGAGATCTGGCAAGATAAACAAAAATTGCGTCCGATTGCGCAATAGTTGTTTAGAAATGAGAAATGTTTGATTTACTAGAAGAATGTAGTTTCAGTTTTTACTTTCTCTCATTGTTTATAACGAATTTAGTAATTCAATGAACTTTGAAAGGACGAATACTTACCAATGCATCGATGAAGTATTTCACGATTAGAAAAATTTATTCCATAGCCTTTCAACTTTGAATTTAAAAAAAAGAAAAAACGTATATTATAATTTAGAACATATCATGAAGTACAAACATTATTTTAATTTTTAAATCTATATTTTTGCCTCTTGATCTTAACATGTGCTTGCATACATAAGAATACAACTTTTTTTTCAATATGTTTTCATCTATAGACACATTGTCATTTAATTTACCTTCACAGCCAGTAGGTTAGTATAACTTACTGTTTTCTAGCATCTTATACACTTTTAAAATTTAATTTTGCTTATATTTTTGCTATGGATATTAAAATGTCATTAAATTATAAGTCGCCTGTAGTATGTAATTACTAATAATTTGTTTTATTAATATAACTTAAATCAATAAATAACTGAAAATATATGAGAGGAACTTTCTTGTTTTGTTTTTTTAAATAATGGGGAATAAACAAATTATGACGTATCTTCAATACTCATCTTGTTTTTTTTCTTCATTATAATAAACTATATACCAATAATATTTTGGTTTTTTGTTTGTGTTTTAATTTGATAGTCCATGCACAAATAGATCTCCCAGAAAGCCTCAGACCAATCAGATTTGTGGAAGAAATTTTGATTTAACTTACTCAGTAATTAGATAAAATCTTCTTTGAGACTCGTAATTATCAGAAGTTAACTTACTATGTTTACAGTTAATGTGTTCTTGAATTAGTGGAAAACGTCTGAATCAATAATTTTTAGCAAATCAGATGATTGCTCTTTGTGTTAATCATTTTGCATCCACATTACTTTTTTGAATTTGAGGAGAATTATAATAATTTGTCGTTAATTTTAATTTTGCTCCTATATAATATACTTCTATAATGGGGGGAAGAATTTTCTATTTTGATTTGCTTCAGAATAATAAAATAACACCGTGAGAAACTAGAAAAAGACAATGGAATATTTCTGTATTATGATCTGTTGCACCAATTACAATCACCAAGGTGCCAAATAGATTTTAAATTTGCAAATTTTTTTAAAAAAACATATATTTATTTGCCCGGGGGTGGCTACAAGTTATACCTTTTCAGTTTTTCTGTGATGTTTTTAGTTTCTCACGAGCAGATGCCCGGAAGTTGCAAAGACTTAGCATTTATTCTGCCACAGATCACAGTACGGAAATTTCCTTAAAAACATCACAGAATGGAACCAACCCGAAGGGTAATATTAATAGCTATTCTGGGAACCTCAATATGTTTATTTTTAAAATTTGCAAGTTATTGGATCCCTTGCAATTGTAGTTGATACGGCAGATTACGATACGGAAGTATTCTCTTATAATAAAGCTCTTAAGTTCAAGAGAACAAAATAATTGTTTTATAATGTCACTAGATATAACTTTTTATTATGATAATTATTAATTACAATGCTAGTAATTAGTGGTGATCGGTTAGCTAGATACCTCTAAAATTTGATATAGGCTATCTTAAATATGTTCTTTGTTTTGTGTTTTTGTCTCACAATAGTTATGAAAAGTTCAAAAAGTACGTACATCCTGAAGGGGGGGGAGGGGATTTGCCAATTTGTGCGGTTTTGTACGATGGGGAGGTATTATACAAAGTACGTACATTATAAGCATGCAACAAATTTAAATTTGACTTTTTCCTACACACTCCTTAAATAAATATTAAATTTTATTTAAAACATAATTATTTTAATTTTTATGAAAAGGAGGAGTAGGCTAATAAAATGTATGTACTCTAAGGGGGAGAAGTAAGACTTTATGTACGGTAATGTACGAAGGGGGGGAGGGAGTTAAAATTTCTCCATTTTCGTGTACGGTTTCATCACAATCTTGAACATTAAACATTTTTTGTATTGCAATTTTCCTTTTGATTTTTTTTTATTATTTTTTTTTGGGGGGGGGGAATTCTAATAGAGACTGAAACTGATGAATATGCATTCAGGCTAGTAAATTCTTATTGACTGGTAATTTGGATCAATGACTAAATTTTTAAAAATTTCTAACTCTATATAAACTTTTATTTGCTTATAAATTCTTGATATTTATTGGAAATATAATTCATGAAATGAAATTATTTTATTTTTGTAAATTAAATGAATTATTTTAATGAAATTATAATTATATTTGTGGCCTTATTATGTGATTTTGATTGGATTAAGTTATAAGTTTAGAGTTTTAATTGTTATTTAAACTATGAAGTGATAAGATTAATAATTATGAATATTTGATTTTATGTGTCATAAGTTTTAATAGTCTACTATACTAACTATGGGATTGTGTAGGTACATATCTAATATTCCAATAATTTAAAGGTATTAAATAATTTAATTTTTATTGAACTGATAGTGAATTAAATAATTTAGTGCTGCAGTACTAAATAAAATTAAAGTAGATTAATTGGTTATAATTAGTTCATAGATTTCATTGAGATGTGATTCTGATGCCAAATCAGTTTTAAATAATGTTTTAAGTTTTCTCTCAATGTGATTATACATTGAATTTGTCTTATGGCTCTTTAATAGAGTTATTATACCATTTACAATAACAAAATTATGAAATTGTGTTAATTTTATGTTCTCAAAAATTGTAAATCTAACTTAAAGTACAATGTTATATTTATATTATTGGCAAATATGTCCTTATTGTGTGGAGAATATTACGTTTGAAATATAAGCAAGGTTAAAAAATTAGTTCATAATGCAGTGCTTTCATCATAGAAAAAAAATGGGTAAGAATTTCTCACCCTTTCTCAAAAACAGGGTGAGATTTCTAAAAAAACACAAAAACTCTTGAAAAAAAAATTCCTTAATTATAATACATTTTTAATGTCTTCTATTTTTTAAAGCATTGAATATTTTTGGTGCATCAACATATAAGATTTTGCCTTTACAAGGTATTTGTCCATCTCACATTAGCACATAAAATATTTCAACGTCTTACATGAAGAAACCTAACCTACGGTAAACATGTGGTTGCAGAGAAATGTATTCTGAAAGGGGTTCTGCGGTTGTGTTCTGTTGTTCGAAAAGGTTCTGAACAATACTGGTAAATAGGGAAGCTAGATAGATAAAGAGGCAGATGTTGAAAATAATGAAAGATCCAGGAAGAGAAGTGAAACAGATTTTATTCTAAATGCGTAATTCTAAGCTTTTTTCGAAAATGCGAGAAATTAACGAATTTGGAAATGGATTTATAGAATGTGCGAATTTCTCGCGGTAATAATTTTTTAATGCGAGAAAAAGGAAAAAATATGCAAGATTCTCGTGCTGTAGTTAAAACACTGCATAATGGTTGAACTAACTATTTTTACTCTTAGTTTAAATTGCATAAAATCTAATTTTTATTGTTCTTATGTATTTTTACAAAAAAAAATATTTAATTTTTAGAAAGATCTTTTTGTCGCAATCTTGGATTGACTGGTGAATTTCAAGAAATTAACTCTACTAGATCTTTGCGAGCTTTTGTTGAAGTATTGGAGCAGCCTGTCTCAATTGGTGCAAGGTTTCGTTATAAATGTGAAGGTCGATCTGCTGGGTGTATAAGAGGTGTTAATAGTACAGACAAGCAGAAAACTTACCCGACTATTAAGGTAAAAGATTTTTATTATTTCTGAAACAGAATGATTTATTATTATTCATTTCATTGTAAAGAATGCTGTAACAAATCAGGCCTTCTGAAATCATTATAAAATAAAACTTTCGAAACATTCCAAGAATGTATATTTAAGCAGTTTCCTTTATCTATAACCACCTAAATTCGATGAGATAAATTTTTGGTTGGTTAACAATGCAAATATTTGCTTTACTATAAAATTTGCAATATATATATATATATCTGTGTGTGCATGTCATTTTCTTAATTGAAAGTATTTAAAAATGTTCTCTATTATGTAATCTTGGAAAGTTAGAAACTTTAAAACATATAAATGCTTTAAAAGTTGAAAAAACTTCCTTGATTCTTAAATATATAATTTTTAATGTACATTTTATTATAAATTTTTCCCCATAAATTTCAAAATTGTTTTAAGCTTGCTGTTCTTGAATGATTTGTACCCGAACACTGGATGTAAAGTTTCGTCTTTACTATGTAATTTCTGATTTATATCACCCCTTATAACCCTTACCCCCCTTTTACCCTTTTATTATCGTCAATATATTGATGATACTGTTCATTTTCTGAGAGGTGTCATAGTGACTTTTTGAATTGAAGATGATTGAGAAAAGTAGTTGCATTCTTTCTATCTATTGTTTAAAAAATTCTGTATTATGTTTTTAGCGTGATTCATTTTTTATACTTAAGCAGTTATTTCATATTCTCAATTTTATAACTTACTAAGCTAGCAAATAATTTTACAGGTTCATGGATATCAGGGTGCTGCAAGTGTAGTTGTTTCTTGTGTTACTAAGGACGGGCCGCCTTATTTTCCACATCCTCACAATTTAGTTGGCAAAACTTGTGCTAATGGAGTGTGCTACAAGACAATTAATTCTCCTGATATGGTTTGCAGGTATAAAAATGTCCATCATTTATTTTTTTTCATTAAGATTTTGTAAATTTTTAAGTAAAGAAAACTTGTTTTCCATCCCATGAAGCTATTGCAGTTTGAGAAAGTGAAAAAAAATGGTTTATTTTTGATAACCTATTTTTAAGAAGTCTATGCTTGTGTGTTAATTATATACAAATACCCCCTTGTTAGAGTATTTAATGCAATATGTTGCTTTTTATTTTTAATGATGATTAACGATTGAAATGATTGTTTATAGTTTTTCATATGGCTCTAAAAGGATAATCTAGCCTGCTATGAATAACAACTTAGAAACTAAACCTGGAAAAAAACTTTTTGGATCAAATAATTACGATGTTCAAAAGTATTAATACTATTTAATGAGTATTTTTCAATTTTAAATCTACTGCACAGCTTGTCAAGAAATAAGCATTTTACCATTTGGTTATATTTNGCTCAAAGAGAAAACGTAGAAGATGCTTTGTTAAGATGGTTCGAAATCTTGTTCAAAATGTAAAAATCTTGCATTCTTTGCACATTGTAGATAAGAAAATTGATGAACTCAATTTAAAATCAAATTGTGTTCAATCAAAAATCACAAATTTTTTTCATAAAAAGTGAAAATAAAACTAATATTTAGCTACGTAATTACTCTTTCCATCAATTTTTGCTTTATTATCTGTTAATTAGTTAATAATTTTTTTAATGACTTATGCAAAAATGCAAATCCAATTTTCAATCATTCAACTGTCTTATGCAAAAAATATTCTTCAAAAAATTTGGATATAGTGAACCATCGGTTATAGTGGACACATTACTGAGTCCGCAGACGGTTCACTATAGCGGGGTTCGACTGTATTTATTGATGAAAGTGAAGAAAATTAAGCAATATTAAAAATCAATATTTATTTTATCCATTTATTTATTTATTTATTTTTTTACAGATTCAAGTTAATCCTTTCTTGTAGTGTTTTTGCTATCAGTATTTTGGAACATTAAATTAGTTTTTATCTTTATTGTAGTTTTGCCAATCTCGGAATACAATGTGTGAAAAAAAAGGATATCAAAGAATCTCTATCGCACAGGGAAGCAATTCAAGTTGATCCATTTGGGAGTAAGTTAAATTTTACCTTTTTCATATATATATTTTTTTAAATATTTAAGAGAATACAAAGATGATTGTATTCTGGAGGTATGTCGCAATTCTTTGTTACTCATATCATTTTTCTGGGTTTAAAAATTAGAAGCAAGGCATGCAATTTTTGCTTGAATATCATAGAATTCCACATATTTCAAGACCATTGGTTCCCTGACTTCAGCAAACAAAAAATTGTAACCCAACAAAATTTTTAAGCTTTTGCTAATTACCATTAACGAGACATTTACTCACATTCTTCCTCCAATTTGAGTCTTGGTTTGGCGGATTTTCGCCATTTTGAATATTTGGAACTGCTCTCGAATCTGCTAATATTGCAATTCTTATTTGCAAAATTTTAATATTATTGATTTTCGTATTTGCCTGATTTAAGAGCTACACATTGCAATACGTACTCACTCGATTAAAAATTTTTACATTGCAATTCCTATTCACTTAATTAAAGGATTCAATATCGCGATTTGTATTTACATGTTTTTAAAATCCAATTGGTATTCAAGCATTTGTAATATAAATCCTCGATTTCTACATGTACACGTTATTTAAAAGCTACGCATTGCAATTTATATTCACATGATCTAATAATTATGCACAGTAATTTGTATTTACCCGATTTAAAAATCCAATATTGCAATTTATATTTTCGTGTTTTTAAAATCCAATATTGAAGTTCATATTCATGCAGTTTTAAGATCCAATATCACTATTCATATTCGCAGGATTTTAAAATCCAATATCACGATTCTTTTTAGAAGTAAGTTTTTCTTGAATTAGTTATTCTAAAGATGTGATATTTGGCATTAGTAGGTAATTTAGTTATAAATGTTAGTCCAAAAATTTTTGTTAAATATGAAACATGTATGGTGCATAAATTGATAATGATTTTTTGCACAGAAAATTTTTCACTTTGTGCCTCAATCACCCCTGAGAATAGTAAATTAACACTTTTTTTTTATTTTGAGAATTATAAATTTTTGTGATATGGAGTTACTTATTATATACTTTATTTAACAGTTTCTTTATTTCATAAATGTGCAAATATAAACTCGAAGATGAAAAAATATACTTATCACCTTCCTATTCAGGTGACAAAAAAAATATACATATTAAAATTTATCTTACATCTGGTGAGAAATGTGAATTGTTTTAAAAATGAGTAAGAAAAAAAATTATTCATCAAATAGTGCTCATGAAAGCAAAATACAAATCAGGAGAAAAATACAAATGACTATTTTACTTGTATATTTTTAGGAAATAATAGGGGGGGAAAATAGTTCATAAAAAAAACTTATTTGACAGAAAGCTAATGGATAAACCATTATTTGTTTGTATAAATTGACAGAAATGAGAGTTTTGTCAATAATAGTTTAAAATGAAATATTCTGTATTTAAAATTTGCAAGAAAATTGCCATATTTTCATGCAGTTCAAGAGCTAAATAAAATTCTAATAAAACTTTTGTCTAGTCTTCTCCCCTATTCAGATCCTTTGACTTTTTAAGCAATAGACCAGTTTGATTTTAATGAGAAAAGCAAATTATTAAAAAAAAGTATACTATGGATGCAGCAAATTATATTTCTAAAAATACAAATGTTTGGGTGTTAGAAAGAAAAAAAAGCATTTCTTTTTAATTGCAATTATCAAATGTAACTTTATTTTGCAAATCCCAGTATGAAAATATTATAGATTTTTATACTCAATTTTTAATGCATTGAAATTGAGTTTTGATAAAGAAGAAAAATCGTCGCCAATAGCCCATTGTGCAGCTCTAGTGAGACACAAATTAACAACAACAACAAGATAAAGAAGAAAAATTTTGACACCATGTTTGTTTCTTCAGTGAAGAAAGGTTTAAAAAAATTTTCTAGTTAGCTGATATATATCATTTTTCTGATTAGTATAATTTTAATTTCTGTTAAGAAAATATTTACTATAGTTAGAAAATTTATGTTATTTAGTCATTCATAATTTTCATTATAATGAAGCTTTTGTACTGATGATGGTGCTGATAACAACTATATATCTTGCAACTATTTTTATTTATGTTCTTCAATATGTTATCATACCCAAGTGTTCTTTAGGGCATTGCTTTGTCTTAATTATTTAAACATATACTGGTCAATAACTGGTAACTTTATATATTATTTAATAGTTTTTGAAAAATTGTGATGATTGTATATTTTTATTTTCACTCTCTGATATGTAATGCTTATTAAAAGCAAATAAATAAATACATGCACATTACAAATGACTTTACCAGCAATATTCTTTTATAATCAGTAAATCTTTTCTGATATTAAAAGAAAAACACTAATATTTTAATTTTTTGTCTTGTGAATTAAATTTGTAATAGTAACATTTTTACTTTTCAGCTGGTTTCTCTCATCATCTTGAACCAGGAAAGATTAATCTGAATTGTTTAAGGCTCTGCTTCCAAGTCTTCTTACCTAATGAAACCGGTAAAATGTGCATCCCTCTCTCTCCTGTTGTAAGCAATGCAATTTATGATAATAGTGAGTATGATAAAGACATTTTTTTGACTTTTTTAAAAATGTGATTATCAAAACTTATGTCTAATTCTTCAATTCTGCTAATATGCATCATATAAAAATTCAATGTGACATTGCTAATTTTATAAAAAAAAATTTAACATTTAAATTGTTGATATTTACAGCAGTATTCTGATTGATTTATTATATTTTGTATTATTTACTTTAGTTTTCTGTCACATATATTCAAAATAATGCTATTAACTATTTGTTTTAAAAACCAGGCGTCCACTGTAATTTTATTTATATATAAAAAAAAGGAGGAGTTTGTTAATGATTGTCAAAAAAGAAGAAAGGTCTCATGAAAGAGGATGTTGTTCTGCTGGAATGTATATTTTGTATATTTATTCCTATTGATTTATGCTAATTTTCAGATCGTTAAAATGTAATGTCGAGTTAAGAAGAATTATTCTTTTTTGACGCCTCTTTCAATTTGGTTTTTATCAAAATTTTATTGTTATTTACTTTTGTACTATTTAATTGGTTTTAAAAGTAATGTTTTTAAATGTTTTACAATATTGTTCTCTTGTAAATTTTGCACGTTTATCTTTTAAATTGCTCGGCGCAGCTTGTCCTCTCTGGACCTTGCGCCATTAAAACTTACATTCAATTCAATTCATTCTTTTAAATTGCTCTTTTAAATTATTCTTTTAATTGACACTTTTAATATATTGCTGTTTTAATGTTTATCACCTTACATGATTTTAGCTGTTCTACCCCCGCCATGTTCATGGGCTGTTGCCATGTCTGATGTGTATTTTATGTAATTTGTGTTTGTACTGTTCTCTGGATTTTTTTTGATTTTAATAAACATTTACCCGTATGCCCTAAATAAGGGCGGGTCGGGGTAAATTCTTCCATTATCAATATGCCAAGTTTTTAAATAGGAAATTTTGACCTCAGAGATGTTTTGGCCAGCCAAATGAGTTCGATGNTCTTCTTACCTAATGAAACCGGTAAAATGTGCATCCCTCTCTCACCTGTTGTAAGCAATGCAATTTATGATAATAGTGAGTATGATAAAGACATTTTTTTGACTTTTTTAAAAATGTGATTATCAAAACTTATGTCTAATTCTTCAATTCTGCTAATATGCATCATATAAAAATTCAATGTGACATTGCTAATTTTATAAAAAAAAATTTAACATTTAAATTGTTGATATTTACAGCAGTATTCTGATTGATTTATTATATTTTGTATTATTTACTTTAGTTTTCTGTCACATTTATTCAAAATAATGCTATTAACTATTTGTTTTAAAAACCAAGCTTCCACTGTTTTTTTTTATTTATTTATTTATTTATTAAAAAAAGTAGGATTTTGTTAATGATTGTCAAAAAATAAGAAAGGTGTCATATGAAAGAGGATGTTGTCCTGCTGGAATGCATATTTTGTATATTTGTTCCTATTGATTTATGCTAATTTTCAGATCGTTAAAATGTAATGTCAAGTCAAGAAAAATTATCCTTTTTTTTAACGCCTCTTTCAATTTGCTTTTTATAAAAATTTTAAGGCCTCAAAAGTTCTTGTAACATTTGTGTTATGACTAGAGAAGTTACCATAATGAAATAATTACCTATTATTAATATGCCAAGTTTTTAAATGGGAAATTTTGACCTCAGAGATGTTTTGGCCAGCCAATTGAGTTTGACGAACGAGGTATTGGAAATCTTGTTGAAGGCTGGAAAGAGATTGTAAACAACTGACGAGAATACATTATTGATGAATTAGTTAGTAATTTGTATCAAAAAGTAAACTTTTATGATATTTAAAAAAAAAAACAACAACGGTGAATTAAAAACCTGTCCAAAATATTATCATATATTAAATTTATTATTGATTTTGACTTAATTTTATTATAGAAACAGTATCTGATCTCACCATTACGAAGTTGAGTCATTCTTCTGCTCCAGTTACAGGTGGTCAAGAAGTTATTTTATTATGTGATCAAGTGAATAAGGGTAAGCTTTCTAACCTTTCATTAATGTGTAATAATATATTTTATCATACTCTTTTTGCTTTATTGTAATTTGATTATTTTATAGTGTACCATATTTTTTCAAGGTTTTTAACATATTTAAATTTTAAGTAATTTGCTTTTTCCCTGTTTTTGCTTTTTATGTGAAATAATTACCTATTTGTATACTTTATTTCTTTTTTTTAAATATTTTTAATAATCTTTGTTTCTAAAAGCTGAAAAACTAAAAATCTGATTAGTAGTAATTGTAACATTTATAGAATAATGTCAAAAAAGGATTGATTTTTTGTAGTCATATTTGTTCATTGATACGGATTCAAATTTTTTATTTATTTATTTAGAGCTTTGATACCTTTTCTGATTAAATATTAGCTTAAGGATAAAGAGGAAAGAAATCATATTTTTTTTGTGTGTAATAATATTTTTTATATTACTGCTTTTACTTTATTGTAATTTTATTGTTTTAATGCACCATATTTTTTCAATCCTTTTTTTTTAACACATTAAAATTTTAAATAATTTACTTTGTAAAAAAGATTCGTGTTTAGAAAAAGCTGTTTGTATATTATATTTCCTTTTTAAATATTTTTAATAACCTTTATTTGTTTCTAAAAGTTGAGATAATTAAAATTGTAATATTTTTGGGTACAAAAATTCAGGTGCAAAAAAATTCAACCATTTTGTTTAAAATTTTTTTTCCATTTTATTTATTTATTTTTTTATTCTATGTAACTTTTATGTGTTAAAAATAAACTTAACAAAAGTTGGCAGAGGTCAATGTTTTTTGGTGACTTTTTGCTTGTGCCCGGCTAACCTAAATGTACCCATTTTTGATATAATTTAGAAAAATTATTAATTAAAAAATTTTTGTACTAAGACATTAATTGTTGTAATTTATATTGGCAATGGATGGAAATTTTTTTTTCTTATTAAGGGTTTTGTTACTTTTTTTGATTAAATATTAGCTTAGATTTAAGGGGGTAGCTTAGATTAAGAATGCTATTTTTAGAAAATAAATTAAATTGCTATTGGTGTACTTTTTCAAATACTAAATATGATAATTGAAAGGGATTTATTGTAAAATAGCCAGTTGAAAGAAAGGAAAGAACTGGAAATTATTACATCAAAATAAGAAGTAAAAGGGAATCCCTGGAAAAATGAAAAGCAGGTTCAAAAATTAAAAACTGTTTTAAAGAATTGTATCTCCAAAGTGATGATTAAACAAATCGATCAACCTTTCTAGAGCATCAAATTTTCTGTAATTAGTTTTTGTAAATTGAATATGTCACATAAAATACGCATTGCCTCCTAGAAATCCAAAATGCATAGTTTTTGGCTAATTAATTATCATGGTCTATAATCACTATTCTTGAATTTGTTTTAACAATTTGTTTATGTATGCATTGATAATTCTAAAATATTACATACTCCTTTTTTAGTAAGTTTTTACTAATTTTAAGTTGAAAAGGAGTTTTTTTTTTTCCATTTTAATTTGCAATGGAAAATAGGGTTTAAAAAATATCAAGTCAAAATCTTATTTTAAAGAATTAATTTCCTTCTAGAAATATATGTTTATAATAAAGTGCTATATTTATGTACTTCTACCAAGTAAAGTACCAATCAGCTAGATTGTCAAATTAACCAATTATTAAAAAAAAAAATTTTCTTTGATTTGTAGATGATATTCAGATATTATTCTATGAAGAAGTAAACAATAAAATAATTTGGTGTGCCAATGGAAAATTTGCTCCTCATCATGTTCATCGCAAAGCAGCGATATCTTTTCAAACTCCTCCCTACAGAGATGTAACTGTTCCCCAAGGTGTTGATTGCTTTGTTCAGTTGCGCAGACCTTCAGATGGAGCTGTTGGTAAACCTAGGACATTTTGTTTCATCCCATTAAAACAAGGTACTTTACTGAAAAATTATTTTGATATTTAATGCATTACTTCCCAAGTTAAAATATCATTTAAATAAAGTTTTTGTGAAGTTAATGATTTTAATCCTTTCACAACCAGTTTTTTTTTTTTTAAATTTTTTTTTTACAACAGAGCAATTTTGGTAGCGTAAACTATGAGTAGGGCACACTAGGGTGCTAAAACTAAGATGTCATATTTTTAGGAAGATTTTAAACACTGATTTAAGACCGGGACATATATATATCCCATCAGTCCTGACAACTGGGACATATGTGTCCCAGTAGTCTTTAATGAGTAATTTTGTAAAACAAACCAATGCTCACATAGGACTGTTGGGATAATGTGTTCCCACTATTCAAGACGAGAGGGACACATATGCCCCGCTAATAAAAACAGAAGTAAAACTTTGCCACTTATCAGTTTATTAAAGGTAATCCACTTCGTGAGTAACTTCTCTGGCCTTATATGTATAGATCAATCAAAATTTAATCGAAAATGGGCGGTATTTTTCAAAACTGAACTATTTACGTTCATACAGTATGGAATGAGCTGCTACAACACTTCAAAAACGCAGGAATTGCATTATGTACGGTAGTGCCATCTATGTTCTGTGAATAAAAATACCGTCAAAAATATTGGCAGGACTGGTGGGAAAGTCTCCCATTAGACAGAGAAGCGTTTCTGTCTCAAAAGATTTTTTTTGAAATTTGCTTGGGATGTATGTGTCCCGTTAGGCTCGAAAGGGATAAAATGTTTCCATTTTAAACATAATTCTGTGTCAAAAGAAGTTATTTGGATTGCTTTAAATCTCAAGTCTTACTTAAAATGTACCGTTATTTTAGGCATGAATTAAATTTGTAATAAAGGATTCTTTAGTAAACTGTTGCTGTATTTGTATTTAAAGATTTTTGATCTTTATTAATTTTTGTCTAGATCCTGAAGGTCTGGCTAGGAAGCGTAATAAATTTGAGGCACTAAGGCTTAGTCAAATACTTCAACCAAGTAATTTGCCTTCAAGTAGTAATAATGGTAATGTTATTTTTGTTTTTATTATTTTTCAAAATTTGCTATACTTTAATGAGTACAATTAGGAAAAAGTTATAGTATACTAAGTTGTTATTGAATAACATTGTTTAAAAAATATCATTAAAAAATTACCGAGCAAAGTGCAATCTACTTCCATAAATGCATGTTTTATGATAAAAAAAACCAACATTTGATTAATGTTAATACATGTTTTTATTTAAAAAAAATGTGAAAAATGTTTTAAAGAATAAATGGATTTTAAAAGATAATGGAAAGGATTTTCCAAATTAGAAGAATTGATTTTATTTTAACATTTTAAAAATTACTGAATTGTTTATAAAAGTGTTATTTTAAATTGACATATTATAAAAAAAATTGTATTTTTTAAAATAAATTGCTTTCAATTCTTCTATATTTAAAGAATTTTAGTTTCTACAAAATTAAAATGAAATATTCATAAACTGCATTTGATTTTATTAGATATCAAACTGTTTTGAGTGTTTTATGTAAACATGACATCATTGCAGTTTAAAGTTTATGTAATTTCATTATACCAATCAGTACTAATTGTTATTATTTTTTTATAGCTGAGCCATTAGCTACGCCTAGAGTTATTAAACAAGCTGTTAGATCGAAAATCAGTCCAACTAATGGTTTGTATTTTAATTCATCATTTATATCTTTACTCTTCAAGAGATAATCTTCTATGAGTAAACATGTGTTGCATGATTTCAAAGTACATTTATGACAGTGTTGTTTGTGGTGTAACCAATTCTGTTTTTTCCTCCTATTAAATACTGCATTCAATTTATTCCAATTTGTATTAATGACACATTAACTTCTATCACAAAGGTGTTTATGTTTGATACTTTTATTTGATGATACTGATTGGTGGTAAAAATCAAAATCCAATTCAATTGAATCATACAAAATCTGCCTGTTTCATTCTGCTTTAATTTATATCAAAATAAGTGTTTTAGCTAATTAAACTTATGCTACAAAGCTTTTAATTAGCTTCTTTAGTTTGCAACAATTTTGTCATTAATCATTAAAAGATGGAGTTTTTTAATACAGATGCCACCTAAACATATTTCTTATTACGTTAATTTCTTCAATAATATTTATTGATAGAGAAATTCATTCCATTACCATTTTTAATTTGTTTGTCTTATAAGCAGATTGACTTTTATTAATTTTTTTAATTTTATTTTCCATTGTTTTAAAGCTTTATTAGAATTTTGCAATATTTTTGTAACCCTAATGTTATTAGAAAAATTTATTGAATAGAAAGGGGCACTTCTTAGTTGAGAATAAGAATATAGCTTCTATTCTAATTTTTGATGTTTAATTTTATTTATTTATAAATTTTTTTCATCATTGATTTTTCACTCTGTAGTTTTTAATGCGTGGGTGAATAGTTTTACGCCAAAATTCTAGTTTTAAAGGTTTCATAGGTTTTATTCTTCTTTTTTTAATTCAGTTATACATGTTATGAATATTTTTTGAAATTATTAAGTTCATTCGAATAAAATTCTAGAAGGGAGAATGTTCTTTCGAATGTTTTTTTCTTATGATAATATAATTGAATTTTTCTAGCACTCTAGAGTTTTTTCAGGCTTCTATTTTTGAAGATGGGGAATAGAAGTCTGCAAAAACAACTAATAGTACATCAATCTTATAGAAATTTTCACACTTCTTTTAGATTTTAAAGAAAATTTTACTTTATTTTAAACTTAACTCTGTTTAAAATGTCAATTTTAGTTTTTTTTTTTTTAAATTCTTCATTTAATCATGAATTCTACTTATCTTAGATCAAAAAATATTTGATTTTTGAGCTCTTTTTAAAATCCATTTTCCAGCCTCTGAATTTTAATATGAAAATTTTATTAAATATTCAATTGTTTTTTATATGTCATAAGTTGGAATAAAATAATTTTATTATATATCTGTGTATAATATATCTTATAATATATTTTTGCTACAAACTTTTTTTTAAAAATCTTTTCATCCTTTGTTAATGATGAGCTGTACTTGCCTTTGAACAGAAAATATTTTGTTTTTTAAAGAAAATATTTAGTTCTTTGAACTCCAATTCTCTACAGTTAAACTTCAAAATGTTTATATGAAAATTTTATTTAATATTATTCAAACGTTTTTTATATACATTGACTAGAATAAAACTATTTAATGTATGAAAAATTCAGTGATATTTTTTTTCTTCTGTCCTTAAAATACATTTATCTTCCTAACAGAATTTAGACATATTTTAAAATATAGATATACTATATTAGTACATATTTCGTTATTACATTACTCATGTTATCTTACTACTTATTCTTTATAGGAATGGTGAATAATTTTACCAGCAATATTGTGTCTTCTACTAACTATCAGTTAAACTCAAATCTTTCTGGCAGTGATTTCAAACAGAAAAGAAGTGTTCAAATGCTTAGTCAAGAAAAGTGTCATATATCTGAAAGCAGATCAACTCACAACACTGCTTTACTAGAATCTCGTCAAAAGGTAGATGATATTTTAGCTATTGCAAAAGATCAGGTTGGCATTGGAAACTCACACTTTTATGATTCTCAGAGTGATGATAATCTCGATAAGTTGAGCAGTCTTGACATTGGTATGGATCCATGTGACATGGATGTTAATTTAAGTAATATCACGCTGGATTCTTTTTCTGATGCTTCTAGCCTTAATCTTTCTGCAGCATTGATGGATACAAGGAACTGATACAAATTTCATCTTTTTGGAAGTGTAACCTTATCTTTGCTTACAAATAACTCTACAGGACAGTATTGATTGCTGTTAAAAGTTTTATTTTTCATATTTCACTGCTGTATATAAGATTTTAAGAAATATCATTTGTATAAAATATATCTGTAAAATATTATATGTCATGTTTGCTTCTCTAAATATTTTAATATTGTTTATAAATAAAAATAATTATTTTGTTGTGTTATTGCAATGCTTTGTTAAGAAATGTTTAAAAAAAGAAAATTTGTGACTTGGGACTATTATCGAATCAGTAAAACAAAAATTTCTCTTGTGCTTTGGTACTCAAAATTAAAAAAACATTTAGGTAGATTATCTTCAGTGTTACTTCACTGATTTCAATAAATGTTGGTTCGAACGTATTTTAATAAATTTAAAGAAAAATCAACAGTTATATATTGTAATACTTATTACAGTCAGAAGGTAGGAAACCGTAGCTTTTCACGGTGAGAATGGTCAGACTGTGAGAGATTTTCATGTTTTCTTCCTCCGTGTAATGCAAATGTGGGATAGTTCCGTCAAAAAGTCTTCCACAAAGGCTAGTTTGTCCCTATGTTTGTTACACTACTTGAGTTCTGTTGTCTTCTGGGTTGAATTGTAATTAACGTGACTGCAAAATAGTTGTAAACCTATAATTGGATTGGCTGTTCAATACTGGGTGCAAAATAAAGCTAAGTGCAGGATCATGCATTTGTATTATAACAGTTTGGTGATTATTATTTTATTTATTTATTTTGTATTAGATCAACTTGTGTTCAAACCAAATTGCGATAAAATTTGCTCAGTAGTTCTGAAGCTAATTAAAAAGTTTAAGAAAATGTCTCTGTTATGAAGGTCCAAGAAGTCTGTTACGCAAGAGTTCTAAAATTTCCCTTTTAAAACTGTACTATTTTACTGAGGATGTGATTATCACATGATTTAAATGGAAGAATAAATATGTTTCAAAATGACTGATGAAAATGGTAAAAACAATTTTTTCCAAAAAATAGGTATAGCTAGCTTTAATGATTTTTTTTTTTTTTTTGACATCTGCTTAAATATTTCTAATACAAAATTTCAATTTACCTCCTAGTTACACTCTGTTATTTTTATAATTAATTATCAATTAAATATTTGTAATAAACTTTATGTCGAAGTTTTAAAAAATAAAAGCAAAATTTTTACATAGCATATAAAGACTTTTACTAGAAAGATACATAAGAAGTGGTTAAAAATGAATGAATTTTTTTTTAACATTCAATCGCTTTTTCCTTTGTTGAATTCAGTTTTTTTCTAAAAATGATTCTATTTCAGATACTTCTACATCAATCGGTCATGCGCTTTTTAATTTGTTCCAGTTTATTTTCTAAACATTCAGCTTCTAACATATATGCTTGTTTTTTCAGATCATCCATCGATTTGAGAACTTGTTCTTCCATTTGCTTTGATGGTCTGAAAAAAAATTTCATTTGTGTTAATAAACTAATTTGTCATGCTTTATATTTAATATTGAGATCTACCGATTGCATGCAACTGCATATTAAAAAAAGGTGTTTAGAAGGTTTAATTACATAAATTCTGAAAAAAAAACGCCCTGTGTTCTTCCATTTATTTTCTTAGTAACATCTTTTGATTTTATTACTTTTGTGTAATTTAACTTTGGCATCTATATTATCTTTGATATTTAACTCTATATTAGTATATAATAGGATAATTGATAAATTAGTTGTTATTACTATTATTTATATTAAAATTTTATGATTAGTTTTTATTTATTTTTGTTAAGCAAATACAGTCAAGGATAAAAGTACATTATTAAAATTTGCTGAGACACTGAACTGCCTTTGTGAGGAATGCAGTTCTATTCATGATGGCTGCTTCAAGCCCACTCAGCATTAATTACATGAAGACAGGTAACAATGACATCTTAAATCCTGCAGTTTTAATTGATACTGTGTAAGTTATGTTTATTCATCGAGGTCATTTGTCTAAATTCAAGGTTTATTATTATAAATGCAACTTTATTTTTGACATTTTCAACATTTGATCTGTTTCAGAACTTTAGCTCTGGTTTGCATTCCTACTTAGAAATTGATGACGTGATAATATTTTTAATTATTATTTATATTATTAGCCAATTTACTTTATTTTTATTTTATGGATGTTTTGTTTCATTTATTAAGTTATAAGTTAAAACATGGGGTAGTATATTCATTTAATTTTATTTGATTATTTAACAAAATACATTTGTTACTTTTTCAGCTGTGCACTTATGACCATTTTTATTGCATGTAAATTTTATCTATTCTAGGATTTTTTTAAAAAAAATATATGTAGAAACTTTAAAATGTGGAGTTCACAAAAATTTTTTGGCACAGTTTAAGTTTTGCAGTTTAATTTTTTTAAAATAATATATAGCATGCAGTTTTAGTTTTGACATATTTGAGAATAGTATATGTGTAGGTACCAAACTTATAACATTATAATTTTAGATGAATAATCTAAGAATCATTCAATAATTTAACAAAAATTAAATTTTCTAACACTTTTTAAATTTTTAAGGTCTACAAAGAAGAGATTTTTTTTTTTTTTGGTAGACTTATAGTGGGTTTGAAATCTTTATTGAATTTACCTGCAGTGTCCAGTTAACCCAAACTCACTCACCGCTTCGAGGTTCCACATAGTCACCTACCAGCACAAATTCACCTTTTTGAAGTTTAATGATTAACAAAAGCCAAGTTGACTGTGTTGTACTTTACACATGGAGGTAATTTGTGAAACACATTTGTTATTTAGCATAACTGCTAGTTAGGCTAATTACTCCCTCTCCCAATGTCCCCGATAGTAAAAAAATTTCGGAATAAAGATTTTATAGTTTTTATTTGTCTCTTAAAAATCATGGTCTAAATTTGGGGCTTCTATATAGGTTAAAATGTCATTTAACATTTCTAATTACCCTTATTCATGCCAATGATTACAACAGATCGAAATTCAACCTTTTTTTTTTTTTTTTTTTTAATGTGATAAAAAAAAAAGATCCAGATTCGAGACTTCTATCTTGATAAATACGCTAATTAGCATAAATGCCAATAAGCCAAATTACTCGATAAACCCCCGACAATTACTTATACCGGAATGATTCTTTTTTAGTTTTTCTATAAACCTCTCAAAAAATACATGGTTTAAATTTGAGACTTCCATCTTGGTAAAAATGCGTTAAGTAGCATTACTTTCAATTTAAGGCTAATTGCTCGGGTAGTTACATAATATCGAAATGAAACATTTTAGTTTCCCCCTTTATCTGATGGTCGAAATTTGAGATTTCTATTGTGCTTTTTTAGCATTACTGTTAATTAGGCAAATTACCCCGATCAGTGGACGGCAGTAGCCCACTACAAGTAAAGAAACTACTGTAGTCGCTACTTTTTTTCATAGTTTGTAGTGTAGTGTACTACTTTTAAAAAAAATAGTGTAGTGCGATACAAAAAACAGTAGTTTGTAGAGATTCCTGGCAACTATTTTTAGAGTTAATTTAGTAAAGCACGGCTCTAACGTAATTAATTTTTCGAATTTGATTGGTATAAATTTTCGTATGTCCGTCCATAAAAATGACCATGTAGCTACAGCTGAGCGTTCACAGGAATCACGTATAACTAATATTTAAACTAACCATTCCGAGAAATAGATAATTTATCACTTTGATCGCCACACTTTTACAATGTTATTTCAAATGAATTAAACATATTTTCGATGTACTTAATTTCTTAGAGGAAAAAGAGCATTAAAAAATAAGTATTTGATAATTTCGTTTTTCTTAAATTTAATATTCCCTATCGAGAATTGCATGGAAAGTTGAAGGTTAAGTGAATAAATTCGAAGAAAATGTTTTGGAATAAACTGGCTCTTGTAAACATGAATAAATATTTCTTAGTAATTCCCTTACATTTAATGTAAGTTTGTTTTCTTAAAGTAGCGAAGTAGTTACTACAATTCCAAAGTAGTGTCGTGAACTACGAAAATGTTGTTTTTCCGACCACTGACCCCGATAATTGAAATAAAATAATGGAAACGTTTTTAGTTTCTCCCTTTAATATCTATTCCGGGGTGCACGTGGTCAAAATGTGAGACTTCTATCTCTGCGGCGAATTTTTATTTAGCATATCTTTTCAATTGGAATAATTACAAAATATAGAAATGAAACTTTTTAGTTTTTCTTTATGCCTGATAAGCACGTAGTTCGAATTTGAAACTGTTATCTAAGTAACAGTAAGTTATTTATCTTTACTGTCTATTAGAATACCCTGAAAGTTACGAAATATCGGAATAAAACTTTTTATTTTTATCACATACAGATGCACCATTATCGATCAAATCATTATGCTCCAAATTTTGGCTTCATTGAAAATGGGAGTATTTATGATGAGTGAGTGGGCGAGGGAATTGCCTTTTATTTGTACAACTAATTACTTATAACATGTTGCTTAATAATTTGAAATATTTATCAAATGGCTTTGTAATTAATTTTTTATTGTTGTTAATTTACGTCGCACTAGAGCTGCACAATGGGCTATTGGCGACGGTCTGGGAAACATCCCGGAGGATGATCCGAAGACATGCCATCACAATTTTGATCCACTGCGGAGGGGATGACACCTCCGCTTCGGTAGCCCGACGACAGTTTAACGAGGACCAATACCGCACACCCTCGGTCCCTACGCAGACTGATCCAAGTGGTCACCCACCCGCACACTGACCGCAGCCAGTGATGCTTGACTTCGGTGATCTGCTGGGAACCGTGTCTTAACGATCAGTCCACTGCGGGACAATTAATTTTTAATTACAATTATTTTAAATTAATTTTAAATAATTGTAATTAACAATTATTTTAAATTAATTTTTTAAGATGCAGGATATGATTTCATTTACGTCTCAATGATGATTCAAAAATAAGATGCAATGTGTATAAAACATTCCTTTATGTGGAGGAGATAACAGATAAAATTGAGAATTTCATGGGTAAGGGGAGTGATTATCATCCTGGTATAACAACCAGTAATTCTGGAGATAAATAAAGAATAATTTAATTTTAAAACATTTACTATGTAATAACATTAATTAAAATATTAAATTTAATGTGCTTAATTTGTATAAATAGTTTCCACAAAGCATTTTGCTCTTCATATTTCAAAACAGAATTTTTTTAAACTATGGTTTGATATCCAAATTGTTTTCATGAAAGTCTTTACTGTAATATATTTTCTATAATTTCTCTCTTTAGCATGTCTGTCTATATATTTAGCTTTATTCATTCATTTGCTGAGTTAATACCTTCTGGTGTGCACACTACCTGAAATTTTTAATTTAGTAAAAATTGACATATCATTTGCTATTATATATTTTTTTCTATTTATTTGTCCTTTTTTTATCCATATTTATTGATTAATCCCTGTGGATGCTCAACTAATTTTGAGAATTTAAACATTTTCTACAAAGCGGATTTATGCATCCAGTTTATGATAAATTCTTAGATTATATTGTTTATTATAAAATCTTGAAGGGTCCAGTTGTGGGCAGTAAATAAAAATTTGACAACCACTTCTCTAGAATGTTTTGACCCCATATATTATATTAAAATTGACTACATCATTGTTTAGTTTCATCGGGGTGCAAGCATATGCGTCGTTTGCATGGGGACGATGGGTTTGTGTCCCCTTCTATAATTCGAAATCCTTTAAAGTTCCCCTCCATATTTCAGACAAATAAAGAAATTTTCGTGAATCATCATCCATTGATATTTAAAAATAAGAGAGAGATAAAAATAATTAGGAAATCATTTTGCAGATATTTCGCAGAGTTAGAATTTTTTTCTTCTTATGTGTGAAATCTAGAGAACTATTTTGGCTGTAAATATTAATTTTGACGCACATGGTTGCTGGTTAATCGTAAAATTAGTAAAATAATAATAATCAAAAAAATTTTTTTTTTGCTATTTTAATAATGAATATGACTTTAATGACTCGATATTTTAATTTCAAACCAAAGTTTATGCAATATAAATTTTAAATATGATATTATTTTATTAAATAAAATAAAAGTTTCCACTTACAAAAAACCTTCACTCCAACCGCTGAACAAGTCTTTCATCTCTGAACCCAATTCTAAAAGGAAGTAATCTATTAAACAAGGTAGGATTTCTTGATGCTAGAGTTTCAGTATCTTTAGTTAGTACATATTTTTGTAATGGTTTACGGTTTCGTAACTTAGAAGAAAAAATATTTCTGTTAAAAAGGCATTTTGTGGGCGATCCCACAAGTAATTAATTCACAATAATAAGTATTTAATTATACTTCAAATAAATCATTAAATCATATGTAACTAATTTATAAGCAAAGCTTAGGCTAAAAACTTAAGCTTAGAAATGTATTGAACAAAGCAATAAGATACGTAAAGCCATTTAATTTTAAATAAAATGACAATCGACTATTATAACAAAAAAATTAGGAAGATAATTGTTATTGGTGAATTCTTTTCTTAAGAGAATTTTAAAATTAGTTGGCCTAGAAATCAATGTAACGATCATTCGAAAGTATCGAAACTTCGAAAGTAAATCTCTCCTGCCAAGTTGCTGACTTCAAAGTAATCATTGAGGTCAAGTCTTCGAAATTCACCGTCTTGGCAAAGCGTGCAACAATGCGCACCGGCTGCCTTTATTTCCCACATAAACTGGTATCCATCCGTCTAAAGCTTGATGCTCCTGAGATAGAATGCCGATCCCATACAATGATAGCTCAGTGCATTAATCACTGTGCCATTGTAATTTATGTTTCTAAAACGTAAAAAAGAAGAAAATCGTTTTGGTTAAAAATCTCTATGTATTTTTATTCATTAAAATTTTAAATTAAAATATTTTCGAAATAATTATAATTGGTTGCTTGTCTGAACTTCAGTGGTTGCCTTAAATTGAGTAGTTAAAAGATAAGAATCTTAATATGTACTTGATTATTTTTTATCTATAAAATAGAGATTTCCTCATTTGTGCGCTGATTTTATCTTGCTGTTTTATTTTAGATGAGTGAATAAATAGGAAAAATATTCCGTGACCACTGATTTTTGGGAAAATTTCAAGCATGTATGATTAATGGCTAAGTTTCGTTTTATGTTTTTTTGAAAGAAAGGGAAAGGAAGGAAAGTTCTTTCGCATGAATGACTAAAGCTTAAATCAGTTCGTACTTTTTGGGATATCAAAATTCTTCAGTTTGCAGTAAATAATAATTTTTTTTTTTGTAAATATTTTACAATCATTTTTTTCATAAAACAATTTGAGAATATTTTATTTTAATCATTGAGAATTAGTGAAAGGATCAGTTCTCATTTTTAAATTAAGATAAGTGACAAAAAAAAAGGCTTACATGTATTAAATGAATGAATCCGAAACAAAACAATTTTGGTAGTCTTGAAAAGAAACATTTATTCAATTTATTCATGTGTTTGCTGCGTCTACTAACTCCGAGTTGTATCAAAGATTGCGAAATGACACTTAAAAAATTTTTGAACTGTCATCTCCATCTAATTCTTTAATGTTTTACCATTTAAGCCTCACAGTGGACTGATCGTTAAGAAACAATTCCTTACAACAACATCACTGCTGTCAGTCAGTGGGTGATTGACAACTTTGATCAACCTACGAAAGGACTGAGGGTGAGGGGTATAAATCTTCTGTAAACTGTTCTTTCGTAAAGTGCTCGACTTCACGCGCAGGTCGTTCGTCGTTGGGCTACCGAAGCTGGGGCTCCATCCCCTCTGCAGAGGATCAAAATTGTGATGGCATGTCTGCGGATCATCCTCAGGGATGTTTCCCATACCGTCGCCAATAGCCCATTGTGCAGCTCTAGTGAGACTTAAATTAACTACAACAACAACAGATCGATTCCAATAGTCCATTGTGCAGCTCTAGTGCGACGTAAACGAAGTACTACTTCTTGCCGTTTAAATTTATCAATTCTGCCCAATTGTGAAGTAATTATTCAGTTGATTAAACTTTCATAGTGTTGATTTTGTAAAACTGAGCGACTAAGGACGTACCGTCATTCGAGGTTTAATAAGCCACTTCTCAATTTAAGACATCTGGATCTGGCAGTTAGAGGTTATTTGATGTAAACCTTTTAGCCTATAGTTACTCTATGTTAATATGCATGAAAGTTTTTTGTAACATACATGTTAAAGATTAAAAAAGGGAAAAAGAAAAAATCTTAAATAAATACGGATGATAGAAGTGGGCATGTAATTATTTTAGACGGACATAAGTGATTGTTTAATATAATTAATAAGTAATTACTAAATAGAACTTGCTACTTGCACAGTGTTGCTCTAGTTAAGCGACAAGACATGGTAGATTGGACGAAGATTTGTTTATTGCTACAAACACATAGCCTTGATTGCGTGCTCATTACAATGCTCAGTATAATCCCTTTTCAAGTTGAAAAGCTGCACAAGTTAGAGAAGGATATTATGTAGTAGATACAACCAGGGTTTGCGGCCGAGTTCGAACCCGCTCCCTAGAACGGAGAAGAGTGCAAAATCTCTCATACGCACGTTAATGGTCTATATCACCTTCCTGAGCCACTAGATTATATTAAATATTGATTAAAGAATTAAATCCAAAAAGTCATACTTTGAATCATCTCACATGGTTCTAAGCTTTCAACAATTCCACCTACATCTGATGGGGAGTCTGCTGCTTAAAAATAAAACATTAAAATTAGATTCGTATAAAACTTCTAATAAGTGATGAAATAAATGTTTTGAAAGGTATATTGTAGAATTTTCAGTAATTTTACCGAATTATTTTTGTAAAATATATCACTTTGTTCAAAAGTCCTACCCTCATTCATACTATTTAGGGAAGATTATACCAGAGCTTAATTTGATTGTAACTTTACTGATTGAGTTCAGCCTTTGTTATCCTAGGAGTTTTTTAAGGCAAATTTTGCATTTTTTTAAGAGCATTATTATGTCAAAATTAGTTTTTAAAATGTACACTGTTTTGAAAATATTGGAGTAAAATTTTTATAACTCTTTCCTCAAATGGCTTAGTAGCATTAAATAAACAATCCAAAGAAACTGAAGCGGTAAGATATTACTAGATATATATAAAGATTTTTACTCACAAAAAGTTTTGTGAGTAAAAACGGTCTGCCAATAGCGTGCTGATTTTCGAACTCTCCTCAGGTAAAGTGATAAGTCCTTATCCCCTATATTTGTTCCTGATCCCTGATGGCTCAGGAGATAGAGCTTTCGCCTTCCACTGAGGTGAACCGGGTTCGAATCCCAGCGATGGCGGTCCATACGATTTCTGCATTTGGCTTGCACCGACCATAGTGCCGACGTAAAATATCCTCAGTGGTAGACTGATCATGAGTTAGTGTTCCCTTGCTGTCATTCTAACCGTGTGAGGTTTTCGTGGTTTTCCTCTCCATTTAACGCAAATGCTGGTTAGTTCCATCAAAAAGTCCTTCACGAAGGGCAAATTTCTCCTAATATTTGATGCAGGACAAGTCTACATAGTTGGACATTAGTAGTCGTAAACCCAAGAATTGAATCGGCTGTTCAACGACGGTTATAAAATAAAATATGTTAGTCCCTGAGTCATGGTGGCTCAGGGGATAGAGCATTCGCCTTCCAATGAGGTGAAACGGGTTCGAGACTGGTCGATACGAATTCCGAACCCGTCTCTCAGGGACCACAGTGCTGACTTAAAAATCAGTGGGTGATCGGTTAACGAACATAATCCGTTCCAAGACTATGTTCGCTATCCGAATTGTTCGTTAACCGATCATCGATTCACCATAGACTTCTTTGTGAAATCGATTAATTCGTTCTGGAGACCCTAAAAATTCAATTTAAAAAAATGTATAATTTCTTATTAAGTTTTTTAAAAAATAATACATACATATAGTCTTGCATATTAATCAGTCCTTTTCATTTTTTGCTTATGGGGCGTTGAAGAACATGCCCAATGCCGATTGCTTTTCTCTCTTTGTCAGGATTTTCCGGAAGTAATTAATAGCATTGTCGTTGTAAGAATCCCCAACCCTACTGACATCAGCTTAGTTTGGGTGCCATTCTAAGACCATTGCTCTGACATCCTCCCACTTTTTCAAAAGATCTTTAACGGCAGATGTCGGCATTGGTATCCTCTTTCGTTTCCCTTTTGTTCAGAAGGAGACACATTTCGCTGTGCTTCTTGGTGTTCTTCATTCAAAATTTCTTGGAGCTCTTCTGTCGTCAGTTAATCTACATGTCCCATTATGAGCTCTTCTATGTCATCCTCGTTCACCTCCAATTCCAGATCTCTAGCAGTTGTCAAAATTTCATCCATAATTTCAGGGGTGTCTCCCTGATCACATCCGTCACCTTGAACGAAGGGTGGACACAGCTTCCGCCAAGCAGAAATCAACTATCGCTGTGTGACTTCTGACCACGCCTTTTGAATGATACGAATAGCTTCAAATTTTTCTTTTCAAAACTTTTTTGAAGTCATTGTTGAGGGGAATTGGCTTGCTTCAAAACAGCGCGCGAGTGTACAATTTCTTGTAAGCCGCAGTAACTTCCTGATCCATCGGCTGAATCAGCGAAGTCGTATTCAGAGGTAAAAACTGAATTGTCAGCCAGGGAATGTCTGTCAGCAAATTATCTTCAAGATCCTTTGGATATCCTGGTGCATTGTCCAATAGCAGCAGTGCTTTCAACGGCAAGTCATTGGTATCAAGTTCTTGATGCTCGGGGCACAAACTTCAAATAGCCATTCTTTGAAAAGATACTGCGTGACCCATGCCCTCTGATTCGATCTCCACATTACTGGCAGTTTGTTCTTAATTATGGAATTTTTTTTGAATGCTCTGGGATTCTCAGAGTGGTAAACGAGAAGTGTTTTAAGCTTTATAATTATAGTTATTGAATGACCTTTAAATTTAAATTCATTGTTAATTCAAGTTTCATTTAGTAATTATCAATACTAAGCATGCTTTATACATTTCTCCTTTCAGTGATCTTATTTTGTATGCAAAATGATAACAAACGTTTAATAGTACTTTTTTTCAGGCCGAGAAGTGTTCGTTAGAATTCGTTTTGTTCATTATCCGAATATGTGTTCGTTGTCCGAACACATAAAATCTTTCTTTAAAGTGTTCGTTATCCGAATATGTGTTCGTTAACGGAACACAAAAATCTTTCGTGAAAGTGTTCGTTAACCGATTTGTTGGTTAACCGATCTGTTCGTAAACCGATCACCCACTTATCCTCATGGGTTAGAGTCCCTTTGCCGTCTGACTGACCATGGGATGTTTTCGTGGTTTTTCCCTCCATGTAACGCAATTGCGGTTAGTTCCATCTAAAATCCTCCGCGAAGGCAAATTTCCCCCTATACTTGATTCAGAAGTTCCCTTTTTTTCTGGATTAGGTTCAAAATTGCAAGGCATTGGAGTTGAACATTGATAGTTATAATCTCAGAAGTGGGTCAGCTCATCAACCTGGTACCGATCCGCGGCTCAGGGGGTTGGAGAGAACTGTCTAAGTTAGTGTTAAGAGAGTCTTTTTTCCACCCCTTTTAACATATTATTTCATACAATTTTTGGGTATAAAATCGTTCTTAATCTATGGGACGAAAATTGAAATTTATGCGCTTTTATAATTTATTTATTTTACTTTCAGTGAAAATACTGAATTACATAAATTTAAAAAATAATGTTTCATTGAGGTAACTGAGGTAATAAAATCTTAAACCCTCTTGCAAGTGTCAGATCTCTTGCAAGTGTCCTCTTGCAGTACTCAGATTTGAAAATTAAAATTTAAGGATAGAATTTTTTATCGTTTTATAATCGTAATACTGTTTTTTGTTGAGCAGAGTTTGTACCGCATATAGAAGTGCATGGGTTGTAAAATATACTCAGAAAAAAGTATTTGATGAACTTACTCCTGTCATAATTGCCATCGTAAGAGTCCAGACTTCCTACGGTTCTCGAATCACCCGATGCATTTGGATCTGTAATGAAATGAATAAAATTAAAATGATATATAACTAAAATTCTTATAAAACTATCTAATTTATAAATCTTTGGTGCATAAATTGAGTACTACAAATTATCGCATAATTTACAATTGTCCGCATAATCTCAGAGCATCCACATAATTTTAGAATTAATATTTATCTTTTAAAACACTTATACAAAAGCTTATAAATATTACTTTGTAGTTTTTCTCAGCAATAATAATAATGAAAATAATTTTAAAAATTGCGCAAAAATTAAAAGAAAAAGCAAAATATTTTCTTAGAATTGTTGCTTTTGAAATATTTAATAATAATAATAAATTGTTAATAAATACTTATTATGATTAAATATTAAATTAGCCAGTTTCTAACTTCTTACCATTTGTTAAACATAATTCCTTAGCTCTATTTTCTTCGTTCTCCATGGATGAGGTGAAAACCTGTTAAAAAAAATTAAAAATTAATAACTTTTATTAACTTCGAATCTTACCAGGAGCATCCAGGCACGGTTGTCATAGTTGCGGCGTAAAGGTAACTCGGTCACAACTCAAAAAATATTTCGCTGGAACTCTCTGGTCCCACATGTCAAGAGTTAACTCACTATATCTCAAGATAACGAAAAAATTGTTTTGAAGTTATACTTCTTATGCGACTTCCAACAAGGTTGCGTTAAACGTTTAATGCTACATTTTTATTGGCCGGGAAATCACGTGGTAGGATCCACTTTTCCCTCATTCATTTCCATATTGTTTTGGTTCTCACTAGCATGAAAACAATAAAAGTATTGTTTTTCTATAAATAATTTTTTAGTTTGATTTGATACACATATAATTTAATAGGGTAGTATTTTTTATTTTCAAATTTAGTGGATAACAATTGTAAAAAATGAGTGAAAACAATCCCACGGACAATGCGACGGATTTAAGGTTATGTCAAGGTACGTCTCTTGTGAATATCAATTGATTGTTAGGTTTTCTCTTCTGAAATTACATTATGACGCATTCACATACATTATTAATACAAATACATTTTCCATGGCGAGACGATGAGGCAACCACAAGCACTTCCACTGGTTCAAGAGGGAAAAATGCACAATATTACCGTTATTACAGAGCACGGAAGCGAGCGGAGCAGGAAAAAGAGTCGTTGAATAGAACTAGTGATCCTTCTACGACTGCTGATTCTTCTACTATTAACGTCGCAGGTTAAGAAAGTTTAACTTCTTCCGCGCTGAGAGACTCCATGCACTATTTTTTTTTTTTCTTCCTTTTTTTGCTGCGATTTTTGTTTGCTTTGTAATAAATTATTTTCTCGTAATTTTATCCTACATTTTTAACAGTGTTGGCATAAAACAATTTTTCTCCACGAAAGTTGAAACTATTCATTTATTTACTAAAAAGAATTATGTTAGCTTACGCTAAACATTTTTCTTCGGATTTTATAAAAATCTTTTAGTGAACTTAAATAATCAGGAATAGGGGGCTAAGCCAAAAATTTCTTCTCCTCTCACCAACCCCAATAATTGCTTCGCAATAATTATCTTTTTACTCTAAGTAATTTCGGATAAAATTTCAGAGAAATGTATAGGCACCCTGAGTGCAGTGACCGTAAAATCTATTTTTCCGTAAAAATTTATACCTTAGTTTTTAGAGTAATATATATTTAATTACAGTTATTCAATGATTTTACAGTAAATCTTACTGCATATAAAAATTATACTATATTGGATTTTTTTCTCGTTCGTGCAGAACATAAAGTACTATAATTAGTAACCACACTAATTAATTAGCATATGTGAGGCATAGGTTCCTTTGTTCGTAATAATCGTCTACTTTAGTTTATAATTAATTTGGTTACAGAATTAGAATAAAAACCTTTCTGCCAGCTTCTAATGGGGGAGAATTTTTAAGCAAATCGAAAATTTTTGCTCGTAATTTTAAATTTATTTTACCCAAAGATAATTCCATACAAGCAATTATTTTTTTAAAAAAATGCTTCTTTATTATCTTCTGTTATAATATGCTAGGAGATATGAGACGCACTAGGAGATATAAGCTATATGCTAGGAGAGATTATGCAGTGTTCAGAGCTGTCAGAACAGAGGCTGACAGAAAATTGCAACTGATTTTGGGTCCCCAATCAATTTCAGTATAAATGGGTTATTCCATTTATCTAAATTTTTCCTTTAATTTAAATTCTTTTGTGTTTCTGTTTCTTTAATAATTAAGTTGAAATATTCACTGCGAATATTACATTTTCTCGCGAAAACATAATTATAATTTCATTTAAGTGCAATTGTTATTTCAAACAATTTAATTATAATCATTATAAATAATTATCTCTGAGCCGCGATGGCTCAGGGGATAGAGCGTTCGCCTTCCAATGAGGTGAACCGGGTTCGAATCCCGGCAATGGCTTTTCGATATTAATTCCACATCCGGCTTGCACCGACCATAGTCCTTCCTCAGTGGTAGACAGATCATGGGTTAGAGTCCCCTAGCCGTCAGGTTAACCGTGGGAGGTTTTCGCGGTCTTCCTCTGCATGTAACGCAAATGCGGTTAGTTCCATCGAAAAGTCTTCCACGAAAGCAAATTTCTCCCAGTACTTCATCCAGGAATTCCCTTGTCTTCTGCATTGGGTTCAAAATTACAGGGCTACGGAGTTGAACATTAGTAGTCGTAAACCCAAAAAATTGGATTAGCTGTTCAACGACGGATAAGATAAAAGTTAATTATCTCTCTAACACATGTCTTCTAACTCGTTTGATTTGATCACAGTTTAAAATTAAAGCTTAACAACAAAATAATGATGACATTGCATAAAAAACTAATCAAGTCAACAATGCTTGATAATTGCCCACTACTTAATTTTTTACTCCAAGTTTAACAGTTAACATTTCTTGAGCTAATTCTCGAATGGTACGTTTTTATTTAATTATAATATCTTCGTTCTCCCTGCACATTTTTCTATTGAAAATTGTAATTTCAAGTTCCTAATAATTCTAATAATAGTTCATAATTCTTAGCAGCAAAACAAAAGGTTACATGAAATTGAACACTTAAAATAGCGGCAGTATCACTAACGATTTTTAATATTGAGTGATTTCTAACTCTGTAAAATTAAATGACGAAGTATAAGAATGAAACTAACTCTCTCAAACAGTTCCCGAGAAAAGTCAATTTAAGAATGTGATCTTTTCTGAAAACTGATACTCTATTTGATCAAATTTTTAATGTTTAAATTTTGTATTTTGTCATTTGAAATTACATAATTTAAAGTTAATTAAAAAAAACTGTATATCTTACAGTTCGAAAATTTTCAATCACAATTTAATAAAGTAATAAAGTTTTCGTTTTGCTGCTAGAAAACCCATTTAACAGTTAGGTCCTAACTTTTTTGGAGTGCTTTATTGTAATGTCACTAATCTTCATTTAATAGTTATCTTAGAAAAAATCTTTTATTGCAATAAAAACTAACACTTAAGATAAAGCAAAAGTAGAATAATTGTATTTTGATTCTTGTATTAAGGGCTGTTATCGAAAAGAATTTTAATTGAATACAGAATTTTAAATATTTATAGTGAAAGCGAAATAAGTTAAAAATTTTTATTTCTGTGAGTTAAATTATGTTATAACAAAATATTCAGGTGCAATTTTGATAAAAATTGATTATGGTGAAACCAATAGGATGCAATTTAAATAAATTTAGATTAATTATCGTTCTTCACTTTTAGTTAAAATCCTTACCTTTAATATGGAGTAATTTGCTGAATGAAAAAGGTTTCTTTTATTTCCATTTGTATTATTTTGTTTTCAAAACAATACTTTACTATTTAGTTTTTTAGTAAATTAAAGTTTGATTTTTTAAAGAACTATTCAAAGCAGACGATAATAAAATGACCTTTTATAATTCTCTTTTTAATTGACGATAAAAATAGGTTATAGGTGGCGCTTAGTCAGAACTCTTTTATTTATGACAATACTTTGCATGCTCTCAAAATTAGCTTCTGGGCACTCATTAGAGGAAGTACGTTAGATTATGTCTTGATTTTCTACATTAAAAACTTTAAAGTTAAGAAACTACAAAGAACTCAACTGTGCATTAAACATAATTCTTAAAAAAAGCGTCGTTCAAATTTTAGAAAATATTTTTGACAATTAAACGCGAAAAATGTTATAGAAGTGGAAATATTACACTTCTATGTAGCTGAGAGGAGGAGGAGGGGTAAAGGGAAAAAAAAAAGACATGGAACTCGTCTTCTCTCCAGATGGAGAATTTAAACATTTGTGATCGCGAATAAAAGTAATTCTCTTTCTCATCTTTTTTTGGCAGCACGAAAATGGTATAGAATCAAAAGAGATAAAAATTACTTGTTAGTTAACTAGTTTTGAGAAATTAGGCACTTTCAACTCAAGAAAAAGAAGACCAAGGAAATCATATAATTCTGCATAGAGTTAATACGACATGTAGTTAATACGCTGGGAGTTAATACGCCGGGAGTTAATACGCTATGTTAGTAAGATCGCGGGAATGCAAAATTTCTGTGGTCTTACCAACCATGTGATTTCTACTGTTAAAGATACTTGATTATCACGCTGATTGACTAGTTGATTTATTATCACGCTGATTGAATTTTCGGATAAGATTTAATTGGATACCTGCAAGCAACCTAAGGTGTGTGTGTGTTGAACCTGTGTCATAACTATCACTATAAATATTAAATGCCAATTCGCTAGTATGTAAAACAAGTTAACTTTATTTCAAGTTCCTTTTGATACACGAAAGTTGACATAGTCTAAAATTAAATTCCCTTCATTGGTGACCCGGACGTGATATGAGCTCGTCAACAGCGATAGATGTTCCACATTAAACAGTTGATTTGTTTAAAATTATACTGCTCAAAAGAAAAGAAAAAAAAATACGGTGAAGCAAACAGTCTCCCGGTCAATAAACAATATTGAAGAAGAAAAAAAAATAATGAGCGAGATGCTATAAAAAATTAAGGAAAAATATAATGAGCAAAAATGACATAAATAATTAAACAGCATAAATCCATTAGTGGTATTCGTTCATCGAATGCTATCACAGAAATAATTCTGGTAAGAGAGTAATGTCCCGCTTGATTTCCCGCGCAGGTCGTCGGGCTACCAAAGCAGGGGTGCCATCCCGTTTGCAGAGGATCAGAATTGTGATGGCATGTCTTTGATCATTTTCGGGGGTGTTTCCCAGACAGTCGCCAATAGCCCATTGTGCAGCTCTAGTGCGACGTAAATGAACCACAACTACAACAACGAAGTTTGTCATAGGGGCTTTCAGATTGGTCTGATGCTCTAACCACTAGGATGTTACTATGCTTTTCTTTTTGGTTTTAGTGCTTGAATAATTGCCTAATAGTTAAATAATAATTGAAACATCTAATTTTACCCGCAGATTCCATTCTGAGCCTATATGAAGGATTTCGATTGATGCGTTAAACTAATTTAAGCTGTAAGTGTAAGCGATAAGCTGGTTGTATAATAAAATTAGTTGTAACTAACTGTAACTGTCCACCAAGCAAAAACAAAACAAAATTTAGTAATTTATTTTTATTTCATCTTTCATAATTGAGGAAACATGAATCGATTTTATCTTTTTCGATTTAATTCTTTATGACAGTTGTTTGCAGTTTTTAAAGTGATACTAGAAAAATTACATTTTGTAGTATAATCATGGCAAAGTCTAGTGTTCGAGAAAAGCTGGAAGAGTATTTCTCTTCTATGACTCCAACATCAAGCCGATTCATGGCAGATATTAAAAATTTGAAACAAGGATTTAATTGTAATTGGGAGGAATTAAATCATGAGCAGCAAAATGATATGCTATGGAACGCAATTGTAAAACCTGAAGCCATTAAAATGTATCAAGATATACCAGAAAATTCCTTAAACGTAGAGTATTTTCCGGTGCTTCGGATACGTCCTGGTGCAAAAATTATAGTTGAAGACGATAACGTTTCTACGAAATCTTTTGTGAGTTTATTTCCGAAGAAGAAATTTATTTAGTTTCTATATTTAAGTGGTAGCAAATTTATGTGTCATAGTTTTAGTTGGTATTTACAAGTTATTCAACTTAGTAATAATTTGCATTTTATGAAGTCAAAAAATTGAATGAAATTTATACTCAATGAATCAGAAAATATTATTTTTATTTATTAATATTTTTAATGAAAATGTTACCAAAAATATTTTATAATTGAATTATTTCTGTAATATAAGGGAATAATAATATTTTTATTAGTTTTTGACAATGGCTTTATAATTCTCTGTCTATTAAAGCCTTTAAATTTATTGTTGATGTGTGTTTTAAAATATTTTGTATATTTTTGAATTTCAGGGAACATTTATTATGAAAATATTACTTGCCTTTTTTTTTATTTGGTCTAAATCACTAACCTTTTCATTTATTATTTATTATATTTGATGTTATAAATATGGAACTCAATAAATTAGTTTCACGATACCTGGTGGAGACTTGTATTTTTAATTGTAGGTTATCAGTTAATTCTTAATTTTAAAAGAAAAAGAGTATTATTCTTTTTCTCTATATCTATATACATAGAATAAATGATGAAAATTCATGCAATATGTATGTTAAATCTTTTAGTAAACAAATGTAATAATGACAAATGTTTTTTGAAAAGAAAAATCCCTGAATTATTATTTAAAATTTATTTATTTATAATAACAAGGATCTTTGCTGTTGTGATTTGAATCACATAAATTTTCAAGTTACTTCTTTATTATTTTTTTCTGATTTAATGTAATAAAAGTAATGTTTATTGATGTTTTTAATATATATTTTTAGCTTAATTCACATTCTGTTAAAGTTCTTACATTCTTTCCATTTCAGGGTAACTCATGGAGAGATGAACATTCTTCCCCTTTTTGCTGGGAAACAATGGTGATTATTTTTTGTTTATTATTATTTTTTTATATCATAGTTTAACTGTATAATATTATAGATTGTTTTTAGTACTAAATTTAAAAATGTGCTCTTCATCATGTTAGATGATAAAAGTTTTGAACTTAATAAAATTAATAAATAATTAACTCAGTGAAAAATTTGGGTAAATGAAATGAAATAATATTTAATTATAATTTTTTTAATAATATTTTTCAACTTTATACACACTTAATTGAATATTAAAAGATTTTTTTCTTGTTATTTTTATAGAATAATTTAGTTTTATGGGCAATTGTTTGTCTCATTGTAATGACATATCAGTCATTGGTAATTTACAATTAGATTTAACATTGATTGGTGTCAAACTGTACTTAGAACTAAAATTCCATTTGTTCCTTTTTGATGTGGACCCTGGCACTCAATGTTTATTTAAAACAAAGTGTATTTTAAAAAAAAATAGCATAGTTTTTGAGCATAATGTATTATAATTATGTTCATTCTAAGCATTATTAAATATCAATAATAGCATCATAACCTTGTGTAAATGAAATTTAGGTGTTATCAATTTAGGGTCCCCCTCAAACTTTTTAAGATCAGAAGATTCCTAAAAAAGTGGAGGAAAAAAATGCTTCCAAACTGATTTGCTATGTGCCAGCTGTTTGATCTTTTTTTTTTTCTTTCCTTGCCTACCACTTTAGGTGCATTTTTATTGCTACCGCATTCGTCACATGCTGGAAGCAGAATCAAATATTGCAATCCTATTAAATTTGAAGTTTATTTGTACTATGGTTTACTAAAAACACCAAACATGCATTTCATAAATAAAAAAATTGAAAATCTATATCCAGTGATTATCCAGGCGACAGTTTTGTTACATCTCTGCTGAAAATTTCATAAAAATACTCAACACTGTCATAAAAACAATATGCTAAATACGAATATCATAAAAATGCTAAATTTGCATATCATAAAATATAAACCATAATAAATAGATTAAATATAAGCATACTAAAGTTACTTATAATATGATGTATGCTATTTAAAAAATGTGTATGCTATAAGATGTGTATGCTATTTCTTTCCATCAAAATACCTTGAAATTATGCCAATCTTTGTTCACTTTAGAAGTTTTAGTTGAACAGCAATAATAAATACATTTATTTTTAAAATTGATTCCAGTGACATATTAAATCTTTTCATACTCAACAGTTATACATAATTCTTTCATAAGCAGCAAAGTTAAGATTCCTGTGTGTATTCAAAATAAAACACCTCTAACTAAAAATTATAGTCTCCCACACATGTACTAAGATTCTGCACTTTACTTCAAAATTAACTTGAATTTTTAGATAACTAATTTTTAATATAATATTTTGTTGGTTTTTACTTTTTCTGTTTTTCTCATGTATTTATTTGTGTCAGTGTTTTAATCTGTATGTTAAATCTATTTATTAATATTGTTTTAGCTTTATTTCACTCAATTTTTATAAGTACTTATCTTCAATCATTTAAGGATAATGAACCTTATTTAGTTTTGAAGTGTAATAGATGGTGATAAATAATTTTTGTTGTGTACCATAACATGATTATACAATTGCATAATTAAATTTTTCATGTTTGTCTATCATTGTAAGTTTTTGGACTACTACTGAATTCCTAAGTGGTCCTAATAGACCACTAAATTTTCATTGCCGGTGTGAAGTCTAGTAATTATGGTTGTTCAAGATCTTCATAAAGGATCATGATAACCAATTTATTATTAAAAGTAATTAAAAATAAAAAAATCTTTTTTTTTTAAATAATTGTTTTGATTTATTTTTTAAAGTTACTGTGCAGTCACTTTTTTTTAAGAAATTATTGTGTGTAAATTTTACTTAATTTAAGAAAAGTATGTAAGCTTTTCTTTATACTTAAAAGTTTTAACTTGACTGTGTTTTGTAATTTTAATTAATATATATTTTTGAAAAAAAAAAAGAATAGTAACAAAAGTTATCTACTTAGATAATGTCTTTAAGGTTTGTAATGTTAGCAATATTTCTTAGATAATGTTTTTTTTTAAATATATTATTTTCAAAATATTCCATTTTAGAACGTTATAATCAAAATATTCTATTTTATGTTTATCCTTTCTGTTTAACTTCTCTGTAAAGTTTGTTAAATTTATTATTTTGTTGCCTAATTTCAAAATTCAATGCTGTAATTACAAGATATTCAACTCAAGTTTTCAAATAAATCAAGTTTCAATGAAACTCTTTTGAGTAAACAACTTTCTAATGTGTTTATACACTAAAAAATAATTTTCTTAAATTCCATAAATTGTCACCTAACATTTTTTTCACTACACTTTTCATATTGTGACATTTCTTTTAGAGTCAACTTGGTTTAGACGACGATGAAACTGAAGAACAAATCGAGCAAACTGCTGAGAAAACTGCGGAAGTGAGTGATGCCTCCTGCATACCTACATCCACCGAAAATCAAGAGACAGATAAAGAAGCAACTCCCAAGAAAACTGAACCCAAAAAAGAAGAGGAAGTGAAAAAATCAACGATTAAAAGACCCGAAGTACCTCCACCTCCTGTACCTCCGCATGCTAGTCCTCCTGTACCACCTCATGTCACACCTTCACCTCCCCCTCCTCAGAATGAAACACCAATCTATGCTAAAGTTATGAAACGTAAATCATTACCTAAGACTCTGGGTAGTACAGAGCTTAAAGCTCTCAGGAAACAAAGGGATGAAGCTAAGCCTGCTGTTCCTCCTCGTATGTCTCTTGAATTGAAAGGATCAATAGATGTGACAAAGTATAAGACATTACCCATAGATATTGATGTAAGTATACTTTTTAAATATTGTGTACTAATATAAATGTAGTTATTTTTTTTTAAATCATGAGCAAAAGAGATCAGCTGAAGTAATGGAAAAGTGAAAAGATGTTTTTTAATTAACGGTCAATTTTTTTGGGACTATTAATTCAAAATATTCTTTCATTATGCATATTTTGTTCTTTGTCACATCTATAAAAAGGATTAATAGATGTTACAAAGTATAAGACTATTTATTGAAATTGATGTAATTGAAATATTGTATGCATATATATCTATATATACAGTAGGGAACCGGTTATCCGGAACGATCGGGACCATCGCTATTCCGGATAACTGATTTTTCCAGTTTTCTGAATCGCTACAAAAAGCCGTTTTTTATTGTTAAACCCAACTAAAAAAAAAAAAATATTTGGAAATATTCTTAAAAAGAAGAAAAAACAATGAAGTAATACACTAATGATTATTTAATGAGGAAAAAAACATTTTTTTTAAAAAAATGGCGGGAAAATTTATCAAATTTCGTTCCAGTTTTTTGGTTTTCCGGCTTTTGATTTCCGGATAACGGGATCTGTACTGTATATAATATATATANTATATATATATATATATATATATAGTTTCATTAGGTTTAAATACATGATCAAACTGTAACAAGTAATAAATGATAAACCATCAATCTTATCAATAATAAATCATCAATCAATAATAAATGACTTGCCCATTATTGCTGTTATAAAATTTACAAAAATTTCATCATGTTTCATTTTAGACACTCTAGTAAACTATGTTCATAAGCTTAAGTAAAACTAAGTTTAAACTTCTTGTGAAATGCTGAATGTTTCTTTCTTGTCTTCTGAACTATTAATTGAATTAAATAAAGACGGAAGTTTATGTAAATTTTATAGAGAAAGATGAAAACATTTATTGGTGTGTGATACCATTATAGGCATTACATAATTCTTACTAGTTTTTGAAATTTCTTTAATTTAATTTCATAAATTTAATTTTTTTAATCATTCTCAATCCAATTCTTATTAAATCAAACAAATTAATTAATTTTTATTACATTTTATAAAAAGCAAAAAAAAAAAAAGTATTTGATTCTCTTAACAATTAATGTAACGGCTAACTTTTAATTTAATACAAATGTATAACTTATTAATTCACTGTTGTGACTGAACTGAATATTAAAATCTATTTTGAACTCTTTATTCCTTAACCCACTGGCGGTTAAGGAAATGGGCAAAATTGGGAGAATGTTTCTCCCCTACACACAGTTCCCCTATCAGTTAACATGGGAAAACCGGTTTTGCTATGCAGAGAAGACTGCAGGTTAAAATGCGGCATTTTTACGTGCAGAACCGTCAGTGGGTTAAGCTACTTTAATTCTCTAATCACAAAAATGTTTCAGTTCCAGGGTTATATTAATTCTCATGGTCTTTTAAGTTGTAGCCAGATTATTTAATATTAATAACACCTGGTCGACTTGGTTTTCGGCTATTTTATTTATTGATACATTGCTAACCATGGATCTCTTCCCACCTGTTAGAAACTATTCAGTTACTGCTTATTTCAAATTCTTGGCATTAGGACTGGATGGTTTTGCCCCTCAGTCTAACTGTTACAAGAATTACCTCATATTCACAAGAATTGCATCATGTTTAAAATACATCTCTTCATGTCTATCATAGGAGATGCTACTTACTATTTTATTTTTATTTAATATGGACATATTTGTTTAACTTTAATATTACTCGAAAATAAATTAAGTTTTTGTTTAAAATCTATGCTTTAATCACTCTTTCATCATTACGATGCAAATGTACAAGAAATTTTCGCTATACCACCAGTGCCTTCATAAAACTGGAATAATATTTTCACAGGTTTGTATCCAATTATAAACAGAAAGAGAAAAATTTGTAATTTTTTAATACTAATCAAATGTAAAAAATTTACTGGTAATTAAAAAACACCCATTTGTCATTCCATTACTTCATCTCTCTACTTCCGATGCAGCCTTAAAATAAATAGTTTCCGTGCATGAATAAAAAGGGTTAATTTCATTTATTGAAAGGCAATGCAAATTATTGTTTTAAAAGTATTTATCTATCTGGTGTGATGAGAAAAATTAACCCCTTAAAAAGGTTGAATGGATTGGCAGTTTGTCATTTTTAAAATGCGATAGCTTTTTTGCTAACTAATTTTTAAACCTTGATTATAAGAGTAAAAAAAAACTTTCCCTTGTAAATTAAAACCATTATGTCAGTTCAAAATTGATTTTTAAGAATTATAAGTATGTATATTCTAAACATAATAAAAATAACTTAAAATTAATAAAAAGTAAGCACATTAAAAAAATTTAAATAGTGTAGAATTAGTTTTTAACATGACTGCAGAATTCAGAATTTTTTTTTTGTCAAAAATACAGTTATTTATCTAATTGTTTTCATACTTTTAATTTAATTTCCTCAATTCTAATTGCAAACTCACTTTAAATAATAGAATTACAAATTATTTTACCCAAAAAATCTGTTGATTTTTGTACCATCCCCCTAACTTCCCTATGATGTTCATTGGACAGCTTTTAATGACACATTTCTTTAATGTAACTAAATGTGTTATTATATGCACCGAACAACTATTTTACTGTTACCACCCCTTTAATTCCTCATTTGGACCCTTTTTCCCTTTAATACAGCCTTAATTTTTTGAATGGACTTATGAAATGTTCATTGGTCATTTATGGTCAGTCCATAGCACTTTTACAATTTTGCGAAACTGAATGATGATGGATCTAAGTGACGGTTGACTCTTTTATCTTCGAGACCAAATACTCAGTAAACTTTAGCTTTCTGGGCATTGTAAGATTATAATGATTTATAAATCTTTACATTTATCTTCATTTTATAGATACAGAAATTTTGTTTCTTTGTAAGAAATGAAGTTATTTATCTAATTGGCTATCATACTTTTAATTTGATCTCCTCAACTCTTATAACAAACTCACTTTAAATAATAAAATTGCAAATTATTTTACCTTAAAAATGTTCTAATTTTTGTACCACCCCCTAAACTTTCTAATGATGTTCATTGTACATCTTTTAATGACATATTTCTTAAACATTACTATATGTGTCATTATATATACTGAGCAGCCATATAATACTACCCTTTCAATTGCTCATTTGGCCTTATTTTTCTTTTAATACAGTCTTGATTCTTCTTGGTTTAGGAAATGTTCATTTGTCACTTACGGTTCGTCCGTAGCACGTAACTAAAACGTGTGAAACTGAATGATGATGGATCTAGTTGACGTTTGACTCTTTCAAATTCAGAAATCAAATACTCAGTAACATGTAGCTTTTGGGGGGTCGTAAAGAACAACACAATAGTGTGAACTCTCCAACTTGTTAATCTAATTAATATTTTTCAGTATTAGTAGTTTGTCAGGATTTATTATTCTGTTAAAAGCACTTGACACTCTTCCCTATTTAAATAAATCATCAGCATTACAGAATGTACTCTGTCAACAACAATGTTCAGGTATGATGACTTATTCAGATTATGCAAATAAAATAAATATTTTAAAACATGCCAGTACTACATTTTTACTCTAGCTGCAACATGTGCCATTAAATTATTCCAATTTTTAATGACAAGATAGACAATACATTTGTAGAAAATTTATTTATTGAAATAATCACTCAGTGTGGGTCTTGATTCATTGCAAGGTTGCTTTGCTCAGTAAGACTAGAATTATAAAAATGCAAGAATTGTTTTTATAAGTCAAACAGGATGGATTTTTGTAATTGTCATCAAAATTATTTCTACCGATTGACAAAAATGTAACTACACATATCCTGTATGATCTAAATCTATCTTATCATAATCTTAAAGAAGAATGAAGTATCTATAAGAAATAATAATAATCAAAAACTCTTGTTTGATGTTTTTGACTAAGTTTAAAAACATTAATTTTGTTGTGGCGAATTCGCTTCTCATGTCATATCATATTAATACATTATATGTTTTACACACTATGTACTTTTATAAATGTTAAAATGTATATTGTCCAGAAGTGAGGAGATATTCAAGTGCTCGAAATTCAGAGTCTTACAAACTAAGCTTAATTATATTAAAATGGTTTCTTATCGAGTTAGTTTGTGTACTACTTTTATTTTCTTAAATAGACTATAAATGTATGAGAATGTTACTTGATAATTGTTATTATATAATGCAAAATTTTAATTAATGCTAAAAAAATATTTAAATAAAAAGTCATTTATCATAAAAAATAACTTCTAGTAAAAGTTGTTAGTCTAGTTAGTTGTAACCTGAGGAATATTATAATGAAGTCATTTAGCAGAAAATAAATTATTTATTTTAAAGACATACAATTTGTTTAAAATTTGTTAAAAAATTTCTTCACTTCATAGTTGAAATTTAAGAAAAGTCTCTATGTTTTGAATGTCCAAAACACATTGCTCCTTCTCATGAAAACATAGGAGTTTAAAACATGGTAACCTTTCTTTTATTCCAACTATGGAGCAATGGAAATTATTTTTACTTTCAAATAAATTTTTTCGCTTCAGTTTTTTAACATATTTCAGTTTATGTAATTTTTTTTTAATTTTTAAAATATAACAGTTATTGTTCTATGCTACTTTTATAGTTAAATCTTTAGAATGTGCAAAAATATTTGTTTATTGATTTTATTTAAAAATTTTTGTTGTAGGATTTTATTCCTAAAACTGGATTTGACTTTCTGGATAATTGGTAATACAACCTGAGTAATAACTTTACAGTCTTTACTTCTATTTGAATCATCAATATTTGTACATTTGTAAGTTTGTTTTATTTTCCTATTTATTTTCATTTTATCTGTAGATGAGAGAAACATTTATGTTTGTATATAATCTTTGTGTAGCTAAAATTTGTGATTTTTTTACCTTTAGCTCAATAAATGTTTATTGACTTAAATCATTGTTTTTCCTTTTTGAACACAATTACATTATAAACACAATTACTTATTGATTATAATTTTGGCTTTACTTTGTGATTATAATTTTGAGTGATTTTAATTTAATGGTTTGTATTTAGATTCAAAATTTGAACTTGAGAGAAAATGAGTCTTTTTTTTATCAAATTTAATTTAACTTATCACTTAAAAACATTAAACTGCATTAAATTTAAATTTTACAGAACACTTAATTTGTTTAATATCATTACAATGTATTATTACTCTTTTTTTTTAAACTCATCTTTAAACGTATCACATTATTAAAGAGTTTTATAGTTCTCTTGATTCTCTGAAAGAAGTTTTAACTTTGTAGGTTCTAAGTATAAAATGTTCTGAAATTTTGTATCAGTTCCTCAATGTTTTTTAAGACTGTTTTTGATTTAGCGATAATTTAAACTTTCAAAATTTCAAAAGATTTAGAAAAACATTTATTTAATTTTGCTAAATTGCACATTTTGCTAAAATATTATGTTTAATTTGTTGTTCAAACCTTAATATAAACAGTGGGTATACTACCAAAAGTGAAATTTTCAATTATTTGTAACGATAAGATGTGCTTTACCAATAATTGAATTAGGTATTAACGGTATTATTAGGTAACCAATTAGGTATATAATCACATTTTTGCAAATTTTTAGTTTGGTAGTTTCTGGAATCATGCCCACAAAATATTTTTATGTTATTACAATCTAAATGCATTAAACATGTGAATTGTCAAATGAAAATTTTATTCTATTTCATTTATAAATTGTTCTGCACATTTAAAAATTAAGTTCTGAGTTTGTGAAAATATTTAAACTCAAGCTATGGAAACAATTTTTAATGAAAAATTTTTTTTTTGTCAAGCTTTTCTTTTCAAACCTTTTTTTGTTGTTGGTGAATTTAGTATATTTTTATATTTATTTTAGATATAAAGATTACTCTCATGAAAATGAAAATGCAACACAATATAAAATCTAAACAAACAATGTAAACTTAACTTATAAGAATCAAAGTGACATATTAGATATAGTGATATGAGCGATGTTTTGTTTCATTCATTAGCATATAATTTATTTAAAATATGTTGCGGATTATCACATTTTATTTTTGTTCTCTCAAGTTTCTTTATTCTTTTGAGATTACATCTGTCGCCGAATTATTTTGTTGCCAATGGAGAATCTGAAATACAGCTTAATTTGTGTGCTGCTTAGGAAATTAAAATTTGTTAAAACTAGTGCTTGTAAAAAAATTCAGCTGATATTTACTAATAACAACCCCCCTTAAAAAAAGGCCATTGTCATTAGAATTGTCTGCAATTTTTTATTTATTTAAACAATGGAAATGTCTAAATAAATGAAACATTATCACTTTTTCAATTATACTTATGTTTACGTTGTTCAGATAATTGAGTTTTTATTCTTTGTAAAAACATAATTACAGATTATAATAAAAATAAATGAAAATTCTCTTCTTCAGTAAATAAAACTGAAAGTTAGTGATTTTAACCTAATTTATTAAAATTTTTTTCCAGTTTCCTTTGCAATCAGTAAACCACATTTCTTTGAAGCACATTTTTCGCAATACATACACCATGTATGAAAGCCTTAACACAACCTTTCTCTTTTTGAGAGTGTTGTCATATCTGTTTCTTTGCTGGTTTCATCGTTTTACTTGCATTTGTTAATGACACACCTTAAGCCTTGAGCCCTTCACATACTTTCAAAACATAATTTCTGTGGCTAATTTATCTCTCTCTGGTAACTCTTTTTATAAAATTGACAAATCTATAGCAGATATATCTGAAATTATAATTTAAAGATATGTTACATCGACTCCAAGAAACAAACAAACCTCACTGATTTCTAGAAACTGATTTTTTTTGTAATGTTACAAAATGTCTTAACCGTTTCGCGACGAGTTTTTTTTTTTACAAGAGAACAAGTTTGGTAGCATAAACTATGAGTAGGGCAGCATTATGTACGGTAGTGCCGTCTATGTTCTGTGAATAAAAATATCTTCAAAAATATTGGCAAGACTGGTGGGAAAGTCTCTCATTAGACAGAGAAGCGCTTCTGTCCCAAGAGATTTTTTTGAAATTTGCTTGGGACGTATGTGTCCCATTAGGTGCAAAAGGGTTAAAACCGTTTAGACCTCTGCCATATTTTTACACGTAAGTTTGAATTTGTAAGCTTTTATCAGGCTTAGTGACTAAATAAGCACCTGCACAGAATCATATAATGAAAAGTCAGACAATTGCACTGCTTTAAGTTGGAATCACTGATATTTAAAACAACAAAGAACGAAAAGGTCTACACTGGCTTTTCCATTTTTCTTGTATTCATTTATATTCAACTTGTTTATTTTAATGATTATTTTTAATAAGAGGAATTTTACAATAACTTATCAAGTATTTAAAAGAGGCTTATGATTTAAGTGATTAAATTTAAGTGATTAAATAAGTACCTTAATAGAGTCATGTAATGAAAAGCTAGAAATTGCATTGCTTGAAGTTTGAATTACTGAACACAAAAAATGAGATGAAGCACAAAGGTTCTCCATCTTTTATTAATTTATATTCAATTTGTTTATTGTAAAAATTATTTTTGATAAAAAATGTATTTTACAACAACTTACCAAATATTTGAAAATTGCTTTTGATTATGTGTTTTTCAATTTATCTACTCTTTAAGTTTAAAGAATATCTGTATATATTTTTATAGTGATTTAAATTTATCCATCTCAGACTCCAGTCTATTCGATTAGTTATTATTATTCATGATAATAGAAAATGAGTCACTTAGTTGGAAGATGGATTGGAGGATAAGTGAGAAGATTAGTTGGAAGAACTAATAAAGGAGCAAAAGACCGACATATTCTTAAAATGTTCTTTGAGTGAAAAATTCATCAGTTTTTAAAAGAAAAAAAAATCTTGCAAATACTTGTACCGTGTATTTCTTCACGCATTGAAAATAAGTGTAAAAGATTACTATGGGTACCAAAATTTATAAAATCCATTATTTTTTTTTATTACTATGCTCTTTTTGTGAGGTATTTCAAAATTAAGTTTTCAAAGCTAAAATTAATTGTTATTTTACTTGCACAACTTTTGAAAATATGAATATTAAAAATGTAATACTGTTTGATTTTGCAAATAATCAGGATTTTGCTGTTCATAAAACTTGTATTAAAACTTACAAAAATATTTGTTTTATTTATGTATATTATGAAAATTAAAATTTTTTCTATTATGGGACAAATGCTATTTATTTCACTGTCCATGCAAATAAAAGGTTGCCATTGCCTTGAAAGGTTGGACTTCTGCCAGTTGGTTCATAGAAGGTAGAAGGTATTTTATTTCCCTTCTACCACCCAAAGGAAAACTAGCAAAGACGTTCCCCTATCCACCATCAGGGGATGCGCCCTCGGGGGATTACAGGCTCCTCCGAGGGAAGAAGCAAGACTAAACGAGGAACGACAACTAAATGAGGAATTTCTTTATTGTGCTACGCTTTGTGTCATGAATTCAGTTTCAAAATCAAAATTCAAAAATAATGGTATTTTGTTGAAGCATCGGATCTGCAAACTAAACACCAGCGGGGTTGCCTCTGGCGAATAAAATGCAACAATTTTCAGGAGAGGGCAACGATGCCAATTTTTACACCAGAAAAGCCAAAAAAGCAACTATTTTCAGGAAAAAGAGACTATTGGGGGACTTTTCTGTACTCCTAACGATGTTTTTGTAGCATTACTTGGGTTGAAAACCTGTGGCCTTTGTGAGCTTCTGAACACACAGAATTTTTTTTCTTAAATGAAAAATATTGCAAATTTAAGTCATAACTTTTTACTGTGTTCAATTTGCATAGATTCCATTGTAAGTCTGTTTTGTTTCTCGATCGACTTTTCAATGGTTATTGGCTACGAAAATTGCGCATGATTTTAAAAAGCTTGAATTTTGAATTTGAGTAATCACTTTTCACAATATATACATACTTGTTGAATCAATTATTGATAAAAGGGACATTTTTTTAAGAAAAAGTATGGTATTTTCTAATTAAAAAGTATTTTTTGAATAAATTCTAGTAGTTAAAAGTATTTAATTTTCTGCAAATATAAATTTTTTTTTTGTATAAAATTTAGAGCTAGAACACTAGCATTTATAAAAAAATTCTCATATTTGCCACTAACTTGACTAAATGGATCATGGTATATGACAATTAAGTCATTTAATAAAATTTTAGTCATATTTTTGATGAATTATTATTCTTATTTAGGAAACTATTTTCATAGTTTTCGGCAACTATTTTCATGCTTTAGGCTACTTAAAGCAACTAATATGTTCATTTTTTCTGTGGCAATTCTGCACCAGCAAAAAACTTACAAAAACCCTAATAAGACTGAAAACTAGGGAGAATGAGGATGGAACAAGAACGTGCACTAACTGTAAAAACTGCCTCAATGCCGAACTGGGACCTGATTATGTTTGGACCTGTTTTTACTTGCCCTGTTATTAATGGCTGCAATACAGCAGATTAGTGAATGTTCCGAAGAGGAGCTCTATGCGGACAATTGCTGGCAGATAGCTGAGGCTGCTTGGACTGCCCACGGCACCAATTAACAAACTGTCCATGAACAGGACAACCAACCATTTGACAAACTTAAAAGTAAAATTAAGTTGCTGTGAATGATGATCAAAAGGGAAATGTGTCAATCAATCAAGATGCCATTTTTTTTCATATAATTATATGATAGTCGATCTACTATTTGACTAACTAAAAAGTGAAATTAAGACGCTGTAATATAACCAAAAAGTAAATCTATAAATAAATCAAAATGCTAGTGTAATTTTTTTTATGTACTAATGTATGTTGTTCTAAGACTACAGAGCCCAAAGTACAAAAAGTTAGATTCTTGTGCTTGCAGACAAACTTAATTTTTATTTATTTATTATAGTTCAATTATTTGTTATAATAAACCAAAG